ATAATATAAATAAGATATTTTATTAGAAATAAAAAAAAGATCTTTTATAAAAAACAAAGATTATAATAATCTTTAATATTTAATAAAGTTATTATAATCTATAAATGGCTAAAGATAATATTTAAAAAATAGCTTTCCTTATAGATAAAGAATTATTTAAATAAATAATTACACTAATAGATTTAAAAAATCTACTAGCATAATTTATATAATATATAATATACATTTTATAGAAATATTTAAATAAGTTTATTATAGTCTACTTTAATAATATTATTATATACTTATAAAACCTAAAAGAACATAAAAAATATATATAACTAATTATAATAGCACTTATAAATAAAGGATTAATACTTAAAATTAAGAAATATAAATTTAATATTATAACTATTAATTACTTAGAAATAATTTATATACTAGAAGGATTAAAGATTTAATTTAAAAAAAAAAAAAATGCAATACTTGACTAATTTATTCTAATAAATATTAATAAAATATAGCAATTCTTAGATATAATAAGATATATTAAGAGATATTTAAAAAATTATATAGAAGAAATATAACTAATTATAAAATTATTATGAAAAGATTAAGAATTTAATTAGATAAAATAATAATAATAAGTATTTAAGAAAGTTAAGGAATTAATTAAGAAAGCATTAATTCTTATGCTTTATAATCTAGAAAAATTAAATATAATTTAATTAAATATATTAGGATATATATTAAAGATTATTTTAAAATAATTAGAAGATAATAAATAATTATAATCTATTATCTTCTATTTTAGACAATTTACTACTACAGAAAGGAATTATAATATTTATAATAGAGAACTATTTATAATAGTTAAAGTATTTAAGTAATAAAGATATTACTTATCAAGAGTTAAAGAAGAAATAGTTATAAAAAATAATTATTATAATCTAAAATACTTTACAATAATAAAAGAGCTTATTAATAAATAAATTAGATAATTAAAGTACCTATTAAGATTTAAGTTTTAAATTAAACATATTAAAGAAAAAGAAAATATTATTATTAATATATTAAATAGAAAAGCAGATTATATAATTAAAATATAATAGCTATAAATAAATATACTAATAAAAGATAAAGATAGAATTCATTATAATAATAAAGTAATATTAATAATAATAATTATAATAAAAAGCAAAAGTTTTTATAAAAAAATAATAAAAGCTATTAGGAATGATAAAATACTATAAATAGTACTATACAATAACAAAACAGTAATTAAAAATAGATTAGTTATTTAGAGAGAATTAATATTAATATTATTTTTAATAATTATAGAAGTTATTTAAATAAATCATAATTTACTAATAAAAAAATATTATAGAATTAACTAAATAATAGAAAAAATATAATAAACATATTATTTCCTAAGAATAAGAAAATTAATTAAAGACTATATTAAGAAATACAACAGTTATAATTATAATAAATTAATTAATTATTAATTCTATAAAAGAATATAGATTCTAGAAATATTAATAAAAGTATAATAGAAAATTATAATAGATTTTATATAAAGCTTATCAGAGTTAAAAGATTCTATTTTAGAAATTATATATACTAAAGCTATTATTATTATAGATAAATTTATAAAATATATTATCCTAAAACTAATATTAAAAAATTTAATAGCACAATAATACATAATACTAATATTATAAGAAATATTTATAATATTTAAATTATTAAATAAAATTATATCTAATAAAAATAAATTATTTATATCTAAATTTTAATAGATAATTATAAAAAATTATAAAATAAAATATAATCTATTAACTACACATTATTAACAAACTAATAGCTAGACTGAAAGAATAATTTAAGCAGTTAAATAATATCTAAAATATTACTTAGATTAAAATCGAGATAATTAGATAAAATTATTATTAATTACTTAATTTACAATGAATAATATTATAAATATATTAATAAAATAAGTACCACATTTTACTAATTTAGAAAGAATTCTAAAAATAAATTAAGAAAATATTAAACAAGAAGAAATATTTAATAAAATAAATATCTAAATAATATATATATAATTAATATATAGCAATTTATTAAAAGATATTAAATAAGTAAAAATAAGAATAAAAAGATATTATAATAAGAAATATAAGAATATACTAACACTTAAAAAAAAGAAAAGAGTTTACCTTCTATAATAAATACTAGAATTAAAAAATTTTAATATTAAAAGTATAAGATTAAGTAATAAATTTAATACAATTAAATTTAGATTATTTACTATTAAAGAAAAACTTATAAATAATAATTATAAACTCTAGCTACTAATAAGAATATAAATACACTTAATATTTTATATCTTATTATTAGAATTAATTATTAACTTAATAAATAAAAATAAAGCAGCAGATAATAAAGAATATAAAGTTAAAAGAATATTATAATATAAATTAGAAAAAGAATATATCTACTATCTTATAAAATAGAAAGAATATAGACCTAAAGAAGATATATAGAAACTTATTAAATATTTAAATTGCCTTGAGAGGATTTAAGAATAAAGATAGAGATATAATTAAAAAAAAAATAGAAGAATTAAAGTTGGTATTAAGAATAAGATTATTATTTTATAAAGTAAAAATAATAACTAGAAGCTTTTTAACCTCTTATTATTTTTTTACTTATTTTATTTTTACTTTTTTTTCTATTTTTTTTAATCTTTCTAACTCTTTAATATTTTTTATATTCTTTTAGAGGAATTCTCTAGTCTATTTTTTTAATAGTTTTTACTATTTCTATAAGTAAAGAATCTTAATTAAAGCCTATTTTTTTTCTTCTTAAAAATGCTCTTAAGCCTTAGAAAGATGCTTTCATGCTATCTTAGATATAAATATATTGATGTAGTAACAGTTATTTATACAAATACACTTATTATAATATTTAGAGAATTTTATTTTAATATAAGTCTTTTCTAGATTATTGTACTAATTATATAGAAAATAATAAATAATATTAAATTGTTTAATATATAAGAAAAGAGAGTTTCTTAAGATTATTTTCTTTAAAGATATAATTAATGCGAAATTATAAGATTATATATTTAGAATAATTAAGAAGTTAGAATTAGTTATTTATACTTCAGAAGATATAAACTATTTATTAAATTATTAAGATATTAGCTTTTAGAGGAGGGGATTATTAAAGAATCAGAACATTATAGCTAATAAATCAGGTTAATCACTATAGGACTAATACATATTGAAATAAAGGATTATCTATAAAGTTTTAGAATTAGGGTATTAGAGAAATTAGAGGATTTTTATAATAGCTATGATCTATATATTAAAGAAATCAGAGGATTTTTATAATAGCTATGATAGAGAAAAGCTATATAAAAATATTTATTTACTATATATTTAATTTTCTTTTATTATCTTGAATTAACTGAGATAACTTAAATATATAATCTTCTATTAATTAGGATATTCTATCTTATTTAAGACTTTATTTGTTTTATTACAACTTTCGTATACCAGAAGCCTATTAACTTCGCCCGTTAATAGCTATCCTAGCTATACTCGACGGTAATCCAACCGAAGTTTCCGACAGAAATAAATATCTAAGCAATATATATATAATTAATGTATAGCAATTTATTAAAAGATATTAAATAAGTAAAAATAAGAATAAAGAGATTCTAATTAATTTTTTAACTTTCTTAAATGCTTATTATTATTATTTTATCTAATTAAATTCTTAATCTTTTAATAGTAGTTTTATGATTAGTTATATTATTTTTATATAGTTCTTTAAATATTTTCTGATATATTCTATTATATCTAAAAATTACTATATTTTATTGATATTTATTAGGATAAATTAATTAAGAAGATTATATATTTAAGTTATTATAATTAAGAAATACTTAATATAATTAATTTAAGATAATAGAAAAAAATTAAATATATAATAAATAAGTATTCTTATATAGTTTTTTCTTTATTATTATTATTATAAAAATCCTCTAATTTTTCTAATTCTTAGATTATAGCTATTATAGAAATCCTTTAATTTCTCTAATCTTCAGATTATAATTATTATAGAAATCTTCTAATTTCTCTAATCCTTAGATTATAATTATTATAGAAATCCTCTGATTTCTCTAATACCCTAATCTTAAGGTTTCACGGATAATCCTTTGTTCCATCGTGTATTAACTCCCGTAGGGACTAATCCAATCCATTGGCTGTGACGTTCTGATTCTCTGACAGAAATACGTTACTTATAGACAACGTGGGACGGGAAAAGACCAATTCACAGCTGACAAAATAAATCTACCTAGAAGATGCCAGGCCCGTTGTGTATTGGTTACTTCTTCTGGGAATCTGTATTCCATCCACGTTGACTCTCGGTCAACCTTTATTGTATAAAAGCACGCTCGATTATTGAATATAGATCCGAGAAGTCATTCTACCAGAGATCGAGGGCCCTCTCCCTGGTGGTGCCAGTATTTGATTATGCGCAAGGAAATCAGAGGCACTAGTCCCAACACCGTAGATTTGGAGGCTATGAGTCAGTATTCCTAGATAGTCAAGGAGAAGTTTATCATCTTGCATATATTGTCGATGCGTCGAGGAACGAATGTCATGATCAATCAAGTTTTTGTCCGATTTTGAACGCGTCTGAGATGGTAGTTGAATGCATGCCTACAACGTAATATACCTGACCAATTATGTTATAGATCATAGCTACGTATATATAAATGGTCTCTTCTTTCCTAACCAACCATTCTGATTTGGTAGATTAGGGCTAACCCGCTGATGCTGGAGCATCGGTATACTTCCGCTGTCATTGTGTGCAAAGTTTACTCCTCTCGTGTGTCATGATTACTACACCAACATCCATAAAATAAAATGGACTGAGTGTTTACAGGATTCAGAACTCGGACATTCTTTATTTGGTCTAGAGTCATTTTTGTTGTACGAAACATGTCGGAATCTGGAAAGCACCACCTGCTACTTGGTGTGCCTTCCTCGACAAAAGAATATGCGTACCTGCCAAACTGCTTTAGAAATGTCTACCAAAAACACTGGGACATGCTGGAAAAAGACAAGACGAGTGAAGAGTCGCCATACATAATCTTCACAGGTGTTGATAACGAGACATTTTCCCGAGACTTCGAAGAAGGAGGCAATCACTGCGACACGTATATACCATCTTTGGGTCTGGTACTGGTTGATATGATCACTCCACAGCATGAGCGTGCCCATAGGCAGCTGGACAAGATAATACAATGGCACATAAACGAGTTTGCGAACGGAATCGATGACGGACTTCAATACACTGGGCAAGCAAGTCGCACGTCCGAAGATCGCGAAAAAAGACCCGACACGTCCTACCAACCAGTATACCTTCCTTCTGGAAGATCTGACAAATGGCCATCGCTTGTCATCGAAGCCGGGTGGTCGGAAACAAGAGCAAAGCTGGAACATGATGCCCGTTGGTGGATTGGCGCATCAAAAGGGGACGTTAAGGGCGTTATAACGGCAGCAGTACAGCAAGGATCACGGTCAATTATACTTGAGTACTGGCATTCCGTCCTAAGCCCATTGCGAAGCGACCCGGACAAAAGAGTCATTAAATTGACCCATCGTACGACAATATCCCAGGGAAACAAAAACAGTCCTATACAGGTCTCCAATGTGCCGTTCATAATACCCTTTGAGGACATGTTTCTACGCGGTGCTGACGCCAATACGAAAGAATATGACATAGTTATCTCAAGGGAGGAGTTGGAACTGTATGCGATTCGTGTTTGGAAGGATTAGGACTGTCGTACCTGTCTCTCTTCTATGTACAGATGAGAGACATGTGTTTAAGTATTTTGCTGGTATAGATATAAATCTCACGTTCGCTCCCGTACTATATTGGGACAAAGGACTTGGAAATGACACTTCGTAAGTTGAGGGAGAGGTAGCTCTAGACGAAATGAATAGCGGCGACTGCTAATTGTCCACAGCACCAACACCAGATAGTCACAAAATCTAACCTTGAAGCTCGACTCGTTGCCCCAGCTTACCGAGTAAATGACTAAGTGCTTGTCATCTTTAATCCGATCTTGATCCATTTTCTCCTCAATGGAACGGAAGTCGTAGATATAAACAGAGAAAATCTTGCTTTCTTTTTCCCTCCCCATTATCTTTCGGTGTCCTGTTTGTTGTGGTTGGGGTTTACTGTCTCTTCCTGTTTGATCTTCCGGTAGTCTATTTTTTGCCTTCCTGTATCTTCTGTGTTCGACGTTGCTGTTCAGCATCGAGATTTCTGTCTGTAAAGTCACCACCACGAAATCTCGCAACTAATCTATAATTGTAATGGATTCCATAGGTGCTTTCTAGCCATTATTCAGCATTCTCCTCACCTTGAATGACAACTGAGTTCCTGGATCTGTATCTAGAGTCGGAGAAAGTTTGCATTTCAACCAAAAATGTGCCTAGTGTCGACATAATCTTTCTAAAAGTAAAAGTAAGAATATACATGGGTGGCCAACAGCGTAAGCGTTCCCCCCTCAGTGCCTGGATAATGGTGACTATCAAGTAGATATTCACAGCGCGTTGCTAACTTTCGTTGCTCCCCTCGACTTGTGCTTGTTTTCTAAAACATTGACATCGTCTTCTGCTCTCAATCAGCTCATCTTCTCATGGCCATCCATGTCTTGCTCTCCGCCTGCTTCTGTGTGAACTCCGGCTTCGGCTCGAGGGCCTGAGGGATAATTCTATACTTCTTTCCAATAAACTTTGTATAATTTATCCATCCCTTTTTGGTGTGCAGGAAAAATCGCGGTTTTCCTCGTACTACGATATTGAGAGTTGCGCGTTTCGTACCCAGTGGGAATACTTGCGGAACCCCTAGGTAGAGTGCACAAGAGTAAGAATAGCCCTCATGCCAAAGTCCATCCCAGTCTCTCCCACTCCTTGATCTGACCATCTTCTTTAATTCCTCTCATTTCTAACCAAGCTTGTAGCTCGGAGTTCGGATTACTAACCTAGCAAATTGTTAGTCTACGATATATACGAGACCAGGGGCATAGTCCAGACAAAAGAACTTTTACAGGATCAGATTTTCTAGCAATATGTATACACTCCTTCAGGGATTTCTCTTAGATGCCTCTCCAGACAGGGGTTTCGATCACTTTACTTAAAGTGTGAGGCGGTAAAATATAGGAGAATAGAGATCTTTCAAGTGCAGTGGCCCGTGTCCCGAAATATTTCGCTGGTTCTGGCTGTGACATGATAATGATGGTATATTTATATACTAGCATTAGTTACTTACACTGTTCCCTAGAAGGAATTTGGTACTAAGCACAAAGAAAGAATCTATATTAACGACTGGATTTTGCTAGATAAGAACGCGGAGGTAGTAAGAATGAGTAGTAGAATATATTCTGAACAGACCACTAGAAGAAAATCATTAATATATGTTTTTTCTACTAGTTTTTATTTTCTTTTAGCATCTCGCTTTTATTACAATTCATAACTGGATAATAAGTAAGATATTGGAATAAACAAGCCCAATTATAGTCTAAGTACTACAGAGTAGCAGGCTCAAGGTAAGACTAAATACTACCGCAAGTCATACTTTTTAGATCACATTTTGAATATTTGGACTACGATTGTACTTTTCTACAAGAGGAGGATTATTACAGTCTCGAGGACGCGGCATTTGCAAGACGAAGGCTTTGCTCCACCACCTTTGCCACAGCAATACATTTCTCTTCCTGTAATTTCGGAGTCACAATCTGTACACCAACAGGCATTCCGTGCACGAGATCAATATCAACTGCAACAAAAGTTAGTCATACATAGGAAGAAAATGTTGGGGGAGGGTTATACATTGCTTATGGTTGAATTCGTCACTCTTATTCCGTGGTCGATGATCTCGCCAATCTTGACTGCCTCGACCATCTTTTTGCTTGTCTGCTTTTGTTACCGGAATGGCAAGAGACGGATAGTCTACCAGATTCCATATTGACGTGTATCCCACATATTGGTGACTCTTCACCCACGTCCCCGGCTGATAGCTCACCCAGGGCGTGATAGGCATGATAATGGCATCCAGTTTAGAAGCTGTCCAGCGGCGGAGATAATCAATTTCGTATGCATATTTATCCGAGTTGAGCTATACACTGTCAGAATTCTCTCAGATAGCGGTGCAATACTACGGACTAAAGAGAAGGGGGAAGAAGACACACCTGATGCGTTTGTGCCGTAGTCAGTAGGTTTTCTGGTTTGCCCACGAGCATACCCTCGATCAGGGGCTCTCCGCTAAGGTCGCAGAGTCTTTGGCATCCTTGGCCGCCGTCGGCTAGAATCGCTTTTTCCCAGATATCATAGGCATGCGAATGTGTGGAAGCGTCCCACTCAACCACTATCATACAAGATATTAGCATCCCTAGCGAACAATCCCAACGGGCCAGAACCCTACCCTCGTGACCAGCAGCTTTCAGCGCATCAACAACTTCTCTTACAGCTCGAGCAACCGGGGGCTGCACCTTGACAACCCCGTCATCAATGATATAACCAATTTTCAGGCGTTTGGTTGTCGTGCAAAGCTCTGTTCTCCATGGAATTGGGGTGACATGGGGATCAATCTCCCACGGTTTCGCTGCAGGCAACGCCTCCATGTATTTTTCCACGGTCGCCAAATTTCTCGACATGGGACCGGCAACGGAGCGTATAATATCTTGTCGGGGCCTAGACATGTCGCATTAGCTGGATCTCTGAGCCTACGTGTGTGTATGCTGTGCGGGTGTTCTAACCCATTGCGCTCGTACGGCTGTCTGCCTGTGCTCGGCGATAGTCCATATAATCCACATAGATTAGCTGGGATGCGGATGGAGCCGCCAATATCAGTTCCAATGCCGAGTATACTGCCTTTACCACTGACAAGCGAGCTCTCTCCACCTGAACTGCCGCCGGAAATGAAGTTGCGATTTAGTGATGAGACACACTGGCCAAACACGTGGTTGTACGAGTCGGACATCTGATTACACACCAAGGTATAAGTAAGAGACTCGATATCTCATGCCGGCAGAGAACATGTTTATTCATGCACGCACCATCATTGATTGTGGAACGTTAGTTTTGACATATAAAACAGCGCCCAATCGGCGCAATGTCATGGCTGCATTTCCATCATGCAGTGCAGGTTTATTTGTGAGCCCTACCCAACCTGCATATATCTAACTGTCAGTTGCTGTATCTAAAGGTCTATATATGAAAAGACAAATTTCAGTCTGAGAATGGCTTTTCTGGCCTTGAAGGCCTCAGTAAACTCACCAATGCAGGTGTCTACACCTTCTACACCGAACAAGTCCTTGATGGAAACTGGCAAGCCATGCAACGGTCCCACTGTCCTGCCAGTGCGCTGCAGATGGTCATCCAGTAGCTTCGCACGAGCAAAAGCATCTTCAAAGAAGATCTCTGTACAACATGTGGTCAACTGGTGAAGTAATGCGGCTCTTTTTGCAAAGGCCTTGGTGACTTCGAGAGACGATAGCTCGCGTCTCGCTAGTTTACCGAGTAGTATATTGACATCAGAGATCTCGGTGATGGCAAGTTCTTGCGGCGTCAGTAACTTGTTGCTGCTGCTTCGGATATAAGCCTCTGCATCCGGAACGGCATCAACTGAAGGGATCGACTCCAGACGCCATTCTGGGGGGATCAGAGAGACCTGAATGGAGCGTTTGAGGCGGGCGCGGTCGAGGTATGAGGCGGACATGGTCTATGAATATATACACAAATAAATCTTATATAGTAATGTATTGAACTATCCTCGTTGGGTCTCGGCAGAAAAGGACAGAGAGAGAAAAAAAGAAAAGAAAAGAAGAGAAGGAAAAAAAGAAATTACCGGGCCTATATGATAGTGCAGGACTGAGCAATAATCAGGCGGCCGTAAATTAGAGCAGATCCATAGATAACTAGTGATGAGACTACTAATTAGTAAATACATTAGTACAGTCAACACAACCTCACGACACTCCTCTGTAGGCTTGATAACCGGAATAATAACCATGCCCACATGTTATGATAAGGATACATGTAAGTAAATGGCAATAATGAGTAAACGCCGAGTGATAGTTGACTACTTGCGCAAGCTAAACCTGACATGAAGTACAAGAACAAGAGTAGGTAGCCTTCCCCATGCGGCAATCGATCTCTTTGCTGCGAGGAACGGCACGGCACGGAGTTAGTGTACAATGTACACCATCAATTTTGGAATTTACACTTTCTCCAATCCACATATCAAGTATAATCTGGACCTCGATGCTCAACAAACAATTGCAATTCAATTTCGGTCTACAGCATCAGCAATCCGGCGATAGATAAGCGCGTGTTCGGCGTCTTTGATTTGCTCGCAAAAAACTGCAAATCTCCGTGCGAATTTCCAACTCTCTTCGTGTTATCGCTTCACGATGCTCTTTTCTTTTTTCAAAAGACGACGCTTGTGACTGACTGACCGGACTTGAACGAGAAAGGGCCTATTCAGACGTTGGACGCTGCTCTGTGCATGCATCTGAGAATGATTCAAAGCAAACAGAGACAGACCCTTTGCTTTCGCAATGCCGTTCTCTCTCTCTATATCGTTCAAACATCATGGTTTATCTATCTTATCACTCATGGAATCAATAGATAGCCTTCCGTATTGGGACATAGTCTGACGGTAAGTAGTAACAACTGTTATCATGATACCTAGATGCCGAGACGAGCCGATATCTGCGCCGAGTAGCAACGATCACACTGATAAGTACTCTCTATTCACTGATAACAAACAGTGCCCAGCTAGTTTCCACGAGTCTACACGATGCAAACAAGAACAAGGATACAATGACTTATAAAGCCCCGCTCGTTCGCCCCTGTAATGTTGCGGCCGCTGATATTTACATGAAGTGTGCCCATGTCGAGGCAATCCACCAACCACTCATCACTCCTCTCTCTCTCTCCATCTCTCTCTCAGCGCCATGTCCGGAAAAGCGCTTCCTCCGACTGAGGAGATCCTACCACCAGGCACCGTCCGCTTAGTAGAAACGCAGTCGGAGGGCATCATTCTCATGCCCAAGCCCTCGGCTGATCCAGATGACCCGCTCAACTGGTCGCGGAGACGCAAATGGCTAAACGTGGGCTTGGTGCTATTCTATGTGTTTTCTACAGGTATTGGCGGCACCTCCGTCTACTCGGTCCTGACCCCAATCTCCGAGGACACTGGCATCACCATCAGCCAGTTAAATACTGGCACGGGCTTTCTCTTCCTAATGGCCGGGTGGACCAATCTGATCTGGCAGCCCCTGGCTTTTACATTTGGCCGTCGGCCAGTGATTCTATTGAGCCTGCTAGGTTGTGTTGCCATCTCGGAATGGACAGCATGGATTGGCAGCTATTCGCCCTGGGCTGCAGCGCGGTGCTTGTATGGACTGGCGTGTGCTCCAGTAGAGGTGCTGCCAGAGATCTGTATTCCTGACGTGTTTTTTGCGCACGAACGTGGCACATATATTGGATGGTATATGCTGGTTTTATGCGCAAGTAATTTTATCGCCCCGCTGATTGCTGGCTTCATGAATGATACCTATGGCTGGCATTGGGTGCAGCACTGGTCCGCACTCATTTTGGCCTTGAATTTCGTCCTGGCCTTCTTTTTCTATGAAGAGTCAATGTACACGCGAGACAATGTCGAAGCCGAAGTCATCGACGACATATCATCACCACGGCCAGTTGATCCGCAATATCTAGCTGGTACGGGGAAGCGAACGTTTTTGCAAAAGATGAAGCTGTGGTCGTACAACCAAGTGTCACTAGCCCAGGCCTTCCGCATGGCGTACCGGCCAATTCTTATTTTCTTCCAGTTCCCAAACATCATGTGGGCTGGCTTCACATATGGATTTGCACTTGCATGGTAAGTTTTTAAAAAGAAATAAAAAAGCAAAAAATGTACTGGCAGGCCAATGTTTTCATGCTAAACCCATAACAGGTACAACGTCTACAATGCAACCACATCATCCATTCTCTCTGCAGCCCCATACAACTTCTCTGCGGCCACTGTCGGCCTGTCATATGTCGCACCTCTAATTGGCACACTCTTTGCCGGTGTTATATCTGGTCCGGTTGCTGACTGGTTGACTTTGAAGCTGGCACGGCGCTCCAAGGGTCTCCGCGAACCCGAGCAGCGTCTCTGGGGACTTATCATTTATTGTATTCTGATGCCAGCAGGTCTTCTGATTTGGGGTTTAGGCGCATACTACCAGTTGAGCTGGGGAGTTCTGTTGTTTGGCAGTATCCTATGCGGCTATTGCAATGTTACAGGGGGCAGTTATGCTCTTGCATATGCAGTCGACTGTTTTAAAGAATTATCAGGCGAGACTATTGTCTCTGTTATTCTGTGTCGAAACACACTCAGCTTTGCGTTTAACTATGCAATTACCCCCTGGATTGATGCACAGGGTTTACTGAAAACTTTTGTGGCTATTGCCGTGTTATCTTGTGGCTTTGGACTCAGCTTTTTGCTCATGGAGTGGAAAGGGAAGACGTTTAGGGCAAACTGTGCCGAGAGGTACTGGAGATATGTCAATACACAGGTTGTGAAACATGGCTGATCATACAAGACATCCGTTCGTGTATGATGCTTATATATAAGGGTTGATTGCCATGTCTGTCCTTGGTTGGTCCTCAGTTACCTAGACATTGATGGGGTTATACCTTAGTTATCAGAACAATCTTACAATCTAATATTATCTCTATTTAAATTGCCTGAGTCCTGTGTAAAAAGGGTAGCAAGAGTAATTAGCATTATTAGGATTTACATGTCCGGGTTGCAACAAGCGGCTCTTCGGTGCAACTACGTAACTAGCAGCTTCTGCTGTTACAAATATGAATCAAAATTTGAATTTATTAAAAATACACAGATATATAAATCAAAGGCTAGGCATATAATAGAAAAGTATAGACACACATTTCTACATGTGTGAACACCGTGCACAGGATTTGACGCATTCAATGCATTATATCCATCAGTAACACAACTCCCAGCTATCGCCTCCATCAAATTTATCGCCGATCCATGTTGGGTACTCGGTGTGATCATCCTGATAATGTGTAGCCCTGATAAACCCGCCTCCCAGGAGTTTTCCGAAAGGAAATGTTTTATGCTCTGCTCCGGCCTCAAGTACCTTCAAGAGACCATTCGAGCTATCGATGTTGATAGGGAGAGACTTAAGCCCATCCTTCGACCATTCTATCAGCTCGAGGAAAACTTCATCGTCGAAGATCATCACCGTCTCACTATCAGAATTTCCTTTAATTGCGATTCGGAACCTTGATTTACGGCAGGTAGATAGCTCAATGGATTCCTCTCCTGGAAACGCTGTGCGCTTGGCCCAGTAGCGTTGGGGTTGGCTCTTGTCACGAATAGAGAAGACTCCACCTGTAATGTGATCCGGCATATCCAAGTGAGGAATTGGAGGAACATTGGTATCATTCTGGTTATAGCTACCCCGATAGTCGATACTGATGCGGCCCCGAAGACGATCCTTGTATTCGTCTTTGATTGGAGCTAAGCCGTTGCTTATCTCGTTGATTGCCTCTTTGAGTGCATCCATGAGAGGGATGTAATTGCCATCATAGCGGTTCCAGATCCACACTTGAGGCGAGGCCCTTTTGAAGATATACATTTTGGATTTGGCGAATTGTGGCCCGTACTGCTTGAGGATGCGGAAAAGGAGGTCTGCAGTTTCGCGGTTCGGCGTGTAGATGAGGTTACGATAATAAGGGGTTCCTGTTTGTGTATCTTGCCACAGGTTGGACCAACTTAGAGCAAGAATAGTATATACCATGATTAAGTATTTCAAGATGAGCTGAATGAAGACAATTCTGAGATTAGCTGGACGAGGCCGAGACTAGGCTGGATAGTCTCTATCAGATTCTGTCTGGTATGGTTTGTATAGAATCACCATATACAATCCGTGAAAGCATTGGCTAGTTTCAACTTGAAAACACTCGAACTTTTTGAGGGAGTTTCGTCACGTCTTTTGGACGTAGTGGACCACAGCTGCTAGACAGAACAAGTCTCCGCGTGGGATAGTCTGTTGGAATTAAATGTGCATTTCCGAATTCATGTTGTCAATGTGGATCTTAAGTATTGACATGCACCTGTTGCTTCGAGATTTTGGTTCATGATGTGAACCGTAATAGTAATTGTCTGGTAAGAAGCCAACTTTTCATCTAAAGAACAGCAATGTTATTGCAGTGGAGAACTTCACATGCTACTTACTGTCTAATACTATCTACTTTTGTCTGGTAACTGGTGAGGACGTGACAGTATTAGAATTGTCAACACGTATGCGTTACGAGATATTAGACCCGAATATCAGCCAACGCTGAGGAAATAAGCCCTCTTCAAAGGAATCCCATACATCTCCATTTAGCTTAGTTTTTATCTTTTACCATATAAAAATTTATCTGCATATGCCTCCGTCGTGTTGTTTAGAGACTGAAGCTATCTATAGAGGTGCAGATACTTGGATTAAGTCATGATGATACCAACGACTTAACCAACTACTTTTCCCTAACAGGATTGTCTATGTTAACAATGCAAAGATATGTTGACAGCTGAATGAATTCTGAAAACGAATTCCCTTCTCCTCCAAATATACTATGTAACTGTTACATTTTCGGTTCCGGCAGTCTATCCGGTCTTTTATACGTTGCAGCAAGATTGTTGTAATAGATGGAGTTTCTATGCGATTCACTATGTATACATATTTCCATCTATTCTGTAATTAGGCTCTAGGACTGTAACTCATTTTCCCATGAAATAACTATAAATTCATTCTACTATTGCGATGTCTTTCTACAATCTTGTGTACAACCAGGATCCCCCCGAAAGGAGAGATGGTTATTTTAGACAGGCTTTGATCGTATGTCCTGATCGAGCAACCTCCGACCTCTTCTTTCGGTATATTCAAGACCAGCTGGAGTTATCCGAAAAGGCACATTTCAAAGAACTCAGGCGCTTGTCTCCGCAAATTTGGACATGGGCTGGCAAAAACAACACTTACGAAATTGAATATGCTTGCGAAGCAGTCAATCTCGGATACGCAAAGGGGAGGAGGCAACATTTGGAAAAATTGCAGGGAAGAGTTTTCATGCGTTCCCTGGCCAATGCCAATACGCTTACTATAGGGCCTGCGATACTCCCCAGATTGGAGGATCTGGCAGATCATATTTCGGGGAACGTCTTCTGTATTCGGAATCAGCGCGTGCCGGATCGATACTGGCTCAAGCCTGATGTTACTAACAACAACCCGGGTAAGAAACCCGTACAACCTTCCAACGACCAACGATCACGGTTTAAGATCGAGGTTTCAAAGCAACACCAGCCTGGAACGCTGATGGTAGAGGACGACGATGTTAGGATGTTTCTAGTGCACGACAATGTCGATTACCTCATCAAAAAAGCTAAGGACGGCCGGTTAACTACCAACGAAGGGGACGAACCGTTCGTCTTCCGTTTCGGTCGACTTCTTAACGGTGGATTTTTATCAGAATACGCCTCTGATAAACAGAAGTATATCTGGTACACCCCCGGTGATGAGAAATCCTCACTTTCCGGAGAGATATGGGAGTTATGTTGAGGCAACAATACGTTCCAGGTAGGGTGACATAGCCCTAACTTAGGGAGCTGGCTGGATTCCACTTCCGGAAATGCCCAGTTAGACAGCACCTTACGTCTGATCGGTAAATGAATATATATGACAGAGTTTGCAAAGTCTTGAATTCTTTCTAGTATTGTACTTAATGATACGAAACCAGAACATGGAAATTTATGTGACTGGTGTGGATTGAATCGGAAAGGGTTACGATCCTGAAAGCGGAAATTGCGAATCTGCAACATCAATTTTGTATATAACCTGAATATTCATTATCCCTCTCGCAAATCGTGCACCTCTAAAATTTCTGAGTAAATTCCTACAGCTCAACCAAAATGGTGATCGGGGTCGCAATGATGGCAGCTATGGTTCCTACCGTTTACGCTGTGGGCGAAGCGAGTAATAGAAAAGATAAAGGAAAGGAACAAAATAGGGACGACCAGGAGGAAAGATACCACTTAATCACGAAATGTCATCTACCCTCCGTTCCTCAACATCAGAAAGCACAGGTCCACAATGCCAGGGTTTATTTGGACCTTGATGGCAGAGTATGATACAACACAACTTCTGAAGGGATCGATGTATTACTAACTACTCCAGATATATATAAGCCAGCACCAGTTACCTCGCATAGTTCCATTTGCTGGATACTTCTACTCTCATCCTGATTTAGAGCAAGGCAACCTGGCCGGCCTCGTAACCGTCAGTCCTGAGACACCACCACAGCTGCGCTGGACTTTCCTCGACTCGAACACGCATGAAATGAGGTGGGGAGGAGTAAATGATAGGGAAGGTCACATAAGTGGGCCATTTGGCTTGCACGATGATGGATCTCTCACGCTGAATGGAAGCCGAAGGTGGATGGCAGTGAGGCACCACGAAGATGGGGATCACGAAGCAGAATCTGACCCTACGGCTGCGTCGGGACTTTGGAGGCTCTATTTTGATTCAGGAGAGAACCACTCCGTTGACTTACCGGCTGGTGCGGAAAGTATCGAAATCGAATTAGAAATGGTTCGCTATCCCCGGAGGCCTACTCATTCGACTTCCTAGAGATAGATTAGACCACTACACGGTACCTGTATTGTAGAGATAATTTGTTTTATTGAGAAACACTATTAATGTTTTACAATTTGGATCAAATGATTTAGACAGTAGTCATCATGTTTGCATGTAGGGTGGGCAAGCTGGCACATGCTCCTTCAGTAGAAAGTCTACACGAGCAGCATTGCCTAGTTAATAAAAATCGTTGTTAGTCATTCCTAATCTGAGTTATAGACTTCCTTGGCCATCAATTTAATAAAGTATCATAATACGTGACAAACCCCCGAAGTCTTATAAACACTGACTTTCTCATTATTCCATTACGTCTAGAAACCAAGCATTATACGTAACAGGTGGTAAATTTACTGGGATATACAGGTCTCATAAAATTATATCTATTACATGGCAGTTCGAGCACTACGCATATGCTAGCACCAAAATTCAGAACACGTACGTATGTTTCACCTTAGTATTATACGATATTGAGATCTTCCAAGATCCTCCGCATCCGGCCTAATGCTCTCTTCGTCCAAGATCCATGAGGAAATGGTGTTTTCGGAAGTTTTTACTCAGTTCTGATGTAAACAGGTCCTTTTCGTTCCGAATTCAGCGGTATAGAAAAGAAGTGATAACCTATAACCTTTTGCTGACCATATCCACTTTCGATGGCTTGACATTACATGTACCATACTACAAAATTTCATCATCGATCTTATCATGGTGTGAAGATATTTAATGAATTCTGCAATAATGTGTAACACCTTGAGTAGGGAACAGCAAACTCGACGGTAAAATAATCCGACACTCGCAACTCACTGAACGAGCACTTGTGGGTTTTCACGTCTTCCGGTTTACAATTTCTTTCCCTATACTTCAATCCTTCGCAGGAATTCCACCACAAAATGGGACAGCGTGGTGAAGAGTACGTAGCCATACCTATCAAAATATCCATCTTTTCCTTCTTCGACTAAAATTGAATCGATAAATCTTTGTTTTAAATACATAATACGTTGGGCTGACTTCAACTGCTCAGTGCACCGGACGAAAATAAGACCGAGGACCAGTATAACGCCGCTCAGGAGCACCAAGAAAAGCCCAATGTCGATCAGGGTGAAGGTGAAAAGGGAAAGGTCAAAGCTCAATTTACTGAAGAACCACTGCCGAAAGGGCCTTGGGGAGATCGTGGAGTTACACACCGCAATGCAGGATTGTATAAAGTCCCCGAGAAGTCCTCCACTCTCAACGTCCGTATCAACTTAGATCTGAGAGCCGACGTCGCTTTAGAGCTACACGCAGTTGTGCAGGGATCTGTTATCATCGGCTTATTCTAAGGTCCCCGATAGAGGCGACATGTTACTGTTTTGTCTTAAGTATACGGAGTACCTAATATGAATACACTGCTATTTGAATAGGAAATGAGACTGTACTTGCTCGCTCTAATAAATATGCACACTACAGTAGGACTAAAGGCAGTTCAACTGTATCTAGACCTGTCAACTTCAGCAAAATACTCGGCAATATGTCGCATTTTATATGTGGAAATACATTATTTTGGTCTTCTCAAGTATACTAAACATCACAATCTATTTCTTGTTAGTTCTGGTTCTGGGGACTGGAGCCAAAGGTAAATGCTCACAGAAAAGACATTATAAATTCTCCTTTTATTATCATGTTGATGTCCATTTCACGATCAGAGTTGAAATTAAAACACACTCGAACAATGTCATCTTGATCATCACTTCGTTGATGCTTCGATAAATTAGGCACTTCTTCCGAGTTCGTTGGCGGATCATTTCTCGTGGCATTTTCCGGGATTATATTTGCCTCGCTTAGAAGTTGTCTCATGTCATATACACAAGGCTTAGTTTCCTTTTCACGGAATCTAGTGTTGGAATAGTCACGCTTGTCCGAGATCTGTGGTGCTGAAAGACACGTCTCTTCGCCGATATGGAGCTTTTTCTCCATCTCTGCCATATACTTCCTTGACAGTTATCGTTAACATAGAATGTTCCTTGGCCACCAAGATAAAAGAATGCATGAAAGCCCGAGAGAATAAGAGGAGATAAAATAATACTATTTTAATTGTTTTCGGAAGTACAGTGCAGACCGAAAACATGGCTGATGTAGCTAGGGATTCCGTTCACGGCTGACCAACATACATCCCTAAAATGGCAAGTGAGCGGCGGCAATATCTTATACACAAACTGATTGCTTTACTAGTCAACGTTCCTCGGTCTACGTAGCTAGGTACATACGCAAGCTCGTCCAGCCGGTGATTGCGAGCTCTATTTTGTGTTTTATCCCACTGACATGCAAGCTGTCATATGAGTATTATGGAACCATGAAAGGTGAGTTATCGGTGAAGCCGTTCAAAACCCGGTGCTAAATAGTAGTGCTGCTAGCTGCTCTTCAAAGAATCAATTCGGCACACATCACGCTGGATGGTGACCTTGTAGCTTCGTCAAATCAAGGTCTTCTCGCTTTCGTCGGAATTGAAGATGGTGATACCGAGGAGGATGTAGATTCAATGGTTCAACGGATTTCACAAACCGTGCTATGGCCTGAGAAGAACGAACCCCAGGTGAGTCGTTATTTTTTGTGTTAATGCTGAACATGATAACTAAATTCTGAAATACGCTGGCTACTTCAGAGAGAGTGGAAGAGAAGTCTTCAACAAACTGAAGGAGATATACTGTGCAGTATGTCACTATCATTCAGAACAGCTTGTCTAGATTCTCACATTGGCAGTACCTCAATTCATTTTACATGACCAGCACAAACACGTGAGCGCACTGGACTCACCAGGTATTGCCAATTTTGCAAGAGCGCAAGACCAATATCAATTATTTATGCAAAAATTGAGCAATACCTACAGGCCGGAACGAGTGAAGAATGATTTCTTTGAAGCTATACTGGCTGTTCCTTTAAGTAAAGATACGCCTCTCGGTATATCATACGAAAGTATAGACTCGGCAGTAGGTTTCCTCTTGACAAGTTTGGGATCAAATAGTGCTATACTAACCCTTAAATAAACCAACTAGGTTATGATTAAGATCGTCACCCAGGTGGCGAATGAGAAAATGAAACCAAAAGTAGAGAGAAAGAGCTATGAGATGGATTTCCCTGCTTCATTGCAAAAGTGAAAAAACACAGAGCACATCAGTATTATTGTTTTGTCTGGTATGGTTTAATCTATATACGAAGCACCTATTTGCGCTTTTTCTCCATTATTCGCCTTATAAACGTACAAGACACAACAACATATTATTATTAGTACAGCACTGGACAGTCATCAGCCTCACGTCACTGCGTGCCCCCTCTTGCGGTTGCATTTGTATACAGTGTACTCGACATTTTTGTTACACGAATCTATATCATAGTCCAGGCAAAGTAGTTTTTTCCAGTTGATTCAAATCTTATTCGCATTTCGACGAACTATATCGTTTGGCACCATATCTCCCCTGTTTGCTTCAAGACGAAAAGGCTGACGAATCATGTGATATGTTAGGGCTAGGGCTACCATGAGCAATGATATATCATCAAAGTAGTTGCTATCATAATTTTTGTTCTATTATTTACATTTTGAATAACGAATATATCCATGAAGAACTAGAGAGAGTATCAATCTCGGGCTCTCAAGGGTCTTAATATCCAGTGCCGTAGTTAATAATAACATTGTTACCACTGAGATATGCAGTAGCAAGAACATCGCTACCCTGAACCATGTCAAGGATGTTTGAAGGGGACGCTCCCCAAGAGGCACCGTTAACGGTAGCATCGGTGTCGGCCCAGTAAACCTGGTTGAAATCGGCGAAGGGAGCTAAAGCATTATTGACACTGTAGTCCTCAACAACCCATTCTGCAGTAACACGGCAAAGAGCTGGTGACATGCCAGACCAAGTGCGGCTAACGCTCTGCCCAGTAGAAGTGTTTTCGAGTGTCGCGGTACCACTGGTTGTGCTTGAAGTATCAATGGTAACAGTAATCAAATCACCCTGAGAGATAGCGATGTCCCAGCCCACTTGAGCTTCAGCAGGCCAGTACTCAGACCAGGCTGAATAACTGACAGCGCCATTTTGAATACACCAGTCGATACCAGCCTGCATAAGGCCGCCATCACAGTCGTTTTCGAAGCCATCAATGCCAACCCAGGCACAGCCGCAGTATGAAGTGGAACTGTCACCGCCAGATGGCATGTCAATGGCGGGAACTTCAAATGTGCCGGTGACCGTGGTAACATCAGAGTTTTCAATAATGGCACCAGCCCAGTTCTCTGTAGTGTAATCTGTCGCTGCGATGCCGGGAAGGGTAACATTAGTGAGAACGGTCGGTCTCGAGGTGCCGGTGGTCGAACGTCTAAGGGACAATGCCACGGCAGGCCCTGCGAGAAGCAATGGCATGAGCTTATTGATGGAGGCCATGGTTTCCTGAGTGTTGGGAAGTAGGCGAGAGAAAGTTTCAGGACCGGTGGAGAACTGATTGGGAAAATGCAATGAACACCAGCAGCACTTGAATCTATTTATACCTCACTTGCCTGTTTTCCTACGCCTCGGAGGCTTAGTTCTTGGAGTCTTTGAAAATACTACCTATGGAAGAGGGCGTTCGTTAGACTCATGCTAAAAGATATTATTCTCTTCTTACTATACTAGATGAAGTAAAGCCCTGGGGATGTGGCTGGAATTCGTAACCAAATTAAGTGACCCTATAATCAGATAACATAAGTCTTAGACTTATTCGGCCTAGAAGTTGGTCATCTTTCTACTACTCTGGATCCTAGGGGAAGATATATGCAAGCCTCCTCCCCGCATTTGCAAAGTTCGTATAAACGCCGTGCCTGATCTAGCTTTGTACCTTATCTCGTAGTGAAGCAGACCATATCAAACTAATTTTATGTGGTTTTCGATGGCATAAATCCGCGCAACCACGAGCTCATTCCATTGGGCCTTGAAGATCGGGTGGTCAGCAGGCAAATGCTAAATGGTATTTAAACTCTAGCGCTACTACAGACAGTGGCACTTCGTACAACATGTCAGCAGCTGGGGCCAAAATCCTACTGTCGAGCTCCATTAGCGAAATTGACGTTGCATCCGCCAACTCAAAATATGGGTTACCTTGGCCGCATTTACCTATAAACACGTCGCGTTCCGAAAGTTCCTTCAGCTTGAGCCTTGAAGTACTCTGTGTATCTGTGATTATGCAAATTGATTTTCTTCTTGTTCACGCTGAAGCTGGGATATGCATAAAAAGATAACATAAACATAGTTTCTCATTGAGGCGCATCTTTCTATTTCCTGGTTCCAGTAGCAATATCATTTAAGTTTCAAAGGCAAAGAAAAAAAATAAATTTTGCTATATGTTAATCACTTACGGTCACATACCGATCCTTCACTTAGTGCTTGCCCTCGCAGGGACGGAGCCACGAATTAGGGCTAAATGCACTACTGCATCCGCTCTGGCTGCAGAGCAAGTTGTGAAGTTACTTAAAAGCCAGCAGCGTAGACACACGATAATGGAGGATGGCCATTCTTCTCTTGTCTTTATCTTCTCTAGGGCTCATACAGTATGATCATGATATCTTGGATGCTGCTTCTACTAGGATAATTATTCGAGTTGGGAAGAAGAATCATCATCCATCTAAATGTGCCAAAACAAGACTAATACTATCCCGTGCATGAGAACTCGTCTGTGTAGATTACTATTGAATAGTACCCTGCAAGCCAGTCCTCGCCTGAAGGATTCGCTACAATATTCAAATATCTCCCTGTGATCAATACTTCCTATTCCCTTAAGGGCATTCCACTCCTGAAGACGTAGTCGCTTTTTGAGGGGCAGGTCTGTTTACTCGGACACATGATATGCAAGTAGATGAAAGTGAAAGTTGCAAAAGGTGCCTCCGGTCTCCGCTTCAAATTATTGAAAACATATAACGAACTAAAAGTAGAGGACCCTGTCGTCTGGATTTTAAATTTACATAGATCCCTCGAGGGTGACAATGGAGAGCTAGGTTATATATTTAAATAGGAAAACGTCCATCAAGGCCGGTTGGAGTAGTTGGTTATCTCGTATCCTTAACATCCCACGTTAATCGGATAAGGTCGCCGGATCAAGCCCGGCACTGGTCATTATTTTTCGCTTTTATTTTTTTTTTCATTCTATCTATAATAATAACACTTGATCAAGTCAAAAAAAGACGGCAAGGACACTGATTTTTTGCATAAAAAAACTGAGGTGGAGAAAGATCATCTTTTTTCTCTTGTTCTTTGAGTATGCTTGGTTCGCTGGTTGACAATTAGCAAGGACTGGTTTTTGCATACCAAAAAGAAGATAAAAGGAAAGACAAAAAAATAAACTGATATGTTGCTTGGTTGACCAGTGCCGGGCTTGATCCGGCGACCTTATCCGATTAACGTGGGATGTTAAGGATACGAGATAACCAACTACTCCAACCGGCCTTGATGGACGTTTTCAATTTTGATTATATAACGTCTCTCATCCCCTCCTTGTGAGAATACCCGGTAGCGTCTGCGAGGATACTATAAATCGTAGTCCTTCAGGGTGAAGTAAATTGACATCTTTGAGGTTGGGTATTGGATAACTGGACTGGTTCTTGTAGTAATTCGAAGGATTTGGCTTAATATTATAGAACGTTGACGGTTCTGCATGTTTCGGACTCGGCTCACTATGATACATAGTTCACTATATATATCTCGATGAATACTATCATACAGATAACTGTTGTGCATAATCGGATCCGGTTCTCGTACCCTTTAGATCACTTGGATTAGGTGCTTTCTGTTTCCCGACCCAACGAAGGGCGTCGTTCTCGCCACTTTTCGATAAGTAACCTCGCACTATTGCCACACCTTGAAACCAGCACCCGCGGACAGCGGTATATATCCAGTGTACCTGGGGTACTAGCTATTATCATGGAAGCTGAAGGAACCATTTCCGAACAGTCTTTCGTCCATACCCAGGTAAAAAATATCATGTCAAATAGTAGACGAGTAGACCTACATAGTTAGCTCTCTTGAACCCACCTTTCCAGTCAAGTTAACATCTCTCCTGGGTCCTTGGGATGGCCGCTCAAGAGTTCCACTAAACATGATCACTGACCACGGAAGCTGGATACACAAGACTACACATCCGTGATGGCTGGAATGGTGGAATAACCCAAAGTAAAGCAATGAGATTTACTACAGGTCCTGACGTTCGTCATGTGTCAAGGCAATCCCCACGGTAGCACTATCACATACCTGTTTCTGGCGAGATTACTTAACTAATGCTTCGGATGAAGTCATGAATATATACACCCTTTCGATCTTGGAGGGGGTATTATTTTTTATTTTTATTTTTATTTTTATTTATTTGACACCGTCCTGGCCTTCATCGGGATCTCCGCTAGAACGAGCTTTGCATTTCACCAAGAGACAGAACCTGGACAACCACAACTTCTGCAAAAATATCCAGTAGCATATCTAGTAGTATCTGTCACAGGAAAACGAACAAATGAACCACACAAAGACTCGCCTATTACGCCTTGAACGTCTTCGACGCATGATGATGGATGATGCTAGATGGATTTGGATTGAAAGTATGATGACTAACTAGCATAGAATAGCCCAACATCCTCACCACGACTCGTACACAGTTTTCTTCGCCGATCCAAAGTACCCTTGTATGTTAAATCCAGAGTCCATCTACATTGCAAATCTCTATAAAGAATGATGAAGACCCCACAGGACAGAAGAACATTCATTTGATAGCTGCTGGGGCTCCAAGGGTTGAGTTAAGAAAGAGAGCAAACTAAATGACCCCGCGCATAGAACTATAAAATACAAAGAACACGAAGGAACTTTGGAATATATCAAAGTCTCGGGATAATTGAAGGAGTGGAAGTTGAAGCTGGATGAAACGATCGTAACGGGGCACAGTGGCACTGCCAAGACGCTAACCGTAAGAAAACTAGCCCGCCAAGAGGGCATCACATCTTCATTTCATTTCTAACTATCGCCATCGCATATGCTGGATTCCTACCTGCACTCACGTCGCTTTTTTTCCAGGATACCATATAAAATTGCGGGGATTCATTCGTGCGGATCTTTTTTCCCGCGATGCCTTCAGCGAACAAGCCAACCAAGAACCAGCTCAAAAGAGCTCGGAGAAAAGCCAAAAAAGATGCCGTAAGTGCTATTTGATCGCGACTGTGAAGCGAACTTGTAGAAACTGACTGATTATTTCTGTTCTCCCTGCAGGAATCAACGGCTCCTCCTGAACAAGGAGCGAAACCTGGCGAAGTTGATAAGACAGTCGATGATCTCCCAAAGCCCGAAATAAAAAGTATAAACCAACAACCCGAAGATGCCGCCCCAATTGACGAGAGTCTGTGGGAGATGTACAAGGATATCGCAAACAAATTTGAGACCGGAGAGACAGAAGAATTGCAGCTTGGAACCTCAAAGCCCCAGGTCTTCTTTGACGAAGATGACGAAATACCAGATGAAGAAGAAGAGGAAGAGCCGAAAATGTCCAAACGGAAGCGAAAGGAAATGACCAAGCTGTCTGTTGCCGAACTCAAGGCCTTGGTTCAAAAGCCTGATCTCGTTGAATGGACCGATACCTCGGCTCCTGATCCGCGATTGCTTGTTCACATTAAAGCGCACCGCAATGTCGTGCCCGTCCCCAGCCATTGGTCGTTAAAGCGCGAATATTTGTCTTCCAAACGAGGTATCGAGAAGCCTGCCTTTGCACTCCCCAAGTTTATACAGGAAACCGGGATATCTGAGATGCGCGACGCTGCATTGGAAAAACAGGAACAAGCCACATTGAAACAGAAGCAACGAGAAAGAGTACAGCCTAAAATGGGCCGTCTGGATATCGACTATCAGAAATTGTATGAAGCATTTTTCAGATTCCAAACCAAGCCGGAATTAACACGATATGGCGAGGTTTATTACGAGGGCAAAGAGTACGAGACGAATCTTCGCCATTTACGTCCAGGAGAGTTGAGTGATGAGTTGAAGGAAGCACTTAACATCCCTCCTGGAGCTCCCCCGCCTTGGTTAATTAATCAACAGAGATTTGGTCCTCCTCCTTCATATCCAGCATTAAAAATCCCTGGGTTAAACGCCCCGCCTCCTCCTGGTGCGATGTGGGGATTTCACCCGGGAGGCTACGGAAAACCTCCAGTTGATGAGCACAATAGGCCTTTATATGGTGGCGATATTTTTGGAGTACTCCAGACTCAGCAAACTGCTCAACATGGAGAACCAGTTGAGAAGGATCTCTGGGGCGAGTTGCAACCGATGGAAGAAGAATCCGAGGAGGAAGAGGAGGAGGAAGAAGAGGAAGAAGAGGAGGAGGAGGAGGCAATGGATAATGTACATGCGCAAAGTGGGTTGGAAACTCCCAGTGGCTTAGTGTCGACAGTTCCATCCGAATTTGGGGCGGCCGAGAGTATTGGTGGAGAATTTGATGTGCGCAAACATCACCGAGGTACAGAAACAGAAGAATACACTCAACCGAGGGCTGCGTATCGCGTCATTCCCGAGCAGGCATCCAGAGTTCAGGGATTCTTTGGCGGTGATCGGACCTACGACCTCAAAGCACCGGAAGCCAGTATGCCAGTACTCGGAAGCGAGGAGTCGCATCGCAAGCGAAAGAAGCCAGAGGATGTCGAAGTCTCGATGGATCCTGATATGTTACAAAGCGGTGATGGCATAAGTAAAGAACACCTGAAAGGCTTATACGACGCAGAGAAGCGGCAGGAGTTCTCACAGTGGAATTTTCAAGAAGACCTCAGTGACATGATTGCTAGCGAAAGCAAAAGGATCCGTAAGGAAGAGGAGAGGCGCGGGAAGCGTTGAACAACCCAGCGAGTCCATGCTTCTAGACCCAGGATATGAGAGGGTGGAGAGCTATGTATGATTAATAGCATATGCCGTTGGCATCAGTAGATTATAATGCACCAACAATATATCTATCCTTTGCATACCGTGTCGTAGTAAACCAGAAGATCAATTCAATATCAACACAAAAATTGTACTTCGTAAGAGGCGACTTTGGTTGGTGGAGACCGGCTATACCCACAGCAACTAACCGAAATGATACTAGCGTAGCGTGGAGGCCGCCCAAGACGGCAAGTCAAGACTTGCAATTCTTCCTTCTTTCTCTGAACAAGCAAGCATTTCTCTATCACGTTTTCGCCTTTGAATGACCACGCTCAGCTCGCTCGATCGCTCGACTCTGTTTCATGAAGAATTGTATAGAGACCGCGTCAATATGAGGTTTGAAGAGCGTCGGGGCGGCGAAAGTTATCGTCCCTCAAATAGACATTCTCGCTCGCGCTCTCGAAGTCGTATACGGCGGCCACGCTCACCTCCTCCTCGAAATAGGTCTCCGCGAATGGGGGCTGATACGTGGGTACCTCGAGGCAGCTATCCCTCAGAGAGATATCGCAGCCGATCCCCCCCCGGTCTTCATCGTTCTCGAAGTCCAGCCTATCGTCAACCTAAGCGCGAACGATCACCGTTGAGGCCGAGATCACCACGGCGCGAACGTCCCAGATCCCCCATTCGATCATCCTGGCGGTCTCGTTCACCATATGCTCGAAGACCGCCTCTCGATTACCAGTCTTCTAGGGGCGTTGGGGATAACTTTCGAAACTCACATATTCCAAGGTCACCCAGAAGGGAACGACTACCATCACCACCACGTGATAGGCCTAGAGATGGTCCATCACCTTCACGATCAACATTCAAAGAACGTGACTCATACGGCCGCCCAGCAGGTCGATCCAGGAGCCCGTATCGCGGTGGTCGTTCTCCAAGGAATGACTCCATTATGAACAGGCGAACACTTTCACCCGTGAAACGGGCACCCTCAGGTCCTAATTCGTCTTTAAATTCGGGATCTACTTCACGAAGATCTTCACCACCTGTTGGCCAGGAGCGGCTCCGTGTCCCATCTTTAGGTCCAAGTAGTCGATCCCCTACTTTGGATACGTCGTTTCGGCGGGTTACGAACGACGATGCAACGAGACCTTCATTATTGTCCACTACAGTGTCACCATCATCTCCAGCACCCGGAAAACCTGCTAGTGCATCGTTAAGTACCGTAGAGAATCAAACATCGACTGTAGTCTCCGGTCGAACAACTACAGATGCTGGCCGTCCCAGTTCTAGCAAATCACCGAGACCTCACGGCGATGGCGTTTTTAATGCAGACAGGGACGATGGATGGAAGGACCCGGGCTCTAACACATCGCGAAACTCACCCCTTCCTGGGGGACCTAGCGCAACATCGTCGTCATCATCGTCGTCATCACAGAACCGCCCATCTAACATATCCATGCTGTCCGCACCAACAAGGCCCCGAGGATCCGCTGGATATAGCGGCCGTGACCCTACATGGACAAGCTCTTCGACACTGAGACGTGCCCCTCCGCCACCTGCACCCAGTGGTCCACCCACAGGGCCTCGAAACAGATACGTATACAGTCCTCCGGTTCATGACTTACATCGCGCGCCAAGTTATCGACACAATAGCAGTGTTTCGATTAATCATCAGCGAAGCACGAGAACAAATTATCTAGCCACGCTGCCAGTAGTCATCAGTGGAGGACGACTCCTACCATCGACATTTGATTTTTCCATTGAAAAAAGGCTCTTGAGTCTCAGGGCTGACGAAGAGAAACTGGGGGAACAAATGTTGGAAAAGCAGCACCTGAAAAGACTTGGATTGCGGGATTGGGATCGGCTGCAGCGTGAAAGTGCTTTGAATGCCCTGAGAAGCGAGCTTGCAGAAGTGCATCTTCAACGGATGACCGAAGAAGACAGGCTGGAAGGAAGTAATGCTTTTTAAGATGACATTTATGTACATTTTATGCCAATGATGTATTATATTAGAATACCCGGGTTTGGTTCTTTCTATTTGAGCAGGAGAGAAATAGTCCAATTGTATATTTTCTAGTTGACTCTGGTGTTATGTGTTTTATTATTATTTTTTTTGGTTGTTGTAGTGTTGTTTGTAGCTATAGTATTGGTTCAGCGTCACGGGGCCCGCTCTGTGGCTCGCCGCTTTATCGGCGGATCTGCCTCGCTTTAGATGCATCAACTCTCGACAATTCTTTTCTCGAGGCCACAATTGCTCGTCGCCTGCTTGTCTGTCTGCCGTGTCTATGAAAGGGACGACCGCTTACCTCTCTCTGCGCCAAACAGCACGCGACTTTCCCAAACCCAAAGCTATAAAATAGCTGTCTTCTTTCTCCCATCTCGTCGCAAACTCGGAAACGTGTCCACTCGCGCGTTTTCGCAACAATTCCTTCCAAAATGAATATCTTCAGACTTCTAGGTAAAAGACGAATCCTCTGAAGAGTGTCGAAGAATTGATTGATCATGGAGCGCTGATTTACGGAAATCGAAATAGCCGATTTTTCGCATCTGATATCCATACTCATTCTTCTGCAGAAGATGAAGTCAACAAACGTCAGTATAATAAGACTATAACCTGCCACTGCTTCGACGATTCGAATTTACTGATTACCCTTTTTTTAGAGCTGTTCTGGACTCTCCTTCAAATCACAAGCGTTATATCTGATCGTGTTTGTAACACGTTACCTAGGTTTGTCCCATTGAGTGTGAGCTTCTGAGTATGGAAACTAATGTTGATTCCACCATGCAGACCTCTTTTGGACCTTCACAGACTCCCTGTATAACACCGTTTTCAAGATCCTCTTCATTGGCTCGTCAACTTATACCCTCTATCTCATGCTTACGGAGTACAAACCCACGCACGACCCAAATACGGATACATTCAAGGTGGAATACCTTCTTGGCTTCAGTGCCCTTTTAGCAATACTGTTCCCTCAGCAATACACCATCTCCGAGGTAAACTTGCACCTTTACACAGTACACTTCGCATAATTATTAACTGGGAGGGGAAAAAAAACAGATCCTTTGGACATTCTCCATCTGGCTGGAATCCGTCGCAATCTTACCTCAGTTATTCATGCTACAACGTACCGGCGAGGCAGATACCATCACCACACACTACCTCTTTGCACTAGGTCTTTATCGAGCGCTCTATATTCCCAACTGGATTTATAGATACTTTTTCGAAGGCTTCTTCCACGCCATCCCGGTTCTGGCCGGTATTATCCAGACTGTCCTCTATTCGGATTTCTTCTATATCTATTACACTAAGTAAGTTTTATTTTCTTTCTTCTCTTGCTTTTTGGAATGACCAAGGATGCACGGACTAACTATCTGCTTTGTAACAGAGTTATGAAAGGAAAGAAGTTTGCCCTTCCTGTTTAGGCATGTTCATGATTTCCCGCTTTCTTATCCATAGGGATGTACTCCGATGTACTACTATGATACTACGGAGCAAGTATCATGAAGATTGTCCATCTTCTGATTAGCTATCTAGCTAGCTGGGTGCACATTACGAACTCAAGTCCCCCAGAAACGCCTAAGCGAGAAGGAGAAAAAGAAAGAGAGAGAAAACAACCTTATCCTTGGTGACTGAATAATCTATGGTCTGTCACCTATCAAGCTACTAACCTGAAACGAAACAACAAAAGTTAGCAACGGTGTAATGGGAATGACTTAGCCACCTTTTATGAAAGTCATTGCCCATTCTTGCTTTCCTCATGTATGCGTATGAATTATCCTTATTGTCCGGCTCACCTATATGTAATTTAGTTATGAAAATCGAAGATTTGAAATTATGAGATATACAAAAACAAGACATATCTCGGTATGACAGAAGCAGTTAATCTTGAATTAATAAATTAGGATAGAAGATTGAATGCATCTGTAAGCGTGTAGACTATCAACGCAAGAACATACTTTGATGACACGGAATATTTGAACATTGTATGCATTCATACATTTGGTCCAGACTATTTCTCTCTTCCAGCGAATGATGATGCATGAACGACTGAATAACGACATAACCAAACAAGCCAACGAATGTTCTCGAATGACCCTAACTAATAATAAATCGGTCCAACATCCCTACTCTTTTTTTTTTTTTTTTTTTTCCCTTTTCGCTTGAAGTTGTTGAATCTTTTATCGAAATATTGACGAATAGTAGTACTAATACTAACACAGTCTTCCTAGTCCATACAATCTTTCTCTCTTTCAATCAGCAAAACATATTCACCTATAATTAGACACGTACATATCAGGGACACAAACAGAATAGAACAGAACACAGGAGGAAAGAAGGGATAAATCCGGCGCTCAATATCCAGATCGATATCGACTATTTGCATGAGCTCCGGGCATGTAACCATACTGTGACTGCGACAGAGTCTGAGATGGAGAACTCTGCTCCGAAGCTGGAGAAGGAGGCAAGCTTGCATCGACGTGCATGTTGGAGCGTTTCATGGTGTGACTGGAAGACGTGGATGAAGAGGAAAGGTGTCTTCCATTGCTGCTGCTGCTGCCACCACTATCCGCATGATGCTGGCGATGCTGGTGCTGATGGTGCTGATGATGATGATGGTGCGGTTGAGCATGAGGGTGAGAAGCAGAAGCAGCATTATATGTCATTTCACCGTTGCGTGAGCCAGGAGATGGATACGCCCATGTTGCTGATTCCCGGCTTCTATCGGAATAGACATATGATGAAGAGGAGTTGCGGCGGTATTCATCATAAATAGATATTGGACTTGTTGGTTGTACTCTCATGTATGCTAATGGAGATTGTTGCTGTTGCTGTTGCTGGGCTCTGCTGAGTTCCATGGGGGGCGAGTTTCGTCTTGAATCTGGAGGTGAGAGGTGTGCTCCTCCACGACGTACCTGACATGTCGGGCATATCTTGACGAAGCGAGAAATGAGCTCCTTTGGTACCCTTGAAATGAACAAGCTCATAGTCAGAAATGTTTCGTGTAAGAGTAACGATGAAACGAATATACATCGTAGCAACAAACGCGGTGTATTCCATTGACTGGTCTTACCATGAATATATTTGGCGTACTTGACTCGACGTCTTATCACGACCTCCGTGTTGGCACTGTTGATGTGCTCGCGTCAATATCTTGAATAATTTCTCTCGAATTGCAACTGGTTTGCCCTCATGACATATCCACTTTCTGGCCTGAGGGAAGTCAGTCTTAAAACTTGTAGATATTCGACTCTGAACAAAGTACTGCTTACCATGGGAAGACGACTATCTGCCGGCTCGAGCTTAAACATCTTTTTCACCCAGAATCTAGTCCAGCTCAGCACATTGAACATATTCATCATTTGGAAGAAAAGGGGATTCACCTAAATTGAGCCGACCCAACAGCAGTATCCTTCGGATCCGTCAGAACCTTTCGAATATTCCGAGCTCTTCGGGCATTAATCAACGCCTTATCCTGTTTTTTTACCGAAAGATCATTGACATAGCTAAACCATGAGCCCGAGACATACTAACACAACAGAAAGCCAGAGGGACGGACAGGACGGATTACTAGGTACCTTTCCATTAGTTTGTTAAACTCCTCGACATGCGGGAAGCCATCTAATGGCGGACTGATAGGCTCAGAGAGCATGGTAGTCTCATTTATTGAGTCCTGGCTTTCCACCTCGCTTTCTGTGAATCCGCCGCCGTTCGTCGACGTGGTGAAGCGTGGTGCTTCGGGAGGAGGATACCCAGATGGACCCATGTATCCCGGGTGCCGGAGAGAGTACTGGTTGAAATGATGCTGCTGGTCATGGCGTAGAGGAGGAATTGGATTCATTTCTGGTGGCTGAAGGGTCATGGAAGCCTGGGGCTCGAAATAAGAGGGTGGATAAGAATTGAAAGGTTGGAGCACATTGTAAGATCCCGATGAATGGTTGTATGGAATCTCGGAATTTGCCGTATTCTCGTAGCAGGTTGTCATTGAAGTGGGTTCGCTTGAATGATGATTAGAATGCTCGTGTGGAGATCGTGTTTTGTAACCATTCATGACGAGGTCGATGGAATGCCGAAGAAGTTCAACCTTTTTCACTTGGCTGAAGCGGTTTTGTATGAAAAATATGGTCTGATATTGATCAGGACCTTCGTTGGTAGGGATGTATAGTAACAGCTCTATATAGATGAAGGAGGGTAGACAAATCTAAACAAACAAGCAAGAAAGTCTAAAAAAAGGTGATCAAGGTGATAAATGTCAATAGAGGAAGTAATTGTATAAGGTGCAACCTGACTTGAGAGAGGGATCTTGAATGTTATATACTTTCGGCAGGGTAGATAGTACAGACCACCATTCCCCCTCGATATATAAATGTACATAAGACCGGAAGATGCAGTCAGTCAGTTTGTTTTTTTTTTCGTACAAGCAAGTGAGGCTAGATGCAGATCGGCCTCGCATTAATTGAAAAGAAAATAGAAGGAATGAGGAATGACATGCTTTGGGTAAAGTCGGTGAGGATAATGCACGCCACACGAGGGGAGAAAACACACCGGGGGAGGGTAAAAAAAAAAAAAAAGAAATTGGCAATCCAGTTCACAAGAGACTGAGTTCATACGGGACCACGAGCACCGAGACATGAAGCATGATCTCATTCGCAGAGGCGGTGGGAAGATCGTGTGCGTATGTGTGTGGTAGGCAAGATCATGGTGTAGGGGAGAACACCCCTGCTCCTCAGTTGAGCGACTTTTTTTTCTTTTCTTCTTTTTTCTTCTGCATGCCGTTAGTATCGATTCCTCTGTCAGGTACACACCTAGCTGCTTTGGCCGGATGCAGTGAGGAATATCCCTATGTGCAATGTATATGATTCGCATGTCCCATATTTCGGACATTGGCATCAATGCTTATAGCCTCTCCGGGTATATAGTTTTAGTGTATTAGTGCGGGATCCTCTAAGATAAACGTGGAGAAATGACACAGCCAGAGTCAGGCAGGGCTGGCCAGACATGCCCGTTTCACTGCTATTGGATGCGTTGTCACGACAGTACACAGCCATACTCGAAGCCAAGAGCCCAATGAGCATTGACGGAGATTCTGAAACAGCATCCTGATTCGTCCACGACTGTCGACAGGGCACATGCCAGAGAGGCTGGTTGTCTGGCCTTTGCATAGGCAGCAAATGAGAAGCAGAGCCAAAAGAGCCATTTGCCACGTTGATCTACTTTGCTAGCAGCTCCTGTCAATCTTCTATTTGTTGTATAGCGCCGCCCTTGTCGGGAGAGCCACGAGTCAAACTCGTTTGACTGAAACACTAAGTTAACAGGACTGACAATTCTTGCAAGTTGTCGAGTTTTGTCGCCCAATATCTGGTGGACGGGGGTGGGGCAGCCTCCTTCATCAGGCTTCAACGTGAAGATTGCTTTTTTTTTTCTCTCTTCTTCTAATTCTTCTTCCTTTTTTCCCCCCTTTCTTTCTGCTGGCACTTTGTAGTCGGCTGTGGCGGGCAGCCATGTCACGAATGTATTATTGTGTTTTACGTGCAGCAAAAGTCCCACTTTTTGGTGGTGCTGCATCCCTGCTCTTGTCGTCGTCCAAGACTGTGCGTGCGTGCGGTGTTCGACGGTACGTCCTGCAGTCCTTCAGACGGAACATATTTGTGTCCGCTTCGTATGATGGCTGCTAGAAATGGAGGCGGCCTTGGTTCGTTGGGAGAAGAAACGAAGTTTGTGTGTTGTTGTCGTTGTCGTCGTCGTTGTGTGACGAGACGATCGGCGACATGGTTTTTGTGCCTTAGAGCCTTAGAGCCCCAGGCAGCAACAGCGCTGGCAAGTAACTAACGAAGTGGCTATGTTTTCCCTGGTTAATCAGACAAAGAACGGAATGATATTGAATATGCTGTGTAATTCTACCTTTTTGGGGCCTTTTCTTCATCTTTTTTTCATACACCCTACTCCCTTAAGAGGCAAGAGGAGAAAGAAGCACAAGGATACCTCCCTGTGTCTATACCTATGAAACCGGATCGACTTGTGAAGAGCCTACCAGCAACTGATATGAAAGCTTTCCTAAATAGGGCACCATCTCAGTATTACATATGTACGTAGTAGTGATTTCATCGTGAGATCCTGCAAACCCGAGCAATCCAATAGTATCAAGCTGTTATGTTCGTGGAAGATATATCTAGGCTATCCGATTCGGTATACAGATCGAACACGCGTAGCATCGCAGTCTGGAAGGTCCTTGAGGGTGCCACAGAGAGCTACACAGTACAGATAAGGATGTGCTATTGTCAATGAATGTCGACAATCGACTGGTCTGTTATGGTGTTCCTGAGCATCCGAATGGTCACACCTGTTCGCTTTCTTTCTTCACAGTCGGTCATGCTGTGTTCCCCTTGGTGTTTTAGATGACCTTGCCCCGAAATTGCTTGTGGTTAGGAGCGTGAGCATCTAGTAGCAGATAGAAATCAGCAATAGTGTTGACCAGAGAAATATATTATATGAAAGTTAGGGCTAGGGCTTGGTGGTCTCCTGCCCATAGCCCTAATTAATGATGATGGCATGACCCCAAAATTCTTACCATCTGACTATCTTCAATCGACCGATTAGACATGATACCAAATACTCAAACTTTTTTTCATCTCACTATCATCTGGAACATGCATTCAGCTTTCCCACCGGTTACCATGCATGTAAGCACCGAGCCAGCCAGAGACAATGCATTCCCGGGCAAGGGGGCCCTCAACACCTCGAACAAAAGTAAAAGCGATAAAGAGGAAAAACCTGAAGAGTTACCAAAAAAGAACTGGGATATCAGGATTCATTATCCATGCTCCATCTCTATGGTTTGTGTATGTACTATTCTCGACTAACCTCCCATGGATGTACTACTCATACATCCGGGGCGCCGGGGAAAGAAAGGACGAAAGACCGCATATATGCACATCCGGATTGACCGGACATATTATTATTGGCTCATCTGCCGTACAGGGAGAAAGAAAAAAAAAGAAACGCAAAATCATGTTCGGGTCAATTGATTTGGTGACACAAGGCCAAAACTTGTCTGGACCATGGGCGGTTGCTTGCATATACGTACATATAAACAAATACATCAAAATTCACTAACAGGAAGACTTCGTAGCGGCTTTATTTCTTGTCCCCTTATCTTCAATCTCTGCCATCTGACCTACTGCCTAAACGAATTTGTCTTTCTTTTCTTTTCCCACTCCTCACTTTGTACTTCTTTGATAGGTTGTTCTGTGGGGCTATACAGATCTAAGGCTACACCAAGGTAAAAAAAAGCAAAGAAAAGTCTCGAACATAGTCTAGTATATACACTATATAAAATAGAAGAGCAGAGAAGGACACCATTACTGCTATTACTGCTCGATATAACAAGTTACGTAGTGTAGCTTCAGTACTCGGTAATACTATCCTAGAGAGTAGTTGTGACACCAAGCCCATGCTCCAGATCTAGGACAAAGGAGGTCTAATTTAATCATCTAAAAGACGAGTGAAATGAAACATAACGAATAGATTCACGAATTAAAAATACATACATTTAAAAAAGTGCAGCAAGGCCGTGGGACCATAACACAATTAAGACAGGAGTAAGTACAGAACTGCAAGCATGTATACATAGAAATTCGAAAAGATAAAGGGGGAAAAAGAAGGGACAATCAAACGAATCCCACCATTTCGTGTACTGGTCGTAAGCTCATCAGGGTTCATAAGTTGATGCAATGCAATGCAATAACACAGAGACAAGACGACGCATGCACGCACACCGCGCCAGGCTTGCCTTTTCTAATTATTTTTTGTTTTTTCTTCTTGGTCGTTAAAGTCGTCATTAGAATAAATATGGAAACACGACGCATCAAACCAGAGGTAACACGTCGCCCGAAAAAAAAAGAATAACGGTGGAAAAGCCACACTGGGCCCAAACTTCAATTTCCACTAGGAACCAAGTCCCGAATGGCCCATCGCCAGCCATCTCCAAGCCTCTGCCGTTCGGACGTCACCCACCTGGTCACTTTGCGTTTCCACCGGTCTTCTTCTGCTCGTTGACGTTTGACAAACTCAGGGCCAACGTCAAACTCCTCGGTGATTGGCCATTCTTCTGAAGAATCACCGCTTTGGTCGTCAAAGACATCCGTTGCTGCAGCAGATGCCTCTGAGATGTTCCGTCCATGGTGATGATGATGCTTGGCCTGTGGCCTATCCTGGAGATCTTCCAGTCCGGCAAAGACATCTTCAAGCTCGTCGTGGATGACTGCCACCTTATCTGCATCAGGTTGTGCAGAGGCAAGTTTGAGCCAGCACATACGCCGAGGGTCAAAGACCATGCCGCCAACAACCTGGGCACCCTTGATTGTCCCAATGTTTGTAATGAGGGCTGGCGCCACCTTGGGAGATTTGGGTGCGTTTATAACATCAAACTCCACAATTTCATTCTCATTGCCCTCCCACCGATATGTGCTGGGATTATACTGCATACCTTTGACATCTACAAGTCATATTATCATTAGACTGTTAAAATATCAAGCTGTTCGAGAGAAAGGTAAACTCACTCTTTGCTTCACTGACCCCAGACCCCATTGGCCGGATCAGCTGTGGCCTAGATCCTCCTCCAGGTCGGGATGCCTTGCCCTTTTTGCTCCTTGCAGTCAACATGGAATCACCCTGTCTAGATGGTTGCTGTCCTTTCCAGTTGGAACTTAAAGGAGCAAGGGGCACACTTTCACGAGTCCGAGATGGTAGAGAAAGAGAAGCAATCCTTTGCTCCCGGGCAATTCTCGACGCGTTGGTGTCTCTTGCGAATCGAGGCGTGAATGTGCTAGGCCGAGAAGAAGCCCCGGTTGTCATTGGTGGTGAGGCTGGTGTTTCAGTGCGTGCCGACAACGTGGTAGGAGGGGACTGTGGCAGTCGATTGCGCACAGATCTGGGGGCACCGTGCCCTACCGGAGTTTTGACAAAACGGCTTTCAGAAATTGCAGAAGTTGGTAGATCATCGAATGATTCTAATTCAGTCCCGTCTCCGTAGTTTCTTCGACGAGCTGGCCGAGTAATTGTTCGCTTAGCCGTTATGTTTGAGCCCTCACTAGCAGAGTGTGCATGGTGGCGACTGGGTGCGTCTGAGCGTAGAGAATGCGAGATTGACTTTGGTCCAACGGTAGAATCTGTAGAATTCTCCGAATCGGATCGACGAAAATGCCGCGAATACTTCAGGCTCACGTGATGAGATTGGCTCTGCGATGCGCCAGCAGGGAGAAAAGGCACTGGAGGTCGGTGAGTTCCGAGCCTTGAATCTGCTGTCGATCTATCAACAGGCGTCTTGGGTCGAGAGTACGCGGGAATCATACTCGTACTTTCTTGCCGTGATGATGGCCGCTGGAAAGGTGGAACGGACACCGGTTCCTCAGGGGCACGTGAGCGTTTCACTTTCAGAAGGCTCGAAGAGTCATTGGTAATGCCCCCTTCTCTTGATACACGAGAACCGAGTGATCTTCGCCCTGCTGATGGAGTGACTGGCGGGGACGTATGAAGACTCCCAACGGATGACCGATTTGCGTGTGCTGTGAGCCGGGACTGGGGTCTCCGAAAATGAATAACAGGATTTCCACTCTCCGAGACGGGCTCCAGGCTGGTGTGGCTTCTATTATGGCCAGAGAGTCGGGGAATTCGCGTCACCACAGATGGGTTCTTGTTCGTGAATGTGATTGTTTTCTCAGAGCGGTTGGGAGTCATTGGGCGATCTAATTTACGCTTCACATTGCGATTGACATTTGGCTTCATCGACGTGAACACGCTTCCGTCATCCACGTCCAAGTCATCAAAGAAGTTGTGGCTGTCGACCACATTCTTTGAGCGAGGTTGAGTCTTTGGACTGACTTCCTCTGGTTCTGTCCGAAGTACTTTCCGTTTTTTCAGATTCTCCTCCAAATTCAGCGGGCCATCTGGCAAGATCAATCCATCTAAGCCGTCATCTTCGGTCTCCAATGTGAGACAACTAGAGGCACTGGGGCTGAATGCCGACACAGAGGAACTGTGAGTCGAACGTCCATCACGCTTCGTGCCACTGAAGCGTCCGCTGATGGCTCCATCTGCCCAATCGATATTGTCCCAAATGTCATCGTTAATGATAGGAATCGTGCTGGTAATATTAGGCGGTGGAGAAAGTTTAAGCATCATGTCATGCGTGGGAAATTCAAAATCTTTCTCAAAATCATCGTTGTCGTTGACTACGCCAACTGGTGGAGTGTGGCTGATATGAGATGGAGTTTGAGGTTGGTTTACTATACCAACAGGGGGTGTGTGATTGGAGGTAGGAGTCTGAGGTCGATTCAGCTGCGACACGGAGAAATCATCTGTCGTGAAATCTTGCAAATCTTGTTTGATATCATGATCTAAAGTATCTCCCATGTTGCTTGATGGGATGCTAATGCTTGATTGGGTGATAGTCCTAGAGCCTCCAAAGGATGATTGATCGATTGAATCTCTGGATTTAACCGGACTCCCTGTAAATGGGGTGTGAATCGGTTGTATAGATTCTGGGAATGACGCCTGTTCCGGTGATTTAAGAGCTAGCTCCATGTCTGCAGCCGGAAACTCTAGGTCCTCAGACCAGTCATCAATAGCGCTCTTTTTATTCGCTTTAGATTGTAGTTTCTTGATAGAACCAGACAGCAGAGCCGACTTAGGTACATTATCTGGGATCGGTATGCCGGCGCTGCGTGCAGAAGCAATGGCCTCTTCAGTTGCTGTTTCGTCGTTATCTCGGAGGAGCAGCTGCCAATCCTCATCTCCGGCATTGGATTCGACATCGGAACGCATAGAACGGCGCGAGGAAATAGAATCGCGATGGCCGGATCGTAGCATGGAGCCAGTGACGGATGTTGTTGCAGAAATCGCATGGAACTGTGCATCGTCGAGACACTGCAAGTCTCCGTCATCGTCCCAGGATTCAATGGGCGGGGATTCGCCGTGAGAGAGGTGAAACGTATCGGCCTGCATGTTGATAAGAGAAAACGGCAGGCGGAAGCTTCAAATGTGACGTTTAAAAAAGGAGTTAAAGCATGTGTGCTTGCTTATCAGTGTTCCAGTTCGAATGAGGTCGCGGAGAGGTTCACAGTTAATGAAAGATGCCGAAGACGAGAGACCGAGACCATGCCTGAGAATAGATAATTGCAACCACCATTACGAACGGATCAATGGCTTAGTTAGAGCAAGGGTCTTTATATAGCATGCATCGACTTAGTGGCAGGCCGTCAGGGGAAGGCGAGCTTTGTCGTGCTTCGTCTTTGTTCGGCAGCCGTGTTGAGGAATGCCACAGACGACGTCGCGAGGGGACGAATGCCAACCGATTCCGCGACGAGGCTGACAGAATCGTTCTTCACGAGAAGAGATATTCGCACTCCACTCTGAAGCAAAGAGCAGAGCGATCGGGATTTTTTATCTTTTCGTTGTTGCAGCGAGTGGCTGGGCTGGGCTGGTGGAAGAGAGAATTAATTGTTGAGACTAACAGCGAAGAGCGACGGACTATCGTATCGTATTGGTAATTTACACAGCGCTCGGCTGGTAATATTACTTACCCCTTTTACCCTTTGACTGGCGGCTGCGGAGACGGCACGCGGGGCTGGGGAAACGGTATTACGGCGTACTCGCAATTACTAGTACGCGCCCGCGCCTAATGTCAACCCGATGACATTTAGTTATGCTGCTGTCGTTGCATTCATGAGCATGGCGGAAGTCGTCTACAGATTCCTATTCTTCAATATTGGACTTAATAATAATATACACGTTGGTTAGGCATTAGAAAGTAAAGACGCCCGCTGATTGGGCCAATCCCGGCGGACCGCGGCTCTCTTCTAGGCAGCAAAACATAACGTTCCTCAATCATTCTCAAGCCCAAGCTGCCAGCTCTTCATGATAAAATGCCAGCAGACAAAAAGAAGAGCGAATGGGTGATTCGCATCCCCAAATCAGACAATGCCAGCGACTTCGTACTCGTGCATGTATCGTCTGCGAGTGGGAAGGCCGCCTTGGATCTGAAATTCATTGCAACCGAAGGCGAGAATCCATATGTAGGGTCATGTATGTTCAGGTTCGTTTTCTTATTAATATAGACAAACATGCTAATAAAAGCAAAGTGCGACGATCGCGTCTGAAAGACGTGCGCTCAAAGAACTTCCAAGGCACAGAGCAGGAGTTTGAGGAAGTCCTCTCCTCTGTGCTGAGAGTCGACCATGCAGCAGATCAGCCACAGCAGCAGCATGCGGAAATCGAGACGACGGCCTCTATAAGAGAAGCCAGAGAAGGGAAAGAAGAAGAGGGGAATAATGAATTGGTGATTTCTATCCGCAGGAGAATAGACAGTATCACTGTAAGCACCTGTCTTTACATGCATGCATGTATATATATATCTATATATCATAACTAATAATCAATCCCACCCAGCAACGCGTCGCCTCAATCACTCTATACCAAAACGACGACCAAACCATCGAACTCTTCGAATGGATGGGTCTCACGCTATCTCTCACAGACAGACTCTCCCAACAACTAGCCACATTAACAAGTCAACTCTCCACCGCCGAACAATCAATGCGAGACCTCAAATCCAGCCTCGAAGACTTGACGGCCGCTAAAAAGGAGCATGAGAATCGACTCATATCCAATTTTGCGCTTGTTCTTAATGAGAAGAAGCGGAAGATTAGGAATCAGCAGCGGCTTTTGGAAGCGGCCAAGGTTGATCCCGAGAAGGGTACGTTTCCACCCTCCCCCCTCTCCCCCCCGGTCTTCCTACTTCTCTCGTACAGAAATTTGCCTAATATATATACAAAGTGCGCGAGTTACAAGAAGCAATTCGACACGACCAAGTCCAAAAAAGTCGACAAAACAAACGGAAAGCCGCCCAGAAGGACCAAGTAGACGAAGACTCCGATGAAGAAGACGACTTTGAGAAAATGGATATCGACAAACCCAAGGCCCGGAAACCAGCTGGAGAAGAAAAAGAAGAAGAATTCGAAGAAAACGATGAAGACGAAGAAAGACCAGAAACACCCCAACCACTAGAAGAAGAAGGAGAAACCGAATCCGAGGCTGAATCCCAAGTCGAAGAAGATACAAAACCAGATAAAAGGCCCAACCTGGCGAATAATGCTGCCGAGCCACCGCCGCCGAAAAGAGATTTACCGTTTTTACGAAGGACCAAGAATGACAACGATAAGAAAATACATGGTGATGTAGAAGCTGCTGAAGACGTCGGGGGAGTCACGGGAGGAGAAACGGATGATGACGAGTTGTGAATCTTAAATTTATCTTGTGTCTAGAATAAATTTTGAGAAAAGAGTTCTTGTGTGAAATAGCTTGCAATTTTGCGTTCCCTTTATGTACAAAAACACCTTCTAGCTGCGTTTCATGCAGAATGAGAATCAAGTACAGAGAGATCCCCAAAACAGACGGCGGTAAGGAAGGGGTAGGATGATTCGTGTAATAGAAAAGAAAAGATAACGAGAAAGAAAAATAGAAAAGCAGAATTCAATACTGTTGACACATATACTTGATTCAAGCTAGGTAGTAGTAGCACAAAGGAAAAGAAACGCCAACCTTGTACGATACAGCCTAACAATTTTTATCACAGGTTTCCATAGACTGCTTGTGGTGACATCTCGCCGGCAGCCATGAAATTCGTTTCAGGGTTGCCTGTAGCCTTGGCAGCTGAGCAACGAGCCATCGTAGGAGAGCTTTAATCGAATTAGTTATTGTATCTTACTATGTTGCCAGATGGAAAGAGAATATACCTTCGAGAGATAGAATCTGTGAAATAGAAATCTTCAATAGCCGTCTTGAAGGGGCTACCAGTAGACTTGGAGCCCTTGTTTTGATCAACCAATTGAACCTTGGAAAGAGATGCTACCGAGGTAGACTCGGCCAAATCATATCTGCGAAGGGCAGGGCTGATTTCCTCCATGCGGTCACGGAGAGCCTCAATATCATCATATGGGAGAGGAGCACCCAGGAACTCACTGGCTGCTCGAATGATCTTCCAATCATCGCGAGCAGCTCCAGGCATAGATGTAGCAGCACGTGTTACCTGGACACGTCCCTCCGTGTTAACGTAAGTTCCAGACTTCTCAGTGTATGCTGCACCAGGAAGGACAACATCGGCCAGTTGCGCACCGCGGTCTCCATGATGACCTTGGTACACGACAAACGCATCCTTGGGAATATCGCTGGCGCTAATTTCATCGGCACCAAGTAGCCATACGATCTTTGGTGTGGTGTTTGCAACTTCTGGCGAAGGAGTTGTGAAGCCAACCTCATATGCTCCCGCACGGGAAGCGGCTCTCTGCAATACATTATAGCCTTGCCACTCAGGAGTTCTAAATGTCGAAGCATTCTTCTCGACAAACTGACCAACTGTCTCGAACACAGACTTGGCGTCGGCATGCTCGGCGATAGAGCTTCCAACAATGATCAAAGGTCGCTTAGCAGAAGCAAGCTTCTTGCCAAACTCGCCCGAGAGAGCAGACTGGAGGCTGCTGAAATCAGTTCCCAAGTGTTCGAATTCAAAGGTGCTGTCAAATGTCTCTCCAACAAGACCAATTTCAAGGTCAGAGCGCAACCACTGTTTCCTGATACGAGCGTTCAGCACTGCGGCCTCATGTCGAGGGTTGGTACCGACAAGGAGAATAGCGTCAGCTTCCTCAACCCCAAAGATCTTCGAGTTGAAGAGATAATTCGAGCGTACGTCAATGCCGTGAGCAATTGGTGAGCTGCCGTTAGGCTGGTCCAGGGCGAAGTTATCGGAACCAAGCTTGTTGGCCAGGTCCTTCATAGCAACAAGAGACTCGGTCTCTGCTAGGTGACCCGCTACAGCCTTGAATTCATTGGCCTTAGGGCTGAGTCTAGCATGTGCAGAAGCCACTTCGGTCAAGGCCTGCTCCCAAGTTGCTGGAACAAATTTTCCTTCACGGCGGATGAGGGGTGTGGTCAGTCTCTGGGTCTTCAAGCCGTCGCATGCAAACCGAGTCTTGTCGTTGATCCATTCTTCGTTAACGTTGTCATTGAGTCTGGGGATAATTCGCATAACTTCCATTCCACGAGCATCTACACGAATGTTTGAGCCTAGAGCATCTAGAACATCAATGGATTCGGTGTGGTTGAGTTCCCATGGACGGGCACGGAAAGCGTAGGGCTTAGAGGTGAGGGCACCGACAGGGCACAAGTCGATAACGTTTGCGGAAAGTTCGGAGCTGATGTTTTGTTCCAAATATGTTCCGATTTGCATGTCGTTTCCTCGTCCAGAAGTACCAAGCTCAGGGGCTCCGGCAACATCATTCATGAAACGAACGCATCGGGTGCAGTGGATGCAACGGTTCATAGAGGTCTTAATGAGGGGGCCAATGTTCTTATCTTCAACCGCACGTTTTCCGCCTGTCTCGTGGAATCGACCGCGATCGGCACCGTAACGCATGGACTGATCTTGGAGATCACATTCGCCTCCCTGGTCACAGATGGGGCAATCAAGAGGATGGTTTGCAAGTAGGAATTCCATCACACCCTCTCTAGCCTTGTGTGTCAATGGGGAGTTGGTCTTCACAACCATACCAGGCTGGACAGGCCAGGCACATGATGCAACGGGTTTGGGAGCCTTTTCCACCTCTACCAAGCACATACGACCTGGTTTTCGTTAGCATCGATACATCGGATATGATTCTGAACACACTCACAGTTTCCTGCAATCGCTAATTTTCTGTAAAGAACAGAGTCAGTACCTAGATAATGCATGATTTTAGAGAATAGACGAGCGAGCTTACTCATGGTAACAGTATCTATTCAATCACAGCATTTGTCAGCAAATAAAACCAGCAGACCAAAAAAAAAAAAAGAGACCACCAATTGGGCTTTCATACCTTGGAATGGTGGCACCAGCTTTCTCACAAGCTTGAATCAGAGCGGAGCCAGCTATATATGCAACCGACATATGTCAGATATATACCCATCAAACAAAAGCCCAACAACATCACGGGTGCCCGGCGTTACCTTCGATTGAGACCTTCTTGCCATCTAGAGATTTATGCACACATTAGCCTCCCATTCAAGCAACAGTCAATTGGCAGTGATCAACTCACCAATGGTTAGTTCGACTTCAGCGCTTCTCCGCGCGGTGGTCGTGAAGGTACGACAAGATCTGGCATTGGCGAATTGTCTCGAACGCGCGGCCGCACGAAGCAATTGCGGCCGCATTGTGGCGTGTGGAATGACTGGAGAGAGTCAAACAGACAGACAAACAGTCTAGTCAGGGAGCAAGAGACGCAGGAGATGGACGCTGAGCGCACGCAAGTCGAGGCGAGGAGGGAAGGGTCGGTCGGGCTGGGATTGGAAGTCGAGGAAGCCGGCACCTTTCGTTGCCAAGCCTTGCCGGGCGGTTCACAAATCAGCGCGCTGTCATTGGCTCGTCTGCCGGAAGACGGTTGTTCCGGTCTAAGCGGGAAATCTATTATTTTCTGCTCTCTCTCTCTGTCTTTCTCTCCCTTCCTTTTTTTTTCTCTTTTCTTCAAATATACTCATTCACAGGATGTGATTATTGTAGGCGGTAGGAAGTTTCTTTTCTTCTAAAGAAATGGCCCATGTCTACCTCCTCTACTCATGATCCCAGATTGTACAGCACCGAGCTGGAGCGATCGATGGGCGTTTTGAACGGCCGATTACGATTCAGTTCCTTACCGACGGTAGCGACATGCCCTTTACAGTGTTACTATTTACTATTAGACTTGAAGTTTATGGAAGAATTCTATAAATCAAGGGCGAGGACGTTCAATGTCGATGGGAAACTCATTTAAATAATTCCATCTGATATCCAGCTGGATATGTAAGATAACTACGAGCGATCGTCTGGCGAGAACTTGTCCTTCCAGAAGTTCCTGAAATGTTTCTGAAGACCAAGCTGAGTAATTTGATCCACTTCAGGCGGCGTCAGATTGAACCTAACGGTGCGTAAGTATTCGGTGAGGCGAGATTCCTTGCTACTCGTCGTAATAACCACCAGGCCGCGGTCGATCGCCCAGCGAATCGCAACATCGCCCTCGCTGACAGCATACTTTTTGGCCAAAGCCGAGAGCACCGTATCCACCGGTCCACCTGACGCGCGAATGACCGGAGTAAGAGGTCCGTAGGAAGCTGCCAGGATGCCTCGCTCTTTCTGAAATTCGAGCAGGTCGACATGCTGAAGGTAGGCATGGAATTCGATTTGGTTGATTACCGGGGTGATCTTGGCTGTTTTCAATGTGGCCTCGAGGTTCGGTTTGATGTAGTTGGAGACGCCAATTGCCCTCGCCTTTCCGGATTCCTTCACTTTCTCCATGTCTGCCCATTTTTCTTGCAGCTTCTCATCGGACTCTGCGAAGAAAGGGGCATGGATCAAGTATCTATTGAGAAGATCGTCAGAATGCGGCCGTCCTATTTTGTATAAAGAGAGAGAGAGAGAGAGAGAACATACAGATCCACGTAATCGAGTTGTAATTTCTCCAAACTAGAGTCAATAGCCTTTGGTATATCAGCTATATTCGGGTACACCTTGGTCGTTACGAAGAGCTTCTCTCTTGGAACACCACTCTCTTTAATGGCAAGGCCCAGCTCAGCCTCTGTTTTGTATATTTCGGCTCCATCAAGGTGATAGTAGCCTAGCTTGATAGCGGCCTTGATCGATTCGATGAGTTCGCGATTGACGCCGGTCTCGCCAGGCTTTTTAAACCAGGCTGTGCCAGTCCCGTAGCCGAGCTGGGCGGATTTTAGCGCGAGAAAGGGAAAAGAGAAAAGAGAGGGACGAGCCAACACTTACCACTGGTATCGAGACGTCTCCGTTCAGTTTCACACTTGGGATGTTAGCTATGCTGGCCATGGTGTTTGAGGTTAATCTTTCTCAGAATGAGATGCCTAGGAAATTTAGCAGTAGCTATTGCTAGACGATCTCGTCAGACCGATGATGAGTGATGCCGCTCTCGTGCCCGCGCTCAACCATGCGGGCTCGTGGAGACATAATATAGTGATAAAGTACTGCGCCCGCATCTCGGACGAGAGCCGGGTTTATTTCCGGGAACGAAAGCGAGCTGCCAACCAGAGAGATCGCACCGCCGACCCTCATCCAAGAGACTGACGATAGATTAGTGATCAATGGCGTTGGACGAGTACATTAATAATGGCTGAGAGTCTAAGAGCGCTAGACGGAAGGAGAAGGTGGTGGTGCCGACACGGAAAGTTGATGTGATTGGCCTGGCCGGGCTGATGTCATCATGTGTGAGGCTCCATCACTAATCCGTACTTGCGATGTAGTAGAGCGTCAACAAACATCTTCTTTTCCTGCATTCGCATTTCTATACCTTGTTTCTGGTTCTGATTACATCTGCTCCCATTACATGGCCCTCACCCCGCTGCGAATGATCCAGAAGAATCGCATCCATCAAATGGCCTCACATCTTGCTGCCAGTGCCGGGTACGGCACACTGGCCACCATACCTAAGTCTAGCACCTTCACGTCCAAACTGGCGCCCGACCCTGCATTTGAAACGCCCCTGGCCTCTCATAGTGCGCCACGGGAGACCCTCGGCCCGCGGCTCGTGAAAGGCGCGATGTATACGTATGTTCGGCCCGAAACTGCTGAAGAACCGGAGCTTCTAGGCGTGAGCCCGAGGGCAATGCAGGACATAGGACTGCAGTCGGGAGAAGAGAAGACAGACGACTTTCGTAGCCTCGTAGCTGGGAACAAGATATTCTGGAACGAAGAGGAAGGAGGGGTGTATCCTTGGGCTCAATGCTATGGAGGTGATTACCGATGCGCGCTCTCTCATGGAAATATCAAAAGACTAATGTGTTCCGGGAAGGATGGCAATTGTTAGTTTGAACCTGCTGCTGATGAAAGGATTCATCTGACTGACTCTGTCCTAGTGGTTCTTGGGCAGGTCAGCTTGGAGATGGCGTATGTTTGGCGTCCTTCCTTTCTTCCTTTCCTTGCTAATACTTCGTGTTTTTGAAATAGCGCGCCATCAGTCTCGGCGAGTTGACAAATCCTAGCACAAACGTGCGCTATGAACTGCAACTCAAGGGGGCAGGACGCACACCTTACTCTCGCTTCGCGGATGGCAAGGCGGTTCTGCGTTCGAGTATCCGAGAATACGTAGTATCCGAAGGTGCCACTTCTAGATAAACCATACCTATATACACTGTTTCATGGTTTCTGATTGTTCTGATTTACAGCTCTGCATGCTCTCGGTATCCCGACCACGAGAGCACTATCCCTTACACTTCTACCACATTCTAAAGTGCTGCGCGAGCGCATCGAACCTGGCGCTATAGTTGCTCGATTTGCGCAAAGCTGGCTTCGAATCGGATCCTTTGACATTCTGCACTCTCGCAACGAGCGAGACATGATCCGGAAACTGGCAACCTTCGTCGCCGAAGACGTTTTCCCGGGCTGGGAGTCTCTGCCGGGTGTAGTTGTTTTGCCAGATGACTCCAAAACAGAAGCAGCGGCAGCAGCAGCAGACGAAAATATAGATGAGCCGAAGCGAGGCATCCCCGCATCCTCTATCCAAGGCCAGCAAGGCCAAGAAGAAAACCGGTTTACCAGATTATACCGAGAAATCGTGCGCAGAAACGCAAAGACGGTAGCCGCCTGGCAAGCCTACGGGTTCATGAATGGCGTTCTCAACACCGACAACACCTCTATATTCGGGCTGTCGATGGACTACGGCCCCTTCGCCTTCATGGACAATTTCGACCCATCCTACACGCCAAATCACGACGACCACTATCTCAGATACTCCTACAAAAACCAACCATCAGTCATATGGTGGAACCTCGTCCGCCTCGGCGAGGCATTTGGCGAACTCATCGGCAGCGGCGAGACAATCGACGACGAAACCTTCATCACCAAGGGCGTAACCCAAGAATTCGGAGAACTCCTAATCGCCCGGGCCGAAAAGCTCATCACCCGGACCGGCGAGGAGTACAAAGCCGTCTTCAAAAATGAATACGTCCGCTTAATGGGTCGACGATTGGGTCTGCGCACGCGCCAGGAATCAGATTTCCAAGTCCTCTTCTCCGATTTACTGGATACAATGGAGGAGCTGGAACTAGACTTCAACCATTTCTTCCGCCGTCTTTCTGCCGTGCCCATCGCCGCATTGGAGACGGATGCACAGAGAGTCGAGGCCGCAAAACTGTTTTTCCATAACGAGGGCGTCAGTGCGGCTGGCAACACGGAGGAAAGCGCCCAGAAACGCATTGCGAAGTGGCTGGGGTCATGGAGGGAGCGGATTCGCGAGGATTGGGAGGATAAAGATGACGAGCGAAGGATCGAGTTTATGAAGTCTGTGAATCCAAAGGTAGCCACGGCCCCCCTCTTCTTTTCTCCCATCCTTTCGGATCATATAAACTGACAATTTCACAGTTCCTTCCGCGCTCCTGGATCCTAGACGAAGTCATCGACCGCGTAGAGCACAGGGGCGACCGCGAAATCCTCGGACGCATCATGACAATGGTTCAGGACCCGTTCAAGGACGAATGGGGATTGGGACGTGAGGAAGAAGAGCGGTTATGTGGTGACGTGCCGCGGTTCAAGAGGGCTATGATGTGTAGTTGTTCTTCTTAAATAAAAGACCAGCAATAAAGATAATGCAAGGTATAGAGGGAAAAAAAAGTTTTGAATAGATCATAATAATCATTGTATGTATTGCTTGCTTGTTCGTTCGTTTGTCCTTGTTCTCAACAACAATCAATTTTCCGAATCTTCCTTCTTCATTCCTTCCTTCCTTGCTCTGATAACTTATTAAGGTATCAATTGGATGTGATGTGATGCCAATGCCATGCCACACATAAAAGTTAAAAAAAAAAAGAGGCCGGGGGGATATTGCTTTTTTGAAAGAGCAAAAAAAAAAAAAAATGAAATGAAAAATAAAAAAAATAAAGAGTTAAAACCAGTAAAACCGCAAAATTTTTTTTCCATCCTCATTCAAAAGAAAAGAGAAAACTTTCATGAATATGCGCATCATGGGAGAGAGAGAGAACATTATGATATGAACGGAAAGTGAGAGAGAGGGGAAAAAAAAAGAACATAAAAAAAGAGACCTAGTTGGTGCAAGCAGACTGCACATGGCCGGGTTGCTTGCACTTGTAGCAGACGCGCTCTCCGTTGGCTTCGGTAGGGCAATCGCGAGAGACGTGGCCGACTTCTCCGCCTGTATCAACAGTTAGTACACCCGTCTATATATACGGGGACAAGGAGGGGAGAGGAAAAGAGGCTTACAGTTGTAGCACTTCTGTCCCTGTGTGCAGTCACGAGCCATGTGGCCATATCCACCGCAGGAGTAGCAGGTCTGCTGGCGACCTCCAAATCCACCGTGACCACCGCTTGCGTAGCCGCCGCCTTGGGAGCAGTTACGAGCAATGTGTCCGACCTGACCGCACTTGTAGCATTCTTGTCCAGAGCCGCCTGACGAGAATCCGCCTCCGTAGCCGTTGCCAGCAGCGGGCTGTCGGCACTCGCGCGAGATATGGCCGGTTTGGTTGCAGCGGTAGCAGGACTTCTCCTTGGGGGGTTGGGAGCATTCACGGCCTACAATACGTGTTTTAGTAATCGGGCACAATGAGGGTTGGACGATAGCTTTCGGTTGCAACTTACTGACGTGTCCCTGGCCTAGCAGAGCGTAAAAAAAAAGAACATGTTAGATTGGGATCAATGAAGAACAGAAAATCAAAGATACCAACGTACCACCGCAGTTGTAGCTGTTAAATCACACGGTTAGCGCAAGCAAATTAAAGTGACAAAAACACATGAGTGAAAAGCTCACCAGGTAGGAGTGCCTTTCTTGGGGCAGTCGCGGGCCTGTATTCCATCCAGTCAGTGGAACTGTCTGTTATTGCTTGTCACAGGATAGATCAAAAATACCTGGTGAGCAGGTTCGCCGCCTAGTTTTGACAAATGTATCAGCTTAGAACCAAATAGATTGGCGAGGATTGCTCTGAAATATGTGTGAAAGGAGCGGACAGCAGAGATGCTTTCTCGTCTTCATTTTCCATTTCATTTCATGTGATTTGATTTCCATTCCTTGATAGAATGCGTGACATTCATTGGGCTGCGCAGAAGAAAATAAACTCACAATTGAAACAGCCACGGCTTCCAGTTTGGTTCTCCATTATGTCGAGGGGTCTTGGTCGCGATCAAACGGACGGAAGTAGAGTTATGCTAGAGTTGGCAACACGAAGGTATTAGATGATCGTCTCTTTTGATGAATAAAAGAAGATGATAGAATGAAATTTTCTGCAGGGCGATTGATGGGAAGAGAGAGAGGAAAACCACCCCCCCCCCGCGGTGTTGCGCAGACTCGACCGGTGAGGACAAATAAATGCAATGACTGAAAGACACTCACAAGAAGCGCGAATATATATATTCCTGGTCTCAAGCAAAGACAGCGATGTGGGAAAATACCGGGGGATAAGCGATGGAAGTTGCAGTCACACGCGAATGAGCGAAGGCATAGAAAGAAATCAACCAAATCTCGACTCTGTGTGGAGACGGCGATTTTTTTTTTCTCCTCTTCTTTCCTTCCGTGGCCGTTGTTTTCTGCCTGAGGCAGCGGGGGCGGTGTGTCCTCTTCGCACTCTTCGCTGTCTTCGCTCTCTCTGCTCGCTCATTCCTCTGTGAATGGCTTGACTGCAGTCAGTCCTCACGCGACGAAGAAACAGAGATGCGATCGCTCATTCCGGCATCTTCTTTACTGGCCATAGTCATATCATATGCCATGTCCAACGAGCCATGCACTGCAGTCCGCTCATGTCGCATTCAACTCGAGACACGCCCGTGTGGTCGTTCGTGATCGCTGTCGGACCGGCCGTACACTTCTATGCCCCTCCATCCTGCTTATCTTCCGCGCTCTGATGATACATAGTCCGAAAGAGAGGGTATACGCGTGGTCGCTTCGCACGTAGTAGGTATAGAGGGTAGAGAAAGAGGGGAGAAAATCAGATAAAAAAAAAGAAGAGAGAAGGAAACAGAAAGCCGGACATGAAGGGTATAAGTACAGACAAGTATAAGCCAGTATCAGTAAGCACAAGAAAAAAAAAAAAGCCGACAGGGATACTGCATGGCATTTAACGTCGGTTCAACAAATTCCCCGAGGGTACTTGCTTGCAAACCACAGACTTAGTAGTTAGTTATACACCTTGTGCTACGTACGCTCACTCGCAAGGTCCTCTCCTCCGTCATTCATTTTCTTTTTCTTACTCCGTGCCTACCTTGGCTGGCTGATGCTATGTAGCCTGTGGATTGGATTCTCAGCTGCGGCGAGTAAACCTCGCGTGTTGGCACTGCGTGCATATAAAATCGCGGCACGGCTAAGCGGTTACAATAGCGATAAATGAGATGGACTGGTCGGGAAACCGACATCTATTAGATATGTACAGACACTTATAATATGTGTAGTCTACGTGAAATCATAGCACTCAAGAAACTGTGCTCGCAGCCCTCGCTCCCGTAAAACAATCACCTGCTCGTCGTCAAACCCAACCCAGCCATCAGGGCTATACGACACATCCGACTCCATCTGAAAGACATGGCGGCTCCAATCCTTTGCTCCGGACGTCGTATCAAGGGAAACCGTCGTACTTTTCTGTCTAGCAGAAATAGACGAGAAAGATCTGTCACTTTTGATGCGCACGCTCGACTCGCCCCTCAGAGCCTTGCTGCTACGAGAGCTGAGAGGAGATGACGACACTGCGCTTTCCAATTCCCAGATTCGAATCTCGTTCCCTCGCGGGCTGATGGATACCGCTTTGCCGCGGTCGCCGACTTGCACGCTTGACACGGACGACGTGTGGCCCCAGAGACGTCGACTATCCCGGATAAAAAGCTTGTCGGACGAGGAGAACACGAGATACATGGTCAGCGTGTTGTCGCTGTGGGACGTAAGCAGGAAAGGATGCGAATACGAGAGACACGTCGGAGCCTCTTTATGCTGGATGAAGTTATCATGGGAAACGGGATTTGCGTTGTTATTGTTATAATTACTAAAGTCCATTGAACGATATTGGTCAAGATGACCGCCATTCTCACCAACGGCGGCCTTGGCTGGCATAGTCACCGTAGTAGCAAGACGAGATGTGATGTGTTCCCCGTCCTTGTTGAATCGCAGCTCCTGTATCCCGATGGTCCAGCCATTGCTGATATGGAAGAAGCTGTATGCTATTGATGCTATAACCTCCGAACCCGAGCATCTCAATGACAGCGACATCGGCGCAAAAGTATTGCTGGATTCCAACGAAGCGAGTAAGCGCGGCGGTTCTTCATCGTGTTGCGATGCATGAGGCGGCATCTTGTATAGATTAAAGATTTTGTGTTGTGATATCGTGAGCAGATACGGAGGTGCCGAAGCTATAGCCGTGATAGCAGCAGTATTGTTTGTAGCAGCCATCTGTGAGAGGCACAACTCGAATTTCGCATGCGCCACATCCAGACTATACACACCGAAATGCCCATCGTCGAATCCCACAGTAACCTCGATAGACTCCGCAGCAGCCTCCTTATTCACAAAAAGAGCGGTCGGCACATCACTTATTTTCGGAAACGGTAACACCGCCAGCTGTTTCTTAGGACTTTTAGTAGCCCAAGCCCGTAACCCATGTTCTTTATCTGCAGTGACAACAACACCCGAGTATAATTTGATCAGTATCTCAGAGAGTGGCGGCCGCGATACTTCCAGCTCGTCCAGTCGACAAGTTCCCCGAGACCAGTTGTGGCGAAGTCGGTATTGCGTTTTCCAATGGATCGATCTGTGACTGTCGTCGGCCGCGAGGTGGCTGTGGCCAAGCCATTTGGATACGCGAGGAGAATAGACGGTGCCGGTTGATACTTTGAGATGCTTCGAGTGAGGGACAGAGCGTGCTCGAGGCAGCACCCAGCGCGCAAAGTATCGTCTTTTCCATAATTCCGAGTCCCCGGCAAGCGCATGGAATCGCTTGGAGAGTCTATGGATAGTCAGTATGCACAATCTGTTGGTTGGGAAAGTATGGGGGTGGGGAGTGTACGTACTGTTGGCAAATAACGAGAGTGTCAACAGGCAGAAACGATAGTATTTGAAGGAGTATTTCGTCGCTTAGATTTGATATATAGTCTTCTTTTTCCGTCTGTTGCCGTTGGCGTTTGGGAGGACGGTTCGTCGGCTCATCGCCCCGCCATCGTTTTGACATTGCGACTAAGACGTCTGCAAATGATGTAGATAGTGTGTAGAGAGAGGGAATATCAGACAGAAATAAGAAATACAAAGAATAAGCCCATAGTCATGCAGATGGATGGGATGGTTAAAGATCAGAGGCGGTGGGTGACTTTCTTGACCGAGCGGAGGTAATTATGATAAGCGATAAGATCCGATAAGATAAGCGCCATCTCTGGACGCGTCGCGTGTTGTTCTCTGTTCCTCCCACTGACGTTATACGCTCTATAGATTTATATTGAAAAGACAGGAAAATAGGGATGGAATTACTAAAGTGCCATCAGAAGTCTCTCACCGATCACATCAATGAGATTTTCAAAGAGTTAGCTGACCGGACAGAGAAATATGAGCTTGATCTCGGGTTCAACGACCTACAAATCAGGAATCTTCAATCGTCGCTTCGAAGTCAAAAAAATGCGCGAACGATTGCCGAATCGGACCTACGCCACAAGCAGGAAGACCTTGAAAGGGAGAATAAAGCCCTCAAAGAGGAGCGAGAGACTGATGCATTGCGGATACAGAGATTACAGTTTGAAATTGACCAACTCAAGAGCACCGGAGAAACTACGAGTACAACTGGAGATAAAGAGAAACCGGACGATAATAAGGACGAGGAGGCGGAGGAGCAAGAAGCTCTAGAGCAAAAGTTGCGATTGTTGGCGCAGACGTACGAGCCAGAAAAGGTGGCTCAGGATGCTCGCCAAAAAGGCTCTAGTGATGATGCTCTTATGCACACAGAAACCATTTACCGGAGGCTTTATGACGAAACCGTGACTTTAGTAAGAGCCTCGAGGTCTCTGCGAAGTCAACTCAAACATTACAAAGAAAGGGCTGCCCAATGGCAACGTTGGTCGTCTGGCCATCGCGTGTCCAAGCCAAGTCCTGGCTTGGCAAACTTGAAGAAAGTTCGACAGGATGATAATACTACGCCAAAAGTCCGTTCAGACCAAGAACTGTCATCTCATATAGACAGCCCAAGGGAGTTGAAAACTCCATTGACTTCTGCCTTGTCACCAGTTCAATTCTCAGGTGTTGCGCAAAATGCTACCAATGACAACTCTGATGATATGGATTCCACAGAACTCAACACCATGTCAACAGCTTCCACTTCTTCATTGCAGGAAGAAGGTGATTGCCTTCCAAAAGTCAACGGCGGTGACCAGTCTACTATTCGGATCAAGGATGAGCCGCTTTCACCCGGATCTCCACAACTCGGGTCACCTTCTGGTGAAGGAATGATGCAACCTTCCGGCTCTCAGGATCTTGATGAGGTTGGGGATGTAGTGACGACGCCCAGGAGTCGGAAATTTGCTGTGTTTGAGGATGAGATTTCCGGATCACGTCCGGACGAGCAGATCCACACAGGAAACAAACATCAAGGGCGCCGCGTTTTTCAACCCAAGGACACCAACCGGTGGTCAAAGCCTCGAGAGCCTTCTTCGAAACGAAGAAGGACCGGTGACAGTGGAGCGTCGGCGATTTCGAGCGTGAGCGAAGATGGAGACGTGGACTATACGCGCTTTGCAGGAAGAAAAACCCGACAGGAAATCGAGACACCTTGCAAGGGATCGACTCGGAACCCCGAGGCACATCAACGCCTTGACGATCTTTTGGCGGCCCGCCCACAGAAGCATAGTCCCGCTCTTGACCTGTCCCTTGTACGTACTCCAGGACTTTCAACGACACCATCGGCTCGAACTAGGACTAAGAGGAGCATTGAGGATTGGATGAGGCCTAAAAGCAAGCGATCCGCTATGAAAAGGACGCACCTTCACGGATCCAACACGGAGAATGAAGAAGAGTGGAATGCACTCATGAAATCAGTCCCTTACAGAGAGCGACCAGTCGACTGTCTTGATCTCAGCTGCTTCAAACCCAACCCGGCCACGAATCAGGGTCTAGACTACGCCTACAATGAGGTAGTCCGCAACCACGAGCAGCGCAAATGCCTGCCTGGGTGTATGCGCGCCGACTGTTGCGGCGAGAAATTTCGCGCCATGGTGCGCGCAGGAGGAGTCCAATATGACGAGGAACAGCACCGCGCTCTGCTTGAAGACTTTCTTGGGGATCAGAAACGTACCCTCGACACAATGTCGGACACTAGCCGGGATGCTCTTCTTGTTGAAGCCAAGGCGAGGCAGTTGGCTAACCAGTTTGGCAAGCATCGACATGCCTATGAGCGGCCTCGCTCTCCCCCCGGGTTCTGGCGCACAGAGATGCCATCGACGCAAGAGCTGGCCAAGGATCACATCGAAGCAGATCGAACGGAGCGAGAGAAGGTGGTGGACAGAGTGCGAGAAGCGCGGCGACCTGACGGGGTGTGGCGATTTGCCGATGAGGTTGATTGATAGTACACTGTATATTAGATCTAGAGCGTGGCTGTAATATAAAAGTCATCATCACAAATCTGCTGTAGTTAGCGATGCGGACGGAAAGAGTAATGATGCCTCGGCCCGCCCAGTGACGTACGCCCGGCAGACAAACATGTGCCCCCGACCTCCTGCACAGAGAAAGAGAGACTCCGTCGCGTGCTTCATTCCACCCCGGCAGTCGCAACGCGATATGTCAGTTTGTTTATGTCGTCAATGAATAGTTGCGATTACTGACTGACTCAGTACCAGGTAAACAATGGAGTCCTATCGACGCACGCTTCGCCAGCAGGTCAACACAGACATCTTGCGACCATCGAAATGGCTCTCAGCGTACGAAGACCTCGTCACGACCAACGTGAATACGGTCAACCAGATCGAGTCGGCGCTGCGGTCTCTGACATATATTATACCCGGTAGAAACAATCTGCATATCTGTGTACTCAAGTATTGTCTGACTGACTGCCTGCTTATAGGCCGCTTCCGCGAATCCGAAATACCCTCGGAATGTGGTGAGTTGAAGCAACTGGACTGCTGCCCGGTCAAGGGCAAGCTAATAAATACTAACGACGACCTTGCTGCCTTCCAGTCCACTCCGGAGTACAACTGCTATCTATATACCATGACACGCTCGTCTCGCGCGTCATCTCCCAATTACCCTCCACCATCCCTCGACCCATGCCCTCCCCGCATGCGCGATACACCAAGTATTGGACGACCAAGTCGCCGCTCTATCGCAAGCTAGCTTTAATCCTACAGATAATCCAACACACCGAACTCCTCTGGGAAATGAGCGCGCGACGGCGCGGCGAAAAGGTTCGATGGCGGGTAATCGTGATGATCGAGTTTGCCAAGGCCATATGTCGTCTGTTGCTATTGCGACTGACAAACTCGCGACCGCTTGTTAGTCCTCCACTGCCCGAGAGAGAGCAAGATCCTCGCGAAGCAGAAGCAGAAAGGGAAAGCGCAGCGGTGGGAGGCAGCTGGAATGGAATGGATACACCTCCCATTGAAGAGTTATCATCATCAACGACATCTTCGTCGTCGTCGGCGGAAATGAGCTGGACAATGCCGCGAACCGGCCTTACGCTTCCAAGCTTGCCAGACGCAAATGAGATTTCGAATTATCTGATATCCAAAGTGCTCACGGCGGACGACGTCAAAGCACCCGCAGCTCTGCTCCATCGCGTCTCGGGACGGGGCCAGTTCGCAGAGATTCTGTACATATTGCGCCCCGTGATATATGCTCTAGCAATGCAACGCTGGTCCCAGAACAAGCGAAGCTGGAGCCCCTGGTTGATCGGTTTCGGTCTGGAGTATGGGAGTCGGCAGCTGGCGAAGAGAGACCTTGCGGAGCGTGCTGCGGGAGGGCTGCGCGGACTGACGGGTTTGGAGAGAGACGAGCTGCGAAAGAGAGGTTGGGCAATGGGATGGTGGTTATTGCGGGGGGCGTTTTATGAGAATTTCACCAGGTATGTTTTATTTCTGTCTGTCTGTCTGTCTGTCTGTCAATATGCATGAATATGCATGATGCTAACAACACGTATCAAGATCGTGGATTGGAGGTTTGGCCGATAAATTCAAGGGCAAGCCTCTTCTGGATATCGCTGGAGGGTTACTGGAGGACTACGAATATCTGTGGGATAACTATTACTTTTCGACGGCCAGTCTTTGAAACTATTATAATGTATTCGTTAATAACTCGCATCATAGAATATAATAATCTTGGTATACTCGCTAAAAGACAGCCCCAACCCTCGTTCCATACCAATTACTAACATCGTCATGCTTCCCAGCCAGAGCAGACGCAGGGGTACGAGTAGTATTCGACAGTAGAAAATCAGCGAGTCCAGCTCCCTCATCTTCATCGGCAGGCCAATCCACCCTCACAGCATCTTTCCCTTCGAGCATTTCCTTTGCCGTGCCCCAGCTGAATCTGCACTCGTTCCCCCAGCCGAATACAGAGTCCAAGTTTTGACGCAGCCAGCTGACGCATTTGGAGTCTGATGGATAGCCGCTTCCCCATCCATTCTCTTCTGCTGTAGACTCTGTAGGCGGATCCTCTGCATCCTTCATATCTGTATCATGATCATTATCGTCGTTACAATCATCAACAACAGCCCGATGAAAAGCCTCATAGCAAACATCCAGCGCCACATCACGCGTAACCTTGGCAACGACACTCGCCGCACTCACACACGGATACAATGAATCCGCCTTCTTCGCAACGGTGATGCTCAGCGTCGGAAACAGCCGCTGCAGCTTTTGCTGATACGTCGCGGGATTCCCGATGGTGTCAATGTACACTTCCTTCACATCAATGTGCCTCTCTTCCAAAACACCCTTGATTATCTCAATCGTGGCATCCATTGCCTGCGCATTGAGGTTGTATACACCCATACCGGGCCGCATCATGCCGGCGGATATGTCGCGGGCTGAAAGCACTTTGACGGCCCAGCCGCAGGAGTCATGCAGTGCAGTGGACGGTGTGCAGAGGGAGTGCATGAGCGTGGCGCGCACGCTCGGGGTGAGCGCTTTGCTGTCGTCGAAGTTGTGCGTGTCGGTGAGGAGGGATTGTTCGAGGTGTTTGGGCAGGTAGAATGCGCTGTAGACCATGGGGCCGAGCACGGGGCCGCGGCCGGCTTCGTCCACGCCGAGGACGCATGGCGTCGGTTTCTCGTTTTCGGTGGGAGATGATAGTGTTGCGTTTGGGTCGGCTGGCTGAATTGTGTTGGGGCGTGGTGAGTAGACGGTGTAGGACTGGCCGTGGAGGAGAGGAGAGTGGTGGATGGTCGGCGGGATGAAGGAGAGCGCTTCCTTGGCTTCTTCTGAGATGTTATTCGTAGTGCTATTGCTCTTCTTATTCCTGCCCGGTCGCGCCATTATGCCAATCAGCCAAGCCGTTTTGGATTGACTTCGAAATCCTGTTATACCGAACTATGCAGGTTGTCGTAAATATTCAGACGTGAACGCGTCGGCACGTTTTGCGTTAGCGCATGTCGCCGCTCGAGCGCGTCTCCGCCGCCGCATTTACTTATGTGCAGTGCATACTTGCTACAGCGTACATAACCTCGCGACAGTTAATAACATAACTCGCTTTGATTCCACACAAAAGCCGGCATTAATTTCTCTTACCAAATTCTCGGTCGCGCACTTACTTTATCACGACTGAGCAGCGCAAGGACAGACAACATGGCGCCCCGGGGGCTTGCAAAAGCTCGCGACTACGACTATTCGAATGTCGGTAAACAGGGAAGGTAATATTTACCCAAAATGCACGCAAGTAAAGGAATACAAACTGACTCTACTCTAGGAGAACCGGCATCACGCTCAAAGAAGGCCGACGAGACGAGCATGGAATGGAAGAGCTAGACGGAATGTTCTCGTCGCCAGAGAGATCTCCTGTCAGAGTCAACGGTGTGGATCATGGCGATGATGAAATGATGGGGTCTGAGGGCATGTCTATGGACGAAGGTATATCTTTTTCTTCTCCTCCATGCCGTCTAGTGATTGCTTATTCTTGCTGGTAGGAAACGGCCCCGGCCCTACAGATTTTCTCTCTCGCTCGGCCACCCGCCGCTCCCCATTCTTCCCGCCTGTCGCCAGATCACCTAGAAAAAGCGGATTGAGCGGATCGCCTCGACGAACTCCAGGGCTACGGTCATCGCCCATAGTGCAGAATGACCCTGTTTCTTCCAGTCCAACATCTGGCCGGCAGCGAAGAGATACCACAGCGCAATCTGCTCGGCAGCCTCTGAATGATCGACGGCCTAATGCAGCGCCGTTTGCAAATGGAGTGCGCCAGAAGAGTAGGGATTTTGACAGTAATACAGGCGAATTCACGAATGATGAGAATATGCCGGTGCAGGATGAAGAAGAGGATGAGGACGACGAAGATGAAGCAGTGAACGCGTTCCAGACAGATATTGCCGAGGAAGACGTGGATATTCAAGAGATTGGCGATGACGGTGACGGGGACAATTTTGGGGACGATAACTCGATACCCGATGACAACGACAGTGACAGTGGCAATGCCGGTAACGAGGCCTCCGAAGAGGAAGAGGAAGAAGCATCCCCGATCCAGGCTGCTAGTCTACGCAACAAGAATAAAAGACCTGCAGCTACCAGCGACGTAGAAGGGGAAGATATACCGCAAAGTCCGCCCAAAAAGAAACGCGCCGGAAGGCCGCCAAAGTCTCAGAGCTCAGCGAAACAACAAGACGAGCCCGTTCAAAGACCAGCGAAGAAGGCCAAAACATCAAAACTGCAATCGCAACCTCAATCTACAGAGCCTCTAGACCCAGAGTTAGAAAAGGTCGTAGAAAACCATGTCAATCGCACAGGACCATTGAAGGGGCGGAGTCTTTACATCCTGAAGCGCGAGGAAACATCAAATGACAAGGCAGCTCATACTCGGTCCGGCCGAGTGTCGGTGCGACCATTGGCGTACTGGCGCAATGAACGGTGTGTTTATGGCGATGGGGAAGCGGATGTTGGACAGCGATATCCACTATCTACAATCAAAGAGATTATTCGCACAGAGGAACTACATCCGGAGAAGAAGAGAGGGGGAGGAGGCAAAAAGCGCAAGACATCTGGCAAGAAGTCGAAGCGAGACGAATCTTCCGACGATGAGGCTGATGAGAGAGATGAGTGGGAAAAGGAAGACGGAGTGTTGCATGGGTATGTGAAGAAGTGGGATTCGGAAAAGCAGACTATCACAGGCGATGAGGAGGTGTCAGGTAACTCCCCCCCCTCCTCTTCTCTCTATCCCTATATGACTATTGGAAATACTAACAGGTCTAGAAATTGCGTATGCGCCGTCTGGAGTTGAGGTTCGAGAGGTGAAGGATTCCACGTTCAAGGTTGCCAAGATGTTCAGTCAGTCATTCATGGGGTCGGGCATAGTTGAGTTACCTCCCAAGGGGGTGAAAAAACCCAAGAATTCGAAGCGAATGCACATGATTTTCTGTGTGTTTACCGGACGCGTGCAAGTGGACATCAATGGAGTTCAGTTTACAGCGGGCAAGGGGTGCATGTTCCAAGTACCACGCGGTGAGTCTTACCTCTACTCCAAGTTGATTACAATGTACTCTAATGAGATTTCCAGGCAACCACTACAGCTTCGCAAACACATACCACAAAGGAGCGAGACTCTTCTTCACGCAAGCCTTCGAACCGATGGAAGGCGAGCTCTCGTCTTCGTCGAAAGCCGAGACCGGGGCTGGAGCTGGAGCTGGAGCTGAGAATGACCACGACAATGCGCAAGACAAATACGAAGACGTCGCTCCTGGCCCGAAGAGCAAGGCCAAGCCCAAGGCCAAGGGGCGAGGACGACGGCCGAAGGCGAAAGAGGAGTAACTAGTTAGATTGAGATTGACATGTCAATTCTTTCTTTGATTTGCGGGCGTCTGAGATAAATGACTATGAACTTTCTTTGTATATACGTAAGTAGTACCTGAGCGACAATCAGTCATATACATGAAACAGAATGAATGAATGCATCATCGTGTGAGTCTATCTCCAGTCACTTACATATTCCGCTGATCTAGCTGAACTGGAGAATCACGACCACAACTGAGACAATCCCATCAGCATCGCATAGGGCTAAGCAGGCACGGGAAAAAGAAAAGAAAAGCAGCAGGAGACAAAATGACATCATCGGCGACGTGGCTGGGTTAAAATAGAAAAACACGCTAAGATCTACGGCCGATCGGCGGCTTCTGATTGGGCGCGACTCAGCTCTGGGCCCTTGCTTGTTTGGGCAGTCGCAGCTGTATGTCTCAATGTTTGTATCTTCGTCATTCTTATATCTGCCGACATCTCCCTCTCTCTTCATAACCGCTGTCAATCATCAGTCTCTTCTGTCGGTCGGTCGATCAATCAATCAATCAATCAATCAATCAATCAATCAATCGACTCTCTGTCCATCACAATGCAGCTCCTCTCATCTACCAGCATCGCCCTCCTCACCTCCCTCGCCACCGCCATCCCCGTCAACCCGCTCTCCTTCAAACGAGCCACCACCCCAAACACCACCACCTGGCCCGTCTCCAACTTCACCGTCGGCTGCTCGCCCGCCGCATGCGTGTACAACTTCAGTGTCTGGCGGGCCAGCGGACCCAGCAACCCGGGCTTCAACACCACCTGCATCGGTGACGATGCCACGAGCGACTACCAGGCCTGCGGCGACGAGACTGTGTATGCGCGCATCGTGCCCGAGACGGGTGTGTGGCAGGTCGATGTGCGACACAAGTACGCCACTGACCAAAGCGGCGGGTTCATCGAGGCCTGGGCCAATGGTACAGTGGACGACAGCACAAAGGCATTCGCGGTCACCGTCTATCAGACTGTGGGTGCTGAATAAAGCGCTCTCCCTCTTGATACTCGTTTTGATATTTCCCTCGGCATTTATATTTTATTCTCGACATCGGTTTTTGTCGTTAGCGGACTGTACAATATGATATCGACGTTTCCTTTTTTTTTTGGGGTTCAAGATTCCCTGGTTGAAAATATGCAAGCGATTCGGATTTTAATTCATGTACCTTGTGCTCATATAATGTACGGGCTATAGTTGATACCACTGTTAAGCCTGTTTAGTTAATTTCAGATAGACAGAAACAAAACATAACATAGCATAGCATACCTAAATCTCCTCCATATCATCATCTTCCAGATCTAAATCCAAATCCAACGGCGGAAAATCGCCTACTTCCACCTTCTCAGGCTTCACAAAAACACCCCTATTACCGCCCGCACACTCGAAGTACCTCTTCCCGGCTATACTCCCATCATTCTTCCCTGTGGGCTCATCCAGCTCAATCCCCACCCACAACGGCTGCAGCATGTCTGATGATGATGATGGAGCCGCCGCCGACTTGTTGAGCGGCGCAAACGGAATTTCGGGGATCGGCCCAACATAGCGAATTGTGCCGCGGCGGATATGTGGTGGTGACGAGGGAAGCACGATGGCGCGGGCGAGCAGTTTGATACCTCTCTTCTCAATCTCAGCGCTGTCCTTGGCGACCTGCTCATGCAGCAATTCCTCGGGAGAAGGAGCATTGGGATCGAAGCGGCCTAGTTTCTGCGCCTTTTTCCATGCCAGCACCGAGTTGGATAGGGACTCGTATTTGTCGCTGGGAAGTTCGTATTTTTCGACACTCGACAGATCGGAGAAATTGGGTCGCGCTGCTGGGGGGCGCGTGTCGTGGACCTATCTTTAGTCAGCTGACGTTGCATTCACACTCACACAATGTTTTCTCTAGGTTAGGGAGGGGTTTACTTCAATCTCGCAGCCCCTCGCCAATCCATACTCCCCAATCACCCTCTCGTCGCCTCCCTCGATCCATTGATCCGGTCTACTAGGAGACTTGAATAGGAGTCTCTGGCTGCCCGGCGGCACGCCGGTCATGGTCTCGAGTTTGCCCTTGAGCTGCGGGATGGTCCATGATGGGGTGATGCGGCGCTCTGTAGCGAGTTCGGAGGTTGGTGCTGACGATGTGGGCGTGGAGATGATGACGGAGACGTCGGAGGGTGTTTGGAAGGACATTTTTTTTTGGTTAAACTCCTGTACATACGTGAGTAAATAAGAAAAAGCGTGAAGGAGAGAAAGTTCCTGAGCAAAACATTTCTTATCATGTGAGAGTGGGGTAGGTTAACTCCGTCAACCGCATTTTTTTATCGCTCAACGTTGAAGCAGCATCAAAGATCAACATGCCTTCAACGACACACCAGCCAGACCAGCCAGACCAGCAAGATCTACCAGATCAATTGCAACCGGACAATAACAATGCTACAAGCATAACCCCCGCCGAAGCCTACGAGTCTAAGCACGTCCATGACGTGTACCAGCAGATTGCGAACCACTTCTCCTCGACGAGGTACAAGGTCTGTGTGTATGCATCCTTCGATACGACTTTGAAGTTCAAAGCAAAAGCTAACCAACTATCTAGCCATGGCCAATTGTCGAGCGGTTCCTGCTCGGCCAAACGCCAGCGTCCATCGGGCTCGACATTGGCTGTGGTAATGGGAAGTATCTGACTGTGAACCGCGACGTTTTTATCATTGCTTCTGATAGGTACAGCCATGTCTATAGTCAATATCACGATAGATCTAACGACGGTAGATCCGAAGCACTGGCCAAAATCGCTGCGCAACACCATCCCCATTCAACCGTCGTCGCCGACATTCTGAACCTGCCCCATCCCGAGTCCTTCTTCGACTTTGCCATATCAATTGCCGTGGTCCACCACCTCTCGACGCCGGAGAGGAGGGTGCAGGCTATATCTAGTATTCTGCGGACGCTGAAACCACCCACCCACCCCGATGAGAAGGACAATAGAAAAAACGGCGGCAAAGCATTGATATACGTCTGGGCTCTAGAGCAGAAATCTAGTCGCCGGGGATGGGACAAGGGACATGAGCAGGACGTCATGGTTCCATGGGTCTTGCGCAACAAGCCAACGGCAGCAGCAGCAGCAGCAAAGCAGGAACAAGTCTTTCACCGATTTTACCATCTCTACGAAGAGAACGAGCTCGAGAGGGATATCCGTGCTGCAGGCGGGGTTGTCATTGAATCGGGATATGAGAAGGATAACTGGTGGGCGATTGCGTCGAGGTCGACGGAGTAAAGTTATCGACATTCGACAAGACTGTTTTGAGATCTCGCATATCTATCGTCCTATCTACCTGGCGAAATCCCATCGTTACTCATTCATTACTCCAAAAAAAAAAAAAATCAAAAATCAGAACGTTCCACCGATCAAACGAAGTCAACGCTAAAACGAAATCTACCTCCCTGCATCCCCACGCTATGCATGCAATATCAACAATTGTGTCTGTGTATGTGTGTGAAATGAGTCAAATCAAAAGGCTTTCAAAGGCTATGGTCTCGTTCGAGGTATCATCTGTGGCGGCGACATTCCGGACATGTCTGGTGGAGGAGGATGGGGAAGAGGTAATTGCGGTGGTCGAGAGCGATAGGGGTCGATGATGGGCTGCGTGACTGGGGAAGTGTATGCCGGGACGCCTGCTGTCAATTCCTCGACTGATGGCAGCTGCGGCTGTGGCTGCACTGGTTGTGCTGGCTGCTGAGGAAGCGGAGGCAGTGGTTGAGGAAGACTCTGAACAAACGGCGTAGGATGTACAACAGCATGAGCTGGGGCCCCATGGACCAGACCCAACGGAGGCGGCGGCGGAGGAGGCGCAGGCTGGATAGCACTGGTGACAGACATAGACTGCCTTCGCAGTCGAGGCATGACCGTTGTGTGTCGACGAAGTTTGGGCGGAGGCTCGACCGACGACGAGCCGCTGGACAGCGAAAAGGGAACCACCCCGGCGCGACGAGCCATTTCCTGTTCGCCCAGTTGCCAATGCATTGCCTCTGCGGCTCGCCATGGAATGGCCATTTCTTCCGCAACTTTGGCCCACATTTCGGCTTTGAATCTACGTCTGTCAGCTCTGTCTCTGATATCCCCCGAGCCGGGGGGGGGAAGGAAGAAAGAATGGCAAGAAAGAATGAATGTACCTCTCATACAGCCTCGCCAGCTTGTTCTTCCGATCCTCGTCCCACTCGCTCCTCCTCTCCAGGTAGTTCTGGTAGTGCAACCGACAGCTAATCGCGCTGCGACCAGGCAGCCTCTTGCTGATATCCTCCCACTTCATGCCGCGCCCGCGCAGCTCGATAATCAGGGTATCCTCCTCGGGTGACCATTTGGACTGTTTTTTCGCAGGCGGCTCGTTTCCGAGCGACGACGAGGAATGCCGTTTTGTCCCTGCTATTGTTGAGATTGGCGATGTTGTGTTTGGTTTTGCCGCCGCCGCTGATGTCGATGTCGATGCGGACGGCATATTTCCTGTTCCTACTCCTGTTTCTGTCCCTCTTCCTAGCATAGATGGCCTCCTAGACGAAGCAGCAGATGAAGAAGACGAGGGTCGGTGTAGCTGTCCTTGTGGCAGTGGTTTTTCTTCCTCCTCATCGTCGGGCTTGAGTAGTAGTGAGATATCCACTTTGGCGGGAGAGGAGATGGGATTAATCGGTTGATGTAAGAGGAGCATGAAGGTCTCTTTTTTTTCCTTTTTCTTTTCTTTTTTTGTTTTTTTGTTTTTTTTTTTTTTTTTTTTTTTTTTTTTTTTTTTTTTTTGTTTTTTTGTTTTCTTTCTTTCTCTGTTCTTCTAGTTTCTCGTGTAGACAGATAGATATCAGGTTTCCACGCCGTTGTGTGAATGTCGTCACGATAGGCCAGTCAAGTCAAGTCAAAGCAACGTCAACAAACAAACAAACGAAAATCGACAGAAAGAAATAAATCGATCGAGGCAATGTCTCCAGGCAGGCGAAATCCGACAGCTCAGAAGAAGCGAGTGGCAACCCAATCGCTCGACAGGCGGGTGGCTGAGACGACTGAGCGTTAGTGTTAGCCGGGTAGACAAGTAAATAATAACGGAGGCGTTAAGAATAGACAGTCAGAAAGTACGTATATGAATGATATGATCGCCAAATGAAAACGAATGGAGCAAGCCAACGGTTTCAGGTAGATGCCTGAGTCTAGACCTGACAATATAAGATTAATCAAAGGGTTAGAGTTAGTTAGGGCTTTGATGCCAGACGGCCTGTGGAAAAGCCTAATCCAGGCAATAGTCTTCACCTCACGCACTGTGGCAGGTAGAATGTAGTAGGAGTAGTAGTAGTAGTAGTAGTAGTAATAAACAAAGCTCGATGGGACACGACGTGGTAGGATAGGCTCCACAAGGCGAGGTACATGCTAGAAGAAGTAAATTACCTAGGGTAAATAAATGATACTACATATGTATGCATGCCATACATATAGAAGATACGACGACGTACAATACAGAAACATCCCGGATCCTGGCGCAGGAAAATTAAGGACCGTACCATGATTCAGACAAGTTGAAATTACAGTGCCAGCGATCTGAAGTTCAACGGTCAGTAGCGGCTGGACCCTTGCAAGTGGAGCGCAGTAGTGCAGTTCGTGTCCAGCCAGCCAGCTTGATCTCGGTGTTTCATTCATTTATATCCAGGTAGTGCCGGGGAAAACTCGGTGTTTGCTTCAGATGAGATGGTTCAAGCCAAGTGCTACAGCCATGAGGGTTCTTCTCTTCGCTGAAGGGGACTTGGGTATGCTTCGTGCTGATGCTGCAACCCCATTACACCACCAAGAGTGCCGCCGTTTCCAGCAGCGTGCAGAACATGATTGAAGAGCCGAGAATAACACAAGCCATGTCCGTGCAGCTGTCGATCGCTTCATAGAACATCCATCTGGCTACGTATGTATCTGCGCATCGGGTGGTGGGACAGGGCATCCCTGTCACGCCGCCTACACCCAGCGCCAGGCATGAACACGTTAGTATCAGATACGTACTTGAAGTTGCTGCTAAGAAGAATATACGAAGCGGTGTGCTCCCTGATCATGCCTGCTGCAAGGAGGCGGCCGCCGCCAACGTGGCCGTTGAGCCTACCTAGCCCTAGCCCTAACCCTAATTCTCGGTCCCCGTTTACCTGTTGACCCAAACTCCTCGCAGTCCCAACTTCCAGTTTCAGCCAGCGAGTCTAGACCCCAAAGAAATCCCGCGGCCCACAGCTCATTTAAGGAGAGTAATTTCATTTGCGTGGGACGAGACGCCGGAGTTCGCCTAGATGAACGCTGGTGGGCTGGTTGGTGGAACTGGTGGAACTGGGCTGAAAGGATGCTCCTCCAGTTCTTTGCTATGATTATACAGTAATAATAAATAAGTCCTCTACATACCACATAACAATACATAATACTAGCCGTATCTTGTGGCGGTGAACTCACCATGCCACGCTACGACAGGTGCATGTACGTACATACAAGACAGGTCGCACAGGCGCTGCAGAAGCAAGATGGCGCATTCTAGAGATACAGCACGAGCCTATCGGAGAATTTTCTGTTTGTGACTAGTACCACAGCGTTATTACTCTGTGGTTTGTACTATTATTATATGATATGATATGATATTGTATTATGCTATAGCCTCTCTGCCTTGATTGCGAAAATGCGTCATTGCTTACTGTTTTCCTTGTTGTTGTTGATGCATCATGTATTATGCCGCAAACGCTTTTTTGACTTGGGGCAGTGCGATGAATCTTTTGAGAGATCCAACAGCCAAATACATAAGTCTTGTCTGTCTTTGCGTAACTTTTTTTTATATTAAATATTCACATGAAAGGACAAGTCGCATGTGATGGTAGTACATATACGCTCTCCGGTATTTACTGCTTTACCTTGGTTGTTGCATCCGTAGCGGGCGATAATCTGGGAACCTCACCTGTCACACTCTCGCACCACCATATGGACATCACCACCTCCCTCCTCTCCCAACTCTCCCGCCTGTCGACGCAGACTCAGACTCAGACTCAGACACAGACACAGACACAATCAAATACCGCCCGTCTTCCCCCCCAAGCCAAACCCCTCCTCCTAACCCTCCACCTCCTCTTCCCGAACGAACTGCTGCTCGCGCTAGACCTGCTAGACCGGAGGCTGGTCTCGCCTATGTACCATGCAGACGATCCAAACAGAGAAAAGAATGCATTGATGTTTGTCGCTCAGTCCCGTGCTGCTGCCACCAGCAGCGCGTACCATGTCCACCTCCACGCGTGGAATTGCACTTGTCCTAGTTTTGTGGCGGATGTGTTTGACGGTGATGATAATGATAATCACGACGACGATAGTAATGATACGCGAGGGAGTACTTGGTTCGGAGAGCTGAGTTACGACCGGTCTACGCCCATGTGTAAACATCTCCTCGCCTGCGTGTTGCTGGTCAAATGTCCCGATTTGTTTGCGCGGGAGGGCGAGAGGTCTTTGATTGGGGACGACGACCTGAACGAGTTGGCTGGGTTGTGTGCTGGGTAATAACATAATAATTTAAACAACACGATATTGTCATGAAATGCATTATCTGACTTCTTTTTCTTTTCATGACCCGTGCAATCTATCTTGATGTGACATAAAATAAATTACTTATGACCCCCTCTTCTGACTCTTCTCATCCTTCTGTTCTCCCGCGTCCTTCTTGCCAGCCGCGGCAACAACAACCCCTTCTTCCTCCTTCTTCCCCTCGAGTTCCTCCTGCTGCTGGCGGTTCTGGATCTTGTTCTCGATCAGATCGTGGAACGCCGTGATGGCTCGGATCAAGCTGCTGACGTAGATGGCCATCAGCTGATCGTTGGTCTTGACGCTCATCGCACGCACAAGCTCGCTATTCTCAATATCCGAGTCCGTGCTCGTCGACGTCCCGTTTGCTTGCTCGTTGGCTGATTTCGGTGTGGAGAGGTTGGGAAGGAGGTTGAAGATGTCCTGGAGATTGCCCAGGATAGCGTGGTTAATGGGGAGCTCGTGGTCGAGCACTTTTTGCAAGTACTGTCCGATGTCGCGCAGGCGGAGATGGAGGCCTTGCAACGATTGCAGTTGGCCTGTTATTCTGTTGCTGAGTGTGCCGACGGTGACGTCGCGGATCTATATGCATTTTAAGTTAGCATCAGTCACAACAACACGTTGAAAGAGAAAAAGAGAAAAAAACGTACATCGCGTAGGAGATGTTCAACTCCAATCTCCTCCGCCTCCTCCGCCTCGATTATAGATGGAGTGTGGACGAATGTTTTTGAAGTTGTCGTGCCGTCCTAAAAAAAAAACATATCAGCACGTTTGTAACATCGACATTATTGAAAGGCGACGAAGCGTACATCCTTGATCTCCTCAACGGCAAAGTATGCATCCGTCGGAACACCAACTTCCTTGGGCTGCACGTCGATAATGACTAGTAATGGGTTCGGCGTATATCGCTTGAACAGCTCGTTGATCTCCAAATCGGCCGCGCGCAGCTTCGGGCCCGAGTGGTACCATCCTATAAGCTTCTCGCGGGCGTTGATCTTCTTGAACATATCATTCATCGACTCGACAAAGTTGTGGTCCAGGAACCAGACGGAAGGGTCCTTTTCGTCTTCCTCGAAGGGGACTAAGTCGATAGTTGTTAGCAGTGGACTCGCAATGTTGTAGTTCGTTCAAGACGCACCCGCAAAACTGTTGGATACCCTCACGTTCGTGCCATCGTTCTGGCCCAGCAACACTCCGACAACACGCTTCCGGGTTCCTTTGGCAGTCCGCCCGTAGTGGTCTGCTGCAGAGAGAAGAACAAGGGGAGCCACGGAGACGGTGCGTGTCACGAGGGACAGCGTCTCTGCCGTGGTGGCCGGCATGGCGAGGGGATGAAACGGAGGTGCTGGAGGATATATGAGGAGCGGATCGAAAAGACAGATACTAGAGGGCGCGAGATGAGATAGAGCGCGAAGGGGAGGGAAGTGATGCGTTGGCGGTGTTGAAGTGTTGAAGTGATCGATCAAGATGATGATCGGAGCTCCAGCTAAGCTGTGCACCAGCCACAGTTGGCGAACCAGCCACAGTTGGCGTTCGAAGTGCGTAGAACTTTTGAAGCCAGCCAGGTTACTCTTAGTTGGTTATATTCTAGTGCATTACTTATAGTCAGGACATCCATTCCTACAGGAGTCGATCTACAGGACATCCACGTATTCCAAGTATGCTAACTGTTGTTCGAGTATATCTAGGTAACATGTGCAGTGCTGAACAGGGGACAGTCCACCCACAAAACAACCCCCATGGACACGAAATGAACCCCATGCGTAGAACTGTAGGAGCGAAGAGAATAGATCCAGTAAAACGGCCGAGCGATGTGCAGGGTGCAGAGTGCAGCGCAGCGCAGCGCAGCGCAGTGCCTCGGTGTGCAGCTTGGCCGGTTAACTGGTTGGTTAGTGCCTCAGGTGTAGATCGGCTCCGGGCTCCTTCTTCCTCCTCCAGAGCTTCTTCTCCGTCCTTTCCCCCGACCTGTCCCTGCCGGTCTCTTTTCCCTCCTGTCCTCCCCGCCCAGCGAGCTCTCCCTCTCCCCGGATACCTCGCCACAACATACAATGGCTCCCATCACCCAGGACACCGTCGACGGTCTCAAGGACGTCATCTCCAAGCTGGAGTCGCGCGTCGCCGACCTGGAAAGCCGCCTGACACATGGCAGCCCTGCCTCCGGCTCGAAGTCGCTCGCCGAGCAGTTTCGCATCATCCTGATCGGTCCTCCGGGTGCAGGTGCGTTTTTGCAGTGTGCTGCTGCTGGTGGTGCTGCTGCTGGTGGTGCTGGTGCTGGTGGTCCGCTACAAAACTAACTTTTTCCAGGCAAGGGAACCCAGGCTCCTCGGCTGAAGGAGAAGTACTGTGTGTGCCATTTGGTAAGTTGCCTGCCTACTGATCTATCTATCTCTCTATACATATTTACAGTCGTAGGCCACCGGTGATATGCTGCGATCCCAGGTTGCGAAGAAGACGGCGTTGGGCAAGGAAGCGAAGAAAATCATGGATCAAGGAGGCCTGGTCAGCGACGAAATCATGGTCAACATGATCAAGAGCGAGCTTGACTCGAACCAAGAGTGCAAGAATGGGTAGGATCTCTCTCTCTCTTTCTGTGTGTCTGTGTGTGTGTGTGCGTTTACTGAAATATCTAACAAAACAGTTTCATTCTTGACGGTTTCCCCCGTACCGTGGCTCAAGCCGAGCGTCTGGACGATATGCTGAACAACCGCCAAGAGAAGCTCCAACACGCCGTTGAATTGCAAATCGACGACGCTCTGCTCGTTGCCCGTATAACCGGTCGATTGGTCCACCCTGCTTCCGGCCGCTCATATCACAAGATTTTCAACCCCCCCAAGGATGACTTGAAGGACGACGTGACCGGCGAGCCCTTGATCCAACGCTCCGACGACAATGCCGAGACACTGCAGAAGCGACTGGCCACGTACCACGCCCAGACCTCTCCTGTGGTCGACTACTACAAGAAGACGGGCATTTGGCGCGGCATTGACGCCAGCCAGGAGCCAGGACAGGTGTGGAAGAGTCTTCTTGGTGTTTTCCAGCCGGAATCCAGCATTTTGAGCAAGGTTGGTCTGTCTAAATAACTCAATCTGGTATCAGCCTGTGGGCTTGATCAACAAAAAGTGGCGTCGAACAACGGATAATAGATTGCATCACTGTTAGCCGTGGTGAATGTGCTCATGACTGTTGTCTATGCAGAGAGAGAGAGAGAGAGAGAGAGAGAGAGTCTACATTACTAGCGTGTTTCTGTTGGATTTTTACTCCGTGTCCTTGGATATGGTGGTGGATTCAAGCCAGCTGCATATGATGGTCGGAACTCGTTGTATTTGTATAGTATTTACGTGCCTTTTGTGTGATTTGATAGTCAACAAATTTCAGCCCAATAATCAATCCCATATCTAACTCTCTTTACAACGCAACCGGATAATCCGTCGTCTCAATCTTCTCCGGATACACCAACCCATGCTGCCTCCTAACCTCATCCATCACCTCCATGATCACCACACTCTCCTCCCACGGCATGCCCTCACTTTCCAGTCTTCCGTCGCGCACACACCGCGCCACCTCGTCCGCCTCCCAGTACATCCCATGCCCATTGGCCGGAAACGGACACTCAACCTCCTTCGTCTTTTCCTCGCCCGAAGAATAAATAACCCGATACCGCTCCGGCCGATACGCCGGGCACTCAACCTGAATTTCCCCCTTTGTGCCCTGGATGCGAATGGCCGCGCGCCCGCTCGCTTTGCCGTCTGGATTCGAGTCGACAGCAAAAGCGGCCATGGCGACTGCGTGCGACGTGCGGTTGGGACTCAGGCTGTTGCTCGGCGTGGTCGTTGGGAAGCTGAGCAGGATAGTGGTGTCCTCGTCGGCGCCGGTGGCCGGGTATTTGAACATGGTGGAAGTAATTGACGAGGGGGGTTTGCGTTGCGAGGGCGGCAGCGTGTGGTAGAGCGTTTGGAAGACCCATGTCAGCGAGTATATGCCCACTAGGTAATTCTCCGTCAGAATTCATGAACCTTTTTTTTTTTTTTTTTTTTCGCTCTCTCAGAGGGGAAGAAGGAAACAAACAATCAAGCAACGCGCCCCCCGCCAGATCCAAATTCACCATACGATGACTCGCATCCCAAGACGCATTCCCGATACTATTATCCGCGAGCACGCGCAACACCTCACCAATCTCACCCGCGCGAATGAGCTCGCGCACCTGCACGCTCAGCGGGAAATAGCGCGTCCACACAGCCTCCATCAAGAACAGACCTTTGCGTTTTGCGATGTCGACGAGCGTGCGCGCCTGCGCCGCATTCACGGTAAACGCCTTTTCGCAGAGGACATGCTTGTTCCCGACTTCGAGCGCTAGACGCGCGTTTTGGTAGTGGTGCGAGTGCGGCGTGGCCACGTAGATGATGTCCACGTTGGGGTCGGTGACAAGCTCCTCGTAGCTGCCGTAGGCGGACGGGTTGCCTGGGATTTGGAGCTTGTCGATGAATTCCGACGCGCGTTGCGACGAGGTCGAGGATGCTACGGCCGTGACGCTGTGGGTGATGTCGTCGGTGCCGCGCGCGTGGGTGTCTTTGAGCAGGTCGCGCACAAACGCTGTAGTCTATCAGTATTGTGCACTACATAAAATGAAGGAGAAACTCACTTTGCGCAATTCCCCCCGTGGCTTGGATGCGTGTTAGCTGGTAAGAAATGGGGTTTGTTTGAGGAGTGTCACTGCACACATACCGAGGATTCCCCAACGAGCGTTGTAAACCATCGTGTTGCTACACAATTACCTAGGCACGTATTCTGATGGACTGGTTGCTTTGTCTCTCTAAAGGCAGAGAGGTAATGCACTGAGTTATATGTGAGGAATGGAAGAAAGATGCATTGCTCGGATTCCTTGTTCCGTGGATATTATAATTTCTCTCCGCAAGACACTGCGGGGTGGTGAGGGGTAACATTCAGAATATTGTAAGACGCCTGGACATGCAGGATATTGACCTCGATGCAATCAAGGGATAAATAGATACAATGCAGAAGACGCACACGCTCGTCTTGAATAGACACAGATTGAATGGAAGAAGATATACATCCATCATGATGGCTCCGTTTTGATGCGAATCTTTTGACCTGGCGAGTCGGTGTCCTGAACAACCCAACCCAGTCAGCATAAGTAGACAGAGGCATAAACAACGATCAACACGTAATAAGCATCAAGAAAAAAACCTACCTCGGCCTTTCGCTTCCCTAGCACCGAGTCCGGCGTGCCCGTACGCATCGCAGGCGTCCCTCCTCGCACAGTAGGGCCATCCTTGGTAACCTCTGCATAACAGCTGGCATGATAAACCCGGTTTCCGACTTTGATTGCATCCTGCCAAATCCAGTCCTGCACATCCTCCGACCAGGTCGACTCAAACTTCTCTTGGCAGATTGGGCAGGGCGAATTGCGCAGCGTCACATCGTTTGGTGCCCGAATCCATTGCTTCTGTGGCTGCTTCTTGGCTGCTTCTTCTTCGCTTGTTGTGCCATTGCCAGCACTAGCCCCGGGCCCGGCGCTTGTTAGGCCGCTGTCGTCGTCGTATTCTCTTGATTTGATCCAGTCCTGTTTTATCAATCTGTCAGCAGCCAGTTTAGAAAAAAAAAATGGTGTAGATGTCAACATACCCTTTCGTCCACATACCAACTCCGGTTCTGACCACGCTTGATAGCGTCTGTCATGCGCTGGTTTGTGCGGAAATGCCAGTCTAAATGTCGAGCCTTCTTCTGCTTTCCTTCTTCGGTAGTGGAAAACCGCCGTCCACACGTTCCGCATCGATTGCTCTTTGCATCATAGAGACTGTTTATTAAGACTGGCCGAGGACTAGCACCATTGTTAGAACCCTAACGTTCGAGGATGGCACTATTGTCTTACATTTTGATTGAAGCTGTACTCAAGTGCACATTGATTGTAATGTCTGAAGCATTCTGAGGCGTAGGAACCGAGACCGGGGGAGTCTGACCCGGGATAATCAGAGGAAGATTGAACGGAGTCGCCGCCGGCGGAGTTCCAGTAGCAGACACCGGAGGGAGGAGCCCCCGGGCCCTCAGCGATGCAATAAGAGGATTTTCTGCTGCTGCCTGCGGTGTACTGGACGGCTGGAGTTGGGATAAATTACTAGCAAGCGCTGGCGGCGGAGTAGGTTGCTGGCGGTTTGCTGTTGCTTGAAGTAAGCCCGCGAGCGTGTTCGGGTTTAGCAATGTCGCTAGATTTGGCTGGGGTGTTGCTGCTTGTTGAGGCGGTAGCGTCGCTGTAATTGCAGGAGGGAACGTGGATGCTGGCGCTAGAGCTGATACTTGGTCTCTCACGAGTTTTAGTTGATCTGGAGGAAGTTGCTGGCGTTGCAGAATGCTCTGGAGGTCTAACAAGGCCTTGAGGCGTTGCTGGACTGCGATATCAAAAGGATTGTTAGCAAAGTCTGCTCGAGCACTGCCGATGAGACTCTCTATATCACGATGTAGTGCACTGAGGTCAACATCTTGAGGCGTATGTGATCGTCGTTCTCCCTGAAATTCAAATTTTGTAAGTATTTATATTTCCAACGACAGTCCTAGCCCTAGTCAAGTCGAGACACTCACCTCCGGCCCATGCCCATTCACACCATAAGCTGCCTGGGAGCCTGTCGGAGGATATCGAGACGCTACGCTCTGCGGCGGCGTGGGAGTATGTGACCAAGTTGGAGGCGTTGCCGAACCACGAGATCGAGCGAGGACGTCCTGCTGTTGCTGGAGCGCAGCAGTCCTAGCCTTGATAAGCGCATTTTCAATGCCTCGAGTTATCTCAACTGGGAAAACAGGCCGAGGGTCTAGAGAACCTGGCACCGGCTCCTTCCATGTCTTGAGCATCTCGTCCAACTTCCTCCGGGTTTGCTGATCGACCAAAGTATATGCATTCATGAACGTCTGGTAGAGATTCCGGCCCAAGAAAAGTGTGTAGGGAGTGCCTACATTTTTCACAACGCTGTCGACTACGTACAGAGCTGGTAGTTTCTGAGCTGGCGGTGTCTACCAAAAGCAATATTAGAGCTTTTTTCTCTGCAGCTACAAAACAAATACACACACGCACGCGTATATATACCGCAACTAGAACGCTGGAAAGGGGAAGACCTACTGTTCGAATGTGGTTCTCCAGGACTCGAGATATTGCCATGGCATGTTCTGTATTCTCCTTAGCTATCACCGTCAAGTTGCTGATCTGAAACTTGTCATTTGTCGTTAGATCTTCCAGGGAATTCTTGTAGTCCTCGGCGACTTCGTCGGATGGAAGCCCCGACATGATGAAGCGTGGATGTACAAGTATGGATCGAGGTGGAGGGAAGAGTTTTTATAATCAGTTTGTTCTCGTTTTTTTTTGCTCTCAATGACAGATGTATTTCAGATTGCTTGTTTTTTCTTTTTTTCTTTTTTTTTTTTTTTTCTCTCTTTGATTTTTTTTTCTTTCTTCTCCCTGATTTCTTCTTCTTCCTTCTTTCTTTTTTTTTTCTGAAGCGTCAGGCTTGTTCGTTTCTTCTACCACACAGTGGCTGGCTTGGAAAGAAAGTATCTCTGGTCACGTAAAACGTAAACAGACAGACCCGCGAAGATAAAATATTCTGATTGCTTTGGAAATCTCTCCTCAGCTCAAAGATAATCTTTGTAGAAGTGCAATTATACCGCAAGTGTGAAAAGAAAGAACAAGGAAGACACAGGCTCTTGTAGAATGCTTGCTTGCTTGCTAGCTACCTTCGCGAGACTGAGGAAAACAGGTCATGCGAAACGCCCAAACCCCGATTGACAAGACAGACAACCTGGAACCCCTGAAGCACTCTATAATCCACTGTTCCGTCGCGAGTTTCTACCTGGTTTTATTAACACAATCGCACTATTCGGGGAACGTAGGGACGAGGATATGTCGAGGACGGGTGGGAAGAGCAACTAAAAAGACAAGGACGATGATGATGATGATGATGATGATGATGCACACGCTAAACACGATTGAGTGGAAGGTGGAGAAGAACCGGTAAACAAGAAGAGAAAGAGAAAGAAGAAGGAGAGGGAAAATGACAGAAGAAAAATTGTACGATAGGCAAAGATCTGGTGTCGAGCGGTGCAGGAGATGGAGTTGGAATTGGAGTTGGCCAAGCCAGCAAAATGCCAAATGATCGCCCGTGTGACCTGGAGACCTGGATACCTGAGGCACCACTCGGCCTGAGCCGGCCGGGAGAGTGACGCAACGCGCCCGCCTCTTCTTTCCCGCCTACACCTGAGGTGCTCCTCATCGTCACCATCACCGCCATATATCCTTTGGAGAGGCTGCATCTGATTGTCGTCTAAAGCACGCCTTTGCTAAAGCCCATCGGCAACAGTCCATCATTCTTATACCAGCATTGTGCTGCGGCGATACATCCCATCAACCACGCCACCTTATTCCTTTTACTACGTTCGACGAAACAAAACAAAATGAAGCTCTATCACCAGTTCCTCGTCCTTGCTATCTTCGGGCTTCTGCAAGTAGCCCTTGCAGTGCAGTCGCAAAAAGCCGTCGTTGTTACTTATCCTGAAAACACTCCGGATTCGGTGTTGAACGATGCGAAGAAGGCCATTACTGATGCCGTGGGCACATCTAATCTCCGTTGCGGTACTGGTTACTAACTGATTTCTTCGCTCAGGGCGGCTGGATTACTCATGAATTCAGTAAGTTGCTCCCTTATTAGTTAACGGGTATATCACTTGACTAATCCATGTTCCTATAGATTTGATCAAGTAAATCAGTCAACCAACCCCGCCGAACTTCGTTTCACTACTAACAAAGACTAGGGGTTTCGCCGCGAAAGCTTCAACCACAGCTTTGGAAAGTATCCAGGCGAAGTCGACCAATTTTCTCCCCGTGATCGAAGAGGACAAGGTTGTTACTATCGCTGGTGACTGTGGTGGGCAGTAACGTTGCGCTCGCGAGACTAGCTCACAACGGTGATGCGACACGTAACACACTTGAAGTCCGTAAATGGACAGTGCTTACGCGGTTTATGAGGAATGAATGTATCAATAGGTGTATCAGATATTGGGATGGCGTTTCTGGTCGGTCTGGTCTGGCGGGAGACATTACGTTCGTTATTGGGGTGGTGGGTAGCTTCAATAGTCAAGTCAATGAGACGAAACTCATCAAGCCAGTCCTTAGAAGTGCAGTTTAGTCGATATAATTGTCAGCTGGTGTAATAAATAAATACGGAGTGCTTATACGCTAGTGGGACATGCAATCAGCCCCAGAGCGGAGAAGGTACGACGCGGCGGCGCGACAGACACAGTATACAACTAGACTCGTACTTACGACGACAACATTGCTGATTCCACCTCTCTAATACTCCACGCTTCTGCAAATCCCCTCCCAACAATTCCTCTGTCATGCACCCAATACCATACAAGCAACACGCATAAGCCTGGGCCGCCCCTCAGCACCTCGTCCAGCCCCTGGAGGCGGCGCACACAAACAAATAAAAAAAAAAAAGCCATGGCCTCCGAACACAGCGTTGCCAAAGTCTTACTAGAATGGATAAACAGCTTCTCTCTTGGCAAAATAATCAGAGACACCGACGAGCTCAACGACGGCATCATCCTCTGGGAGATCCTTCAGGACATCGACCCGCAGTACTTTCTCGACGAACTCCCCGAGCGCAATCCGTCCGACCACTGGGTCACAAAATGGCAGAACCTCAAACACCTGCACAAACTGCTTACGGGCTATATTCGCAAACAGTACGATACCGACGAGATCCCGCCCGGTTTGGACCCTTCGCCCGACCTGAAAGCCATCTCCGAAGCGAAGTCGCTCAAGGAGACGAATAAGCTGCTCAAGTTGCTCCTGATTGCTGCCATCAGCTCGCCCAATGCCGAGACATATATAACAACGTTGCAGAAGTTGAGCACGCCGACGCAGGAAGGGTTGAAGAATATTATTGAGGAGGCTCATAACTCTCAACATGAAGACCTGTCGGCGGACGAGGAGGAGCCGGACGCTAAGCGCGAGCTGCTCACGGTCGACCCGGAATTGAAATTTGAAGAGCGAGTAGGCAAGGTCCTGGCAGAGAATGATCGACTCGCAAGCGAGAAGAAGGAAATGGAAAAGGCTCTGGGAGACCTGCACAACCGTCTAGCGCGTCTGCAGGAGAACAATGACACTCTGCAAACCCGCCTTGCTTCAACCGAAGATCGATTGGTGACGCTCAAATCGGGGAAAGGGGATGTGGGATTCAGTGCAAAGGCTCTTGAAAGTCGCTCACGACAGCAAGAAGAACTCATCGCCAATCAAGAAGCAAAACTGACAGCTGCTCAGGATGAAATTGACAGCCTCAAAATGTCCCTGGAGTCGATGCGAGTCAAGACGCAACGGTTTCAAAAGCTGCAGGATGACTACGACGAATTAAAGACGGAAAGAGACCAGTTGATCCGCAAGGCGAATGCGGCAGAGAAATACCGCCAAAAGCTGCAGGCAAGCCAGGACTTTGAGAAGGAGAACCAAACACTGAAAAACCAAGTCAAGGATCTTCAGCAGCAACTGAAGGAGGCTGATTCGAACCAGAAACGGTCTGCGGAGCGTGACGTTGAGCTGGAAGAATATAGACGGGTGCTGCCGCGCATTGAGCAGGATCGACATGAGATTCAGAATCTGAAGAAGCAGCTAGAATTTAACAACCATGCTTTGACTGAGCGTCTTCAAAGCGCCGAAGAGCAGCGGGACAGAGACGAGGCTTTGATCAGTGAGCTGCGAGAGAGAATCCGAGAATTGGAAGGTTCGCCTGATAGTCCTTCTTATACACCTGGAAACACGTCTCCTAGGCTGCAAAGCACTTTGCAGAAGGATCTCGACGATATAGGGACGAGGGAAACACAGTTGTCAGTATTTTTTTTTTCCTGCTGTAAGCACACTCGAATCTACCTGCTGATTACTTAACAGGAAATCGGAGAACGAGGAACTAAAGAAAGAGGTGCACAAACTGCGAACAAGCGTGCAAACAAACACGGTAAGCATGACCCCTTTTTTTTTGTTTGAGAAGCTAGTCTCCTTGTAATGCTGACAGTAGTATAGCTGGGATCCAGTTTGTCAGCGTATTCAGAGAATCTGGCTGCGGCGGCACAGCTTGCTCAAGCGAAGTCCAGGCAGAGGTACGATAACACTTCTATATGTTCTGGGCTGATATAATGCTAACAATTACTAGTGAGGAATACTGGAAGCTCTACGATCAATACGCGGAGATCCGCCAGAAGCTTGCAGACGCCGAAGATCTGATTGACGCCACCAAGCGGCAACTCGATGACGCCAAAGCAGAGTGTAAGTCAAGACAATCAGCGTTAGCATACGTCCGTCTAATTGACTTTTCATAGTACAACATGTCAATAAAGAAAAACTGGACATCATCGCCGAAGTCAAAGACTCCAACTCCTCGGAAATCAGCAAAGTCCGCTCCGAATGGGACGAGATCACGCGCAAAGTGCACCATCTCGAGGCCGAAGTGGACGTCTCCCATGCGCTGGTCAGAGATATGTGCGCCGAACGGGACGAGTTGCGCGCAATGCTCGAAGCCAAACAGACCGAGATTCACGCTGAAGACCAGGATTTCATCCGGGAAATGCAGACATTACTAGCTGAATTTGCGGCGAGAGAGAAGACTGAGAACCCGGATGCGCCGGAGAAGTCTGGTATTGAGCTGCTCAAGCATTTTGCTGAAGTCACGGAGAAGAGTGCAGAAACCCTCGCAAAGAGGGCTGAAGTAAGCTTGCCCCTTTGAAAAAAAAAAAAAAAAGTGTCAAAACGCTCTTCATTTAACCTGGATAATAGCATATCGACCAACAAAACGACCTCATCAAGTCCCTTCAAGATCAAATGAAGCACATGGAGGATGCCCGGAACGACCAAGAAGAAGACAATATACCCAAACAACGCGAGGTATGCACCCTTCTTATTTAGTCTCTCTCTCCGCTCTTCCCATAACATGAACTGAAGAAAGCGTGATTAATAGATTGAACTCCAAGAAATCATCAACCGCCAATCCCGCGAAATGTCCCTCATCTGCTCCGCCTGGTACGAGCTTCAGGGCCGACTACAACATAGCAGCAATAATATACCAGTTGCGCGTTATCGTCATCCTGCTAATGCTGCTGCTGGCGGTGCGGGAGGAGCGTCAGATTCGCAGAAAGGATGGCTCGCGAGGCAGAGGGGTCTCGTTTCGGCTGCGAGTAAGTAGGTAGATAGCGTGTATACATATTTGCTTTATATAATGTTGGGTTGTGAATATTCCTTTGTGTTAGAGATATAAACGTCGAAGATTCATGTGTTCGTTTTCAATCGAGTCGGAGAGGAAGGGGAAGGGGAAGGGGAAGGGAGATTCAAGACATACGCAACCTGTCAATACAATCATAATACCTTTTTTTACGTATATAACCCGCATCCTTGATTTCTACTCTTGCTTTCTTCCCCGGTCTGCTGTCATCGTTCGCTCCGGCACCATCCGGTTTCCGACGCACGTGCGGACTCGGACCCTGGTGTGTCGTCGATGCTTCCAAGCTGCGGAGAGATAGCAGTCTTCTCCGGTGATGCAGATGTTGATTCTTGCGGTGTGATCCGAGAATGAAAAGGCAGGGTTACCTCTCCAATGACCCCAATGACAAGGCGACAATGCTTCTGAGTGCTACGGGCACAGTGATGAAATAGCTAGTCATTCCAAGTTTCTCGGAGTGGAGGAGTAGGGGGTTGTTCATTGCTTTTTTCCCACCTGCTTGGTCAAGGGTGACTTTCGCCCAGGCTAATAAAAATAGAATGTGCTTCTAGATCCTTCGTGCGAATCGTATTTCCCCCTCAGCGTTCGAGAACAATCAGGCCACATGAATACAGAGGGTAATCTCAAGGAAGGATGGGCTGAAGAGGCTGGTGGTAGGTAGGTAGGTATATCAAGCTTTGTGTCGTTGTTTGGAAAGAGTGATATCTAGATGAAGAACCATGTTCTTTGAATTCATCAATTACTTTGACCATGTCAAAACCGTTCGTAGGAACTTCGTAAAAACAAGCAAGCTCTCTATAATATCGACGACGAATTATAGAAAGAAGGAGAACGAGGAAGAAAAGGACAGAAAGTAAACGCTGACAACAGGCTGAATCGACCACTAGCAGCCAGGAGGAAGAAAAAAAAGGGGGAGTGCCATGGAGCAGGTTCTTGGATCGTCTCAGTCATCCTATGTCCAAGAATCAGCTTCTATGGCCGCACGCAGTCTAGGCAGTATCCCAATCTATATATACCCGTGCCTGCAGGCTGATAGTTATATGGTTGCCTGCACGAAGGAAGGCAAGTTGGATGTTGGATGCCTTAGGTCCTCCATTTCTGCATCCCCTGCACCCCCAACCGCGAAATGTCCATGAATCTCTGAAAGTCAACTCGGTGCTTTTGACATATCCAGAGGCCATCGCTGCTGCAACGGCCATTATCAGCTAGAGAACCCGTACATGTCTGCTCTTCGCAAAGCATGTAATTCTCCAAAATCTCCGTAGCCGCCGTCCCATTCATAATGCCTTCTCGACGTGGATACCTCTTGAGCAGCTGCAAAGCCCGGCGTCGAAGGCTCGGTTCGCGGCAGCGCATTGCTGTGATGAATATTGCCTCTGAGATGACAACTGAGAGCGAGTAGTCTGGTTGCTTTGATGGTGAGCTGACATTACCGGATTGGGCGTCGACATCTCTAGTATCGGGATATATGGCTTCAAGTACCTGTGCTGCTAGAGTGACAATCATTGTATATTGGTCGATGAATTCGTCATATCCGACTTCGCCTTTAGCTGGATCGTTGAAAAGTGTTTGCGCATATAGGCGGCGGATGTTAAGGACTGCGAGCAGATTCCCTTCGATGGTTTCGGATCGTGTGGCTAGGTAGTCCTGGAACATTGCGTCCCATAAAGTGAAGTCGTGGAGAATTGCTTCTTTATGCGTGGCGGATGCACCATGAGTGTTTAGGTCGAGTCGTGTCAAGCGATTAATCAACTTTTCCAACCCAACATACGCCTGGAGACATGTGTGGAAAGGTTCCAATGCGTACACGCTTTGTCTATCCTCGATCTGCTCTGTAGTCTGTATGCCCACTCTACTTTGAATGTGGGTTCCTTGCGTGTCTAGTTGAGTGAGCATCACCAGCAGCATATTTAAAGCCGCATCAGTATCGTCCCGTTGGACCACAGAGCTCTCTCCAAGTCCCCACTCATGCATAAGTTTTACCCCATGGCTGATATGCATTAAAGCCTGCAGCTGATAGCCCTGCAAGGTACACAGACACATGAATAAAATGCACGAGGTCAATACTACAACCTTGTCCTGTTTACCTAGCGCCTTGCCGGACGATAGCATCTTCGTCAAGCTCTGGATAGACTCATTAAACTGTCTTAATGCAAACCGGACTCTATCAACAGTCTCCGAGCGCGGATTATAGGGCAGCAAATTCCCATCAGCAATAAACTGCCGGTGTATAGCGCCTAATGCCGTAGTAGCGTGCCACAGAGGTGGATACAACCGCGAAGCCTGCAGGGTGTGGCATGTCCAGAGGCCAAAGTCGCATCCACCAGCTAGACTAGGAGCTGTGACTGTACGAAAGAAAAGGAAATTTTGAATTTCCTGTGGATTATTGTCCCCGGGCAGAAGGCTCAGATCCGATAGGCCTCGGTCTCTGATCATTAAGGTAGGGTGGGACTGCTCGACATCTAATGCAGATGATCTGGTTTCCTGGTAGTAGTAGTAATGGTTTTTTAGTTTACGACGAACTCGGCCCCCTTGTTTTTGAACGCTAGAAACATTCTCCATGCGAAATAGCACGTCGAATTCGTTTCGATAGCCTGGGCATAGCTGTCCTCTGCGCAGGCACTGACAGCAATGAGGCCGCGCAAGATCACACTATATTATTAATTTGGCACGTATTATTTCAACAAATTCCTACTATCTCATTGTAGGTTAATGTACCTTTAAACGCCGTTGGCGACAAGCATCACAATCACGACTTGGTCGGCCGACATTCGGCATTTTATTCAGCAATGACACGTAGAGCTGATTTCCCAATGGAGGTGTTCAACGCAAAGTAAGCAAGATGGCGCAAGTTTCAAGACAGCAAGAGAAAGAAAAAGTCTAGATCGATTGATTATGATAAGACTTTGATATGCGCTAAAAAATGGACGTAACCGTTTTGGGCAGTTGATTCGACGCTAAAAGCGTGGAGAACAATTTTTACCTAAATAGGTAAGACTAAGCCCTAATCGTCGTGGCATACAGATTGTCAGCAGCACATAGACTTGAATAACCGTTAAATACCAATTATCCAAGGCTCTTTTAAGGTTTGGTTATTAGTCTGCCATCTTTCAGCCATGTGCGGCTGGATTACGTTCAGACGACATACAAGGGGTAAATGTATATATATATATAGGCCTAGAATGCTTCACCAAGTATCATTTCAGAAGTCATTCAAACACTGTTAAGATTCCAATCATGGCACCGCCAATGTACACCGACCACCCCCTGGCTGTCATACACACACCAAAATTCGAGACGGGCAAGGTAAGTTGCAGCCTTAGTGCCAATATCTGTCTACCATCTAACATCCATACACCAGACAGACCCGTTTACGATTGAAGCCTCTCACATGGCATTGAGTCACAACTCATTCATCCGCGGTTTCAACAGCATCTACCAGCAAGCCCCCCGCGTGTCGTCCGCCGACAAAGAGGACTTTGTGGGCTATTGTCTAGCTTGGCATGACGTGATTACAGAGCACCATCGCTACGAGGAGACAGACTACTTTCCAAATGTCGACAAAGCTGCTGGCAAGACTGGTCTTATGGCTGGCTCAGTTCATGAGCATGGTATATATACTCTCCTTTCCTTTACTGAAGCAACTTATCTAACATTAGAGGATGTGTGTGCGTGTGTTTCTCCAGCTGCATTCCACGACGGCATGGAAAGATTCAAAAACTATCTCCTGAAAGAAGGCGTCAACTTCCAGGGCACCGAGATCGTCGCTATCATGGATTCATTCAAAGACCCATTCTACTCGCATCTCAAATCGGAGCCACGCGCCATTCTAGAACTGTCGAAATATAACACCCCCGAGACACCAATAAATATCACGGAGATTGCTGGAGCAGCCGGTAAGAAGACAATGACGTTTTCGTTTGTACTTAATGTTCTACCTGTGTTTTTGTTGAATATGGATACCCTGGACTTTGAGGATGGCATGTGGCATGAAGTCTTTCCGCCGGTTAAGGGAATGGTTAAGTGGATTATGACCAAGGCTATTCCTATGAGGCATTCGGGTCGCTGGAGATTTGCGAGCTGTTCGCCTGAAGGGAGGGCTAAGCAGTTGGAAGTTTGAAGTTGTTGCGGCCTTAAGGATAGAATATAAGAAGTTTAAGACAAGATATGTAAGTTTATATCGTCCTCATTCTCTTCCTTAACTAGGTAGAACACGGGTGGCCTTGGTACCTGGTACATAGCCTGACGTGCGAGGATTTCGCAAGAGGCGGGTACCTAGAACTAGGGGTTAGCATGTATGGACCCTACGATAAGGCTGATATAGAGTAGGTAGAATTTCAAGACATGCAATTATCAATAGCGACTTGTCAGTGCCTGATTTGGATTTGAATGAATCTCTGATTTGTACTTTAGATACATGCATTGCTGCCTCTTGAATAAGCTCACACTAGATTCTCTTGGCCTATGGTAGAAACTAAAGCTAAAGCTAAACAAAAAAAGAATAACCTACCAAAGTATATAACTTCTCTAGCTTTCATATAGAAGGGCTATCTTATCTAGCACTCGATATCTAAATGGTGAAGAGGGCGAAGTTGATCTGGTTCTATGGAGTCGAAGACTTGAAATCTCAACTAAAAGGCACACACCAGATGTAGTTCGTAAATACTGTTGTAAGCAAGCTAGATTGGCCTACTAAAGTGGAATGTATACATGGATTATTCTGCATTAAGGCTATATAGCTATGTCATATCTAAGCTAGTCATAACTTACTAATCACTGAAAATCACTAAACATGTCATATCAACCTCAGATCGACAAAGGACACCATGGCCTGGTTTGCCCCCTGGCCCAGATGATGGTAAATTCTGGATTCAATCGAATATCATATTCATCGTGGCTGGAGAAAAAATTCCCAGAATGCGATTCTTCTAGAAAGTAATTGTGGTCGCAATCCTCGAAGATAGGGTTTGAGAGGTATTCTGTGATTTGGGAGCTTAATTGAGATGCAGGCATTTCCGCGGGCTCAAGATACGGCGGCATCTCTCGCTTACTAAGGATTGTCAGAGTCTTGTAGCTTTTCTGGTATTGATATGGCTCTCACATCCAGCAACAGTTGCTACACGTTGCATGACCACAATCAATGCACCTCGAACAGTTAGAAATAAAGTGCGGCCCGCCATTACACTGACACTGGACAATTTATTAGTACGAGTCGGTAAGTATACTTAGAAAAAGCTCAGCTCATGGGTTGCTTACACAAAACCATATAACTGGAGCTGAAAGTTCGCCTTTGACTGGTGTTAGCCGACTGGATGCTCTTGTATTGACCGTATATTTGATCAAGATCATTTTTCGGGACACGTCGACTTTTGTGGCATGAATGATGGTCCCACGTATTTAGATGGACTTGAGTATGATATATATAGGTATGCACCCAATCATGGCTTAGTCAGTTCCACTAAGATCTGACGTGGCACGTATCAGATCCTTAACACTCGATAGGATTGCTCGCGCGCAAATAGAAGGGTGGCTTGGTGATACAAGGCTGAGTTTTCGGGCTGTTTCCCAATTCCAGCCTGCTTTTCTTTCTGATACTTGAGGATCACTTCTAGTACACCATATTACTTTCACATGAAAACAAATTCTAACTTAACGACTGGCAATTTCTGAATATTCGAACATGGCTGGATTAATCGCAGTCGCCGGTGGCATTGCCTCTGTCTCCCAAGTTCTCGTCTACTTAGCTCAGACAACGAAACACGTTGTCGAATTTTACGGTGACTTCACAGAAGCCCCAATAGTCTTGCATCGAATAAAGGAAAAACTACATCTCCTCCAGCAGATGATAGCGCAAGTACAGTCTTATGTTATTGAGCATCATGACAGCGATATCCTGCCTTCCGAGACAAAGGAACTGCTATTAGGATCTGTTCGTCGAGTCCAGGATTCGCTGGATAAGGCCAAGCTAAAATGCCACAAAGTGACAGATAAGAACATTAAGAAAACTATGAAACGAGTCGTCTGGGTTTTGAGAGATGAGCCTGCGCTGAGTAAGCTACTGCAAGACTTGAACGATTCCGACCACATTTTGCACTTGGTCATGCAAGTGTTGATCATGTAAGTAGGCTTCCTTAATCTTATTAATTGCCTGTATTCAATGCCTGACATCGTGCTAATAGTTTCCATTGAAAAAGGAAAACAACCACGCTAGCCCTACAGTACCAGTCTACTGCCATTAAAGAAGCTCGTGGAAATAGGGCTACAGCGGGCAGCCAGCCACTAGTATCTCTGCCAAAATGGACAAACAGACCTAATAATTCATGGCCATGGTGGTGGTGGTGGCTCCGGCAATATGGATTCTATGGCACTCTCAAGATCCGGCAATCACACTCCCAGCATCTACTAGATACGCACATCTTACTCGGCTACAAATTCCCAGCATGGCTTTGGTCCAAAAGTATCGATATTGAGCTAAAATTTCAGTTACCGAGATGCATCAGGATGCAAAACCGAGTACCAGTGGATTCGCCGTTTATCGTCGCTTGCCGTAATGGCGATGTCCAAAGAATCCGGCAAAGCCTTGCAGATAAGCCAGGCTCAGTGGGAGATCGATTAAGCTGTACAGGTGAAACGCCACTTATGGTGAGTCATTTTTATCAGCAGTTTCTCTTCGTTAGCTGACTTCTAGATACTCTAGCTGACGATAGAATGCGGAAATATGGATGCTATGAAGGTCTTGCTGGATGCAGGGGCTGATCCAAACGTTGGGGATGACGACGGAATGTCAGTTCGATAGACTATCCCTGTTGGTTCAAATAATATGTCTAGAGAAAGGCTGACTCAATTACAGCACCCCGGTCTTTCGTGCACTTGGTATGAATCCGAGACGAAACAAGATATTCCCACAATTACCGCCTAGAAATCCCATGTGGGTGGATATCATTCGCTTGCTGGTTGAATACGATGCGTCAGTTCACGAAGTCGTCAATGGAAATTCGTTGACCACTTTGAACCTGATATGGCACAAAAACAAAAGCCGAACTCTGGAATTCTTCCACTTTCTTCATGACCAATACTACGTCGACTTTGGCGCTGACAAAATCGACGGATTCTCAGCTTTCACCAGCGCGTTTAGATCTGTCGGATCGAGTTTAGAATGCATACAATTTTTATATGAGAAAGTTGGGTTAGACTTTTCCAGAATTTCTGCAGATGGTCGTTCCCTTTTACATCTTGGCGCTGAGTATGCACATGAACCAGAAACAATCGAATATCTCTGCAGGGCTTGTCCGTCGGATTACATTAACCGCCAGGATGACTTGGGTTGGACGCCACTTCACTACGCGATATTCTTCGAGGGTTTGCACAAGCCGGAGGATTCGTTGGCAAAGGTTGAATTGCTCATTCGCCATGGGGCTAATCCTTACATCAAGTCAACCCGACTACCCATGTTCTGTACAGTACTTGATATTGACACGGATCGGTTCACGGCTTTTGAGCTTTGCGAAGCTCTGCCATCCCATCGATATGAGCAGTTTCTGGACATTGTGAGAAATTACGGCTATGATATTCCGGAAGAGGCAGAAACCAATGTTTTCTATGAGGCTGTCGCTTGAGAATTGTAAACGCTAATGAGATATCTAGATATAGACCTGTAAATTACAATGTGTTGTACCATATACTGGTTCCTTTTACCTTGATAGCAATCCATAAGTCACAAATAATATGTATCATGTATTTTAATGTGTATAATGATCTAGCAATACCTCCTAAGGTCTTTATATCTAGATATTCACAGAGCAAATTCTGATTCCGAAGCCTAATGTAGGTGAAAATATGTACACGAACAAAATCAGAAAGTAAAGCCAAAAATATATACATAGGAATCCAGATCCGGACTTTACCCAGTCTGGATTCTTGCCAAAATTTCATTGACAATGATTGATAGGTATCAGAGTCTGCGACATTCATCCACAGACAGGAGTGGCGCTTCCAGAAGCGGCACAGTAGAGACTGCTTCCATCCTGGACGCAAACATCTCCAGAGGGACAAGACTGAATGATCCAGGCACCATTGTCGCAAATTCCAAAGCTGCTGCCAGCGCAGGCATATTCCCCATTATTTGAGCAGGAGCCTCCACTGACTGGGCAAGTACTGCTGGGAGAAACCGATGAGGTAGTGGAAGTAGCAGAGGTAGAGGTGGCCAAGGTCGTGGTTGCGGTGGTGGTTGGTACGGATGTTGTGGTAGTAGTGGTAGCAGTGCTTGTAGCGGTACTCTTAGAAGTGGTAGAAGTACTGGAAGAAGTAGCGCTTGGCACTGAAGTTGCAGAAATAGGAGCTCCATCGCAGACTTCGCCGGTCAAGAGAATGCTGTGGGCTTCCTGCGCGTATGTGCAGCCGTCATTGACGTTGTCATCAGAGTATCCGGCATCCCAGAGCATGATGCCACCGAATGAGGAGTTGCCCTCGGTCTCGGCGACAAGAGTTGCAAGTTGAGCTGGGGTAATGTAGTAAATTGAACCACCAGTGTTGCCGTTAGAAGCGAGCGTAGAGGCAGGAGCTCCAATGTAGAGCAAAGCATCAGCAGAAGGAGTGTCGGCAAGCCAGTCAACCCACTGAAGAAAGTTGAAAGGTGCATTTCCGTCGAAACCAAGAGAGCATGATTCGTAAGTGTGGTTGTCGAGGCCGTTGTTGTTGTTGTACCACTGAACCCAGAGACGGTCAAAGGTAGAGTTGCCAATGATGACGCCCATGTTGGGCTCTGGGATAGGGCATTGGGGGGCACCGGTGATAAGGTAAGTGTTATCCGGGTCAGAATCGAAGTTGGCACGCAGAGTAGAAATCATGTATTGGTAGTACTGGCTAGAGCCGTCGTTGACCTCAATGTCAAAATCGAAGCCATTCACAAAGACGTCGCCAAAGGGGCGTTCAACAGTAGTGTTGCCGGAGTTTGCATATGAGTCCCACAAGTACTGACCGATGGCCTCGGCCTCCTCCTGCGATTGCAGAGAGTAAGAACCAGATGCGCCTCCAAGGGATAACAGAACAGTAACACCAGCATCCTGGCATGTACTAATAGCTGAAGCTAGATCGTCACACAAGAAGCCAGCACCGGTAGTGGAGACGGAGCATGATTCTCCAATGACGCCGGCTGGGATGTTCTGGCCATTGCCAAACTCGTACAAGAAGGAGAGGATGATAACATCAATACCAGAAGTAGCCGTACAGTAGGTGGAAAGATCGTTGTTCTCTGATGAGCCGGGCCCGTTTTGGCCCCAGTAGACGACAGTCTGGCGGCTCGTAGTCTGGCGAGAAGAAAGAGTGTTGCGGCGAGGCAGCGCCGATGCTGTTGCGAGGGCTATGGCGCTGGCGCCGGTAATGAGGGTCGCGAAACGCATGCTGAGAGAGAAGGAGAGTGTATATAGCAATGCTAACTAGAATAAAGAAAGAAGGAATGGAAAGATCCGCTAGGGATCAGTGCGACAACGATCGTGGTGTCTGTCTACAAGATTGTCCGAGGAAATAAAACGAGATTCGGGGAGAACCTGATAGACTTTATATCCTACAGACAGGGCCACAAACCAGTAGTCACCCTCGATGACAGGCATCCGTCAAGTTACACCCCTAGTCCATGTGCCTTCTACACTCCATCTACTGGGCATATGGCATGGGTTGGTTGCATCGAAGGGCCATATTACATAGCGCCTATACAGGGCCGAATACGTGCGAACAAGCATAGAAAGTCAACAAAATGTAACAGCTATTGGGAACTCTTAGGGCAAGAACTGGGAATAGTGTCGACGCTTAGGTTGGTGGCGTTTTTTTTAGTAGAAATAGGGATCAATTTTGAGATGCCACCGCGCACTTTAGTCTGCAGAACGAAGAATGATAAGATTGTGACCCTTTTGATCAGCAGATAATTTTCCAAATTTAATCTAGTGTAATTGTTTTAAAAATCAGAATGATGAGTGACTTGGGGAAATTTGCAGGCAACTCTCATACTTGTGTGCCCGCGCTAACTCACCGTTCACTGCGTTCAGTAATCGGACTTTTATGGCCCCTTAGAGAAACGTTGAAACTTGAAACAGCCAAGATATCAACCAGTGCAGTAGAAATTTCATAGCACGACACGATTTATATCCATCAGAGAGAACACGCAGAAAGCAGGAGCAAAGATCTCAGTGTCCAAATGACAGATGCAGCTGTCCCTGCTAATCCCTGATTAGCACCCACCTTATCACGGTATCAATATCGCGTTTTGGTGGTGTTACGGTAGGATTCCCGATCATGAGGCGTTGAAAGATGACTTTAAGTCACTGAACTAACCGCTAGCTGGGAACTAGCAGCATGCAGCTCCAACGGACAAAGCGAAATCATAGGTTGATCCGCGATTCAGAATGGGTAGGGTTACAAGGTGGCTTGTCACAGCCAGGAACGCCCCATTTTATTTCTATGCCTGCGACTTACTATGAGCATGGCCTATCTGTCCACGTTACGATGGTATATAGTATAGGCGAGAGTCGGAGTATGTGCTTCACAATCGTCTTTCTCTGTAGGAGCAAGCATGCAATGTAACAATGTAGAATGTCACAGGGAGAAAAATAAAGATAAATATTACACATATCATAAACCACCTAGGTGAATGCGTTGTTTATATTCGCTTGGTTTTTGGTTCGATTGACCTCTTTTGGAGCTTCTTCATTCTGATTCGTTGTAGCGCGGAGATCAAGCGCTAGACTAACCATGTATAGCCTAGTATGTTGAATAAATAATATGATTGGCTGAACTATACCTTACATACTATAGAATAGACAAATCGTTGTTTGATATAATGAAAATACCTAGATACTATCTATATGTACAACTGTGAACTACAGCCGATGCCTCGTCTTATCCTTGCTCATGCAACGCCCCTGGCCCGGCGGAAACAACCTGCAGCTCTATTCGCATGTTTAATTATCCTACCTGAGGACGCAAGTAGACCAGTTAGCGAGCAAGTGCTAATTTTGCTATGTAGCCAATATCATGAGGCCAGTAAAATATCCAACTGAAGAAATTTCAAGAAACAATGCAGACACTTCGTCTTCTATACCAATGGTACCTCTTTTCATACATCTAGAAAACATCACTAAGCCTACGCTACACAAAAGACAGACAATAGACACCAACGAGAGAAAAGCAAATTGATCCGTTTATTTCAGAAGTGAAGACACAAACATCCACATGTAATTCGGACGTGCCAAACATTTATATCACATTCCTACGATGCTCTCGCTGTCAGAACTGGCTGGTGGCTTTACATATAAGACGACGAGAGGGTGGATCCTATCTCGTCAGAAGACACGTAATGTCAATGTGCCGACGACCCTAGAAATGCCGTGCAATATCTAGCCAAATTGTTTGATAGAAAACTGTAAAACACAAAAGCAGAGTAGCAAAGACGACGCTGTGACGCTATGATGAGTGACATGGGTAATGATAATTCTAGTGTATTCAGATCGGAGTACTCGGCATCTGATAGAGTAGAGTGGACGTTTGGTGTCGATACTTGAAGCACATGATATCGCCTAGATTTTTAAAAGGCTACCTAGCTTATTCCGGAAGCAATTTCGAATTATCTAGTGATGGCGACGAGGACGAAAGTTAGCTTGGAGGAAAGGGTTCCAATGTCCTCGGGCAACGCCATATTCCCGTTTCATTCACGGGTATCTGGATGAAGGCTTAGATAGAGATGACGCATAGGTTTTGCCCGCACTTCCCTGGACATATGGAACGGTAGATCTTATGAGATTGACGGCGGCGTGGATCCATTTTATCGCAGTTTGGAATGAATAAGATTTCGACAAGGAAGAAGAATAACCGTTTTGGCTTGAGACATTTATATCCGGCTCTCTTGTTCATTTCCTAAATGCATTCGCCATCCTTCGAGCAAATCAACCTGGGTTTGCATCCATTGAGGCCGTTTTGGTTTGTCTACTGAGCCCGGGGAGTATTCTTCTTGCAGATTCCGGTCGAAGACGTGATTATCAGGCAGCTCAGGCATACAACCTCATTTGTTAGGTCGTCCATATACCCGAGAGAAAGGGTAAAAGAAAGCAATAGCCTCTTCGAGCCCTTCAAGCCTTTGTCAGATGCCACATGAGCACTCCCCGTGCAGGTTCATCGCACGAAAACAGAACTTCTTACCAGTTTCCAGGTTTCCTTCAGTCGCATTAGGATACCAATGAAGCTCCACGCAAAACAAAAAAGCACAGTCCTAATTGCTTGCTGAATCAACATGTCTCGACCTTCGCCCTGGGAAGAGGCTGTCTTGGTGCCAAGTGATCTAATCTTGCGCCCTCTGACGAGGAAGGTGTAACTGTTTTTTGAACCTACATTGATAGATGCCGGTAAAGATAGTGTCGTAAACAAAAAACAGAGCCACTACCTGGGTAATAGGCCCATCATAGAAATTCACGGCCGAGGACAAGGACTTTGAATGAAGGGAGAGGTTCGGTGTGGAAAAAACTGCGAGTTGAAGAAGTCGTACATATGTCGTGTAGAATCAAGAACCAAGTCAGTGCATCGTATTGAGTTTCTACTCTGAGGACTGGCATCATACTTAATGAGTCAACATTGAGATATGGACATGCGGTAAAGACTTGTTGCTACCTTCATGCACCCTGTCATAGACAGCTATAGCTATAGCTCCAGCCTCCAGCTACACCTGCAGCTATCGGAGCCTGCATTGCATGGTGGCAGGTCGGTTGGAACCGCTGAGTTGGGGGCCAGGCCAAACCCTAACTCCGTATAGTGCACTATTCTATCTCATTCTATCTATGCTGTTAGTGCAGCACTAGGCTGTAACAAGGAAAAACCAACAGCAGATTCTAAGATTATATGGTTACAGTGCCTGCAGGCACATGTAACCTAAGTTCAATTGCTATGATAATAGATATAGTAATAAACATCAGACAATGACATCGTAGCATAGTTAACTAGTAATACTTGGATAGTTAATATCAGCACGTCGCAGAGAGCTGGATGTCAGGCACTCAGGCTGCCAGGGCCTAGGGTTAAACCTAGCGCTAGTCCTAGAAATGAGATTTCCTATTTAGTATGCCGGATCGGCGCGGATTATCGTAAATCCAAACCCAGCGGGCGCTAGCCCCGGAGATCGACGCCCAGACTGCTTGTTTCGTCCAGGGCAACAAACAATATTTTTCTTTTCAGCACCGAAGATACACGAAGCGACGAGCAGACACTGTGACAATGCTGCCGTAACGTGGAGCAATTGCTATCGGCGGCTTATCTGCATACGATATCTAGAGATTAATATATTAACGCACTGACTAGAGATAAATATGCGACTGTCGTGGGCAGAAATGAGCCGGATCCTGGGGTAGCTCCTGGCGCTAAGCTGGATACGGCCTAGTGTGGTGATACGGTTACATGGTCGTTGCGACAAGAGCTCCTTATCGAAGCTTATCTGTTTACGACCAGAAAGTTAGGGGGGGTGTGTGCTTCTCTCTCTCTTTTTCTCTCTTGTTATTTATATGTTTGGCCCTTGCTGCCCGTTCATTCTCACGGATCACCAGCAAAAAGAGCTCGATCGGTGCTCACCAATTCCTCCATCATGGTCGCGCTCTCGCTCCTGGCCGTCTCGCTCCTGGCCCTCAACCCCGTCAGCGCCCTGTGGCCTGAACCAACCAATGTCACCACCGGCACTCAGACTTTGTTCATCAACGAAGACATCCGGGTGACTTACAACGGACAGCCGGTATGCTTATGAACCTCTGTTAGGAAGGGCAGAGAGAGAGAAAAGAACTGGATCCTGACTGCGAAACAGATTGTATACACCGCCGGATATGAGCCCTCGACACTCACCAGCCACGACATTGTCCAGGGTGGCGTATCGCGCGCATTGGACACCATCTTCCAGGATGGCCTGTACCCATGGAAGTTCCATTTGCGCAATGAAACCGACTGGGAGCCGAGCCTCTTCAGCCTGAAATGGGTGAATTCGCTCAAAATTACTCAGACGGCGTTCGACAACACGACCACTTTCAAGCCCTTGGCCGGCCAGGTCGACGAATCTTACGAGCTGACTGTTGACACCAATGGCCAGGCTGAGATTACTGCTGTTTCGTCAATTGGAGTCTTGCGTGCTCTGGAGACCTTCACCCAGCTCTTCTACACCTACTCCTCCAACAATTTTTACTACACTCCTTTCGTGCCTGTGAGCATTCAAGATAAGCCCGTGAAAAGTCACCGTGGTATCATGCTTGACACTTCTCGAAACTACTACAGTGTCGCTGCTATCCTCCGCACCATTGACGGCTGCGCAGCAAGCAAGCTGAACGTCTTGCATCTGCACGTCACTGACGCACAGTCTTGGCCACTCGAAATTGAGGCCCTCCCCGAGCTGTCCGCCAAGGGTGCCTACCGTCCCGATTATGTCTACACCCCGGCCGATATCGTGAAGATCCAGCTCTACGGTGCCGTCCGAGGTGTTCAAGTCATTCTTGAAATTGACCAACCCGAGCACACTGCTGCCATTGGCTGGGCATACCCCGAGCTGCTTACTGCCTACAACTACGAGCCATACACCTGGTACTGCGCCGAGCCCCCTTGTGGCTCGCTGAGACTCAACGACTCCGCCGTTGACACCTTCATGGACACCGTTATGGGTGAAATCACCAAGCGTGTCTACCCGTACACCGCTTACTTCCACGTCGGAGGTGACGAGGTCACCGCCAACGATACCCTTGTCGACCCCTCCGTTGGTACCAACGCGACCGACGTCATTGAGGAATTGCTCCAGATTTACACCGACAAGAGCTTCGCTCGTGTCCGCGGTGCCGGCTTGACCCCCATGGTCTGGGAGGAAATCCCACTTGACTGGAACGTCACCCTTGGCAGTGATGTCGTTGTGCAGTCTTGGTTGGGAGTATCCTCCGTCGAGAGTTTGACTAATCTCGGATACAAGGTCATTGACAGCAACTACAACTTCTTGGTATCCCTCCCCCTACCCTCCACATACCTCATTAAACCATGCTAATGTCTATATTTTTTTTTAAAAAAAATAGTACCTCGACTGCGGCCGTGGCCAATGGGTCACCTTCCAACCCGGCGAGAGCTACACCTCTGACGCACCCTACAATGACTGGTGCTCTCCCACCAAGAGCTGGGAGCTCATCTACTCGTACCGCCCATCTGCAAACCTGACCGCTGAACAGGCCAACCTCGTCATCGGATCCGAGGTCGCCATCTGGAGTGAGACCATCGATGAAGTGACCCTCGATACCCTCGCCTGGCCTCGCGCCAGTGTCATGGGCGAGGTCCTCTGGACCGGCGAACTGAGCGAAGAAGGATCCAGCGGAACTCGTGACCAGACCACTGCCGCGCCACGTCTCAACGAGCTCCGTGAGCGTCTGCTTGCGCGTGGTATCAATGCTGCTTCTGTCCAGATGCCCTTCTGTACTGAGGGCGGTGACTGTATCCAGCCAGCCTAAGGCAAATGATTTGATACGTATTTCTTGAGATGATAATGTTTTTTTTTTTTTCGGGGAGGGGTGGTTCAGCCTTGCATTACTTCTTTTTGTGGATATTTAAATAGATAGCACCTTGCATTTGCACATAATAGAAGGCATTTTTAACGATTACTCACCCCATCTGCAAATCTGAACCCTTGCTTTATTGACAATTCTTGTCTTCCACTTTGTCCATTTTTCATACCTATACCGCACTACCGCCAATCACGGCTAGTGACTGACCTTAAGCAAGCAAGTCTACGGCTAAGGGAATAGCTATTATGGCGTCAGTATACATCCATGCCTGGATGCTTATGATAGATTCTTCATGTGTCGTTCCATTCCTGCACCTCTGTACAAATACGATGCTAAATGATTGATTCCTAGTATTCTAAATATAATTTGCCGCATTAACGACCTATGAAAGTCTGGCCGAATAACAAACTTGATAAATCTAGAAGCTCATGTAGATGACTAGAATCTGAGACTGCCAGATGTCCTACGGTTTATTAATGAGTTAATGAGCTAGGTAGAGACAACCAGGCAGCAAAGAGTACGGCATATCTGCCACTTGTAACTTGCACATACAATGTCCGTCGTGCAGGACCCATTCTTGGGCATTGTTGTGCTAAACGAATCAGCATGACCCTCAAAATGGAAAGGGAATTGGGATACATCTTTCTGAATACTTTCTAAAGTCATATTTAAAGGAAATTTAAAGATGAAGTAGACGATTAGCGGGAGAAAAAAAAATAAAAAAAAATGAAGGTCCTACCGATATTCGAAATCAGGTCTCTCGGAGTGTTTTGATCAAAACCGAGCGTGCTGAGATATGATTAGCTAAGATCCATAGAAGGACATGGTCTAGACTGAAGCTTACCTAACCACTACACTATAGAACCGTATTTGTGTTCTGGACTTCTGAAACAAGTTCATCTAGGTATTGCATCAACAATCAAAAGCTGGTATGATTACATAAGCCAACTCAGAAGCAACCCGTATTTTACTCACCACAAGTTCCCCTGCCATACATATTTCTATGGCGGAAAGTAAACAACGATGGATATTAGTAACGGGTGATTCAGCTTGACTTATTCATACCTTTAAACCTACCTCATGATATGACGAAAGCCGACGCTAGTCCTCAGTCTCATGGATTTACAGATGACGATGACAGCGAAAGTGACCAGGGCGAGTGGTACCCTGGCGACGGCGTATGTCCGCCCATGTCACAGTTCAACGTGTGCTACGAAGCCAGTTATCAAAGTTGGAGTCATGCAGCATTACATTCTACTCCGCCGCAAAAGCGTGTTCAATCCGTTATCGATCTCATGGAGGCTTTCCTGAACATGCTAGAAAATGTCCCTCCCTTCCTTTCAGAATCCCCCCAAGGACGTTGATCTTCATGTTCGACGCAAATCTCCAATGGTTCTGCGGTTATCGCTTGAACTTGAAACATCAGATAATGTAAATTGCAGCCAGCGGGCTAAACGCTTTGATTACCTGCAATGCCTCGGCTTCGTGTTATCTCCAGTCTCTGAGGCTACAATCAATGTCCAGCCATCCACCTTGCCTCTTCGCCCTAGGTATCCTACCTCTATAGCCCTAGCCTGGTACTATATTATTTCTTGTCGTTGGGTTGAGATACTTCAACGGGCTGGCCTGAAGATTTGTCTCCGTCATGACGAGGGCGTGCCGTTGGCAGACTGTTTCTGGGATATAGTTACGCATAGTCGCTGGCGGGCTCGTTTGGAGGCGAAGGGGGCTACGTTTTGCTCGCTATGGGCGCTACACGAGAGCAAGAGAAACCAAGGGAAACAGTACGTCAAGGAGTTCTATTATTTATGCTCGCTATGACGCTAATCAACTACAATTCTACTGCAGCAACTGGGTGCCAGTTCCTGCCAACTCATCATTCGCATTTGATTTTCTTCTAGAGTTCTGCACAGCAGAAGGTCTCGAGCATGAATTTCTTGTTGGTCTTTGTTCCATCTTAGTGCTAACGTCACGAGAAACACGTCCACCAAGACTTTCTCCTCCGGTACACATTACACGACCCTCCATTCCTCCCTCGTCCGATAGAGTATATTCTATAAGATTCTCAAATCTCTTGACAAATGCATCTATCTCAGTTCCACGCAAGACGCTATTGACTCGTTACTATGCAGTGCCTTTGTCGATCCTTCTGTCCCATGTAATCTTGCGGGGGCTGCATCCTTGGGTATAAAGAAAGCCTTATATCTTTTTGATAGTGAAAGCATTATAGGAGACGACCAAAAAACTACCTCGTTGCATGCAATTGCACATAAAACTCCGTAAAAAACCCTTCTATGGACGGCCGGCATTTGCACGAACCAGGCAGCACCTATACTACGCCTAGCCCTAAACGGCTTGCCACCACTCTGTCTCGCTGCTGCGTTTTGGACAAACACCATCCAGTCATTTATTCAGGTACCGTACCAAGTCGATAAGCCGACAGCAGAAACAATTACTATCTCTCGCGCAGAAAAATTTCAACCATCGTACTTTTGCCGACCCGGTGCGTTTGTGCCGTGGTCGCCTTTACCTCCATTCGGTTCTACGCCGATCACCAATCTTAGTCTCGAAGTTAAGGACCACCTTGGCCACGGCCATCAGCCCCAATCATGGCAAGTATTCTGGATCAGTGAATCAGAGACTAGAGTTCCAGCAAGCCCACGGTGTCATATTGATACTCCAAGAGTCCGGGAAATCCAGCAGTATTCTGATAGCCACTCACCCCACAAAGAGTAAGTCTACATCTCGGCTATTTAATTGGCATAGGGGTAATAATGACGAGATTTGGCTCGACGACGAGACCAAGAGTCTCGAAGCCATTCGCTATATTCAGTTACATCCATAGATTATAGACCCTTTTGATAGTGACCGGCATGACCAGGTAGAAGATCATGAACGAAAAGAAGTTGACTGGGAGGCTATCTTACAATGGCGTGCTAGGGTCGAGCAGTGTGGACAACTGCAGGACTTCTTGCAATCATCCTTTCTTTTCGCTTGCACGTAACAACCTTTTTGTCTAGAGACCGAGTCAATACAGTAATATATCGTCGAATCCTGAATTCGGAAATTATAGACATCACTTAGTCAACATATTTTTAGTACATGGTTGTAATATACACTGATGCACGAAATGGACGTTCCATCTTCTAGGCCCATTGTCGAGGATGCTTCAAAACATCTAACAACTCTCGTTCTCTAGCATTCTCTTCGGCATGCTCGGCGGCGTCCAAGTCAGCGCCTTCAAGCTTGGAGGTCTCGGTTCTTGTCCCTGAAACCGGATCCATATACGCCCAGCTTGCGGTGCGCGGTAAACTCATCAGGATACTCTCAACGCGCGCATTGGGGGTTCGGAGACCAAAGCTAGTACCCCGGTCATAGACAAGATTGAACTCCACGTATCGGCCTCGCCGAAGTTGTTGCCACTCCTTCTGCTTGGCTGTATACGGCATGTCTTTCCTGCGCTCTAGAATGGGGACATATGAAGGCAGGAAAGAGGCCAAAGCATCGCTGACGAAGGAAAATAGCGTTTCCTGTGGGTTTTGAGACGACGACGATGAGCTTTTTAAGAAATGTGCGTCGAGATCGTCAAAGAAGATACCGCCGACGCCTCGCGCCTCGCCACGGTGGGGGATGTAGAAGTATTTGTCACACCATGCCTTGAATCGAGGGTAGTATGAGCTATCATGGCGGTCGCAGACATCCTTGATAGTTTGGTGAAAATGTTTGCAATCCTCCGGGTAGAGATAGGATGGAGTCAGATCCGTACCCCCGCCAAACCACCAATTCCTATCCCCATTAATAGGGTCTTTTGGATCCGATGTTTCAAAGTAGCGATAGTTGAGATGCACTGTTGGCGCATTGGGATTGTGAGGGTGCAACACCAACGACAGACCCGCGGCAAAGAAACTTAGAGAATCAACATTTGCGCCAACGAACGATTTATGGTCGGCGCGCATCTTCTCAATGGCTGGTCGAGGAAGTTCACCGTAAACCACCGAGACGTTCACTCCGGCCTTTTCGAATACGTTTCCATCCTGGAGCACGCAGGATATGCCTCCACCACCATTCGGACGTGTCCATGTATCGGCTTTGAAGGCCTTCCCGTCAATTCTGCTCAGCTCTTCTGTGATTTTTTTCTGATGCTCTTTGATCAGTTTCTCCATCCGCAAGCGCATCGGCGAATCGTCGTTGACTGGTGATTTCTCCTTGAGAGCTCGATCAATTTCGGCAATTGTCGGGGCTTCTGTCTCTGTGACATTTTCCGTGACCTACATACAGTATATTAGCAAGAAAGCTGCCATACGTCATGACGGTGCTCACAGACCATCGAATAAATCAACGCTCCAATGAAGGGAATCCCAATCGACAGTCGAAGCCATGGCCTCCAAATTGTGAATGTCTGTTTCGGGTCTTGCTTGGAGCTGTAGTACCTGGCATTGCGGCCTGATAGTCGCAATGCTACTTGCGCGGACCTTGGATTCGGCGCCAGCCTGGTTAGAGGCCTATAGAGGCGAGTGGTCGTGGCCATTGTCCAAACATGCGACAGTGAAGGAAACTCGAAAGAAAAATTTTGGGATCAAAGGGAATCTATTCATACGTAAGAAAGAAACAAAAAAGAAGAAGAAAAAGGAAGCAATCTCTATAAGAGCTCAGAAGAAAAGAAGAAAAAGCACCATCCGACCCGGCGCAGAATATCAGCTCATGCCGGAGATGTCTCGCCGTCTGCGAAGGGAATGACTCGCGTGTTTGCTCTGTTTGCACTCCGGGAGGAACGAGAGAGAGAGGGGCCGCAAGCTTAGCTTTTCCTCGCCGCAAAAAATCGTCGCCGACCCCCGCAGACCTTCAGAAATTCTTATATCCACTCGCATTTTCGCATATCGTGTTTTTATTCTTCCTTGGGGTACTACAGGCACTCTGTGCATACTGTATCCTTGGAATAAGACCCTTATTGCGTAAAAGCTTCTCCGAGTCATCGCATCGCCGCAAAGTACCATGCGCATCCACTGATAACGGCCATCTGCAGCGATGGAGTCGATGGAAGTAAAAGTAAACCTGGGCAAGACCCAGGTCATTGATAATGTGCCCAAGGTCATCAAGGAATTGAAATTCGGAGCACTGTGAGTCATCCGTTTGTCTTATTTTCTTTCATATTCTATGGCATGCGCGATTTTCGAGAGCTAGCCTAAGCTAACGGTAGCTTTCTCCCCCGTGTAGGTCGAATGATGATATTATCAGCCAAGCCGTCGTTGAAGTCTCAGATCGGAGATTTTACGATCTCGAGCGAAACCGTGTAGTACAAGAAAATGGACCGTTGGATCGAAGAATGGGCATCAGCGGCAAGACCGAGACTTGCCTCACGTGCAATCTGGGACATAAAGATTGCAACGGTCACTTTGGCCATGTGAGATTAGTGCTTCCAGCTTTCCACATTGGGTACTTCAAACGTGTCATCGGTATATTACAAGTCATCTGCAAAGAATGTTCGGCCATACTACTCCCCGAGGCCGAGCGCCGTGCCTTCTTGAAGGAGATGCGGCGAGTACGGAAGGACAATTTGCGACGCCTACAGATTGCGAAACGGGTTGTCGAGCGTTGTAAGAAGAGCCGGGATTGTACTGTATGTGGTGCTGTCAATGGTGTGGTGAAAAAAGCCGGCACAAGTGCATTGAAAATCGTTCATGAAAAGTTTCGCTATTTCAACCAGTCAGCCTCAACAAAAAAGGTCCCCCCAATCAGCAAGGTGGTGTTCGATGCATCGTTAGAAGAAGCCAGAGCTACAAATCCCGACGTGGACCGATTCTACAAGAAAGCCCAGGATGATTTGAATGCACTTCGAGTTCTGAATTTGTTCAAAAAGATATTAGACTCGGATTGTGAACTCTTGGGTCTCGATCCTACAGAAGTCAGGCCGGAAACTTTTCTCTGGCAGTTTATTCCTGCTCCTCCGAATTGTATTCGTCCCTCAGTCAGCCAAGATGGAGCGTCCAACGAAGATGACCTGACCGCCAAGCTCGGTGATATCGTGCAAAGCAATATCACTCTCAAAAACAACTTGAGGAAAGGAGCACCGATCGGCACAATAGTGGAATGCTGGGATTACATGCAGTTACAAATAGCTATCTACATCAATGGTGACGTCCCTGGCCTAAAAGGAGAGGCTGGGAAACCAACTCGCTCTTTAGTCTCTCGCTTGAAAGGTAAACAGGGCAGATTCCGAGGCAATCTGTCGGGAAAGCGTGTGGACTTTTCAGGACGTACTGTTATCTCTCCAGACCCGAACTTGCGAATCGACGAGGTGGCAGTTCCCGAGCTAGTTGCGAAGAACATGACATATCCAGAAGTGGTTACTCGATATAATAAGGAGTGGTTACAACAGTTAGTGCGTAATGGACGAACTAAATGGCCCGGCGCAAACATGATCCTTAAAAAGGGCAACCCATTTAAGACGATGTTGAAGTTCGGAAATCTTGATCTGCTAGCCGACCGCCTGGAAATCGGAGACGTCGTGGTGCGCCATCTTGTTGACGGCGATATTGCGCTTTACAACCGACAGCCGTCGCTTCACAAGCTTAGTATTCTTTCACATTTTGTCAAGGTCCGTCCTTATAGGACTTTCCGCATGAATGAGTGTGTTTGCAATCCATACAATGCCGATTTTGATGGAGACGAAATGAACTTGCATATTCCTCAAACCGAGGAAGCCCGTACCGAGGCGATGGAGTTGATGGGAGTAAAGAATAATCTGGTCACGCCTAAGAACGGAGAGCCGATCATTGGTGCCATTCAGGATTTCATCAGTGCGGCCTACATGTTGAGTAGCAAGGACAACTTTTTCGATCGAAGATCCTTTACTCAGATCTGTCTATATATGCTCGGACCTGACACGAAATTCGACCTTCCTCCTCCCTCTGTCCTTAAACCTCAGATGCTGTGGACTGGGAAACAGGTCTTCAATATTCTTATGCGACCTAACAAGGACGATCCGGTGAAGGTTAATATTGATGCAGCTTGCCGAGAGTTTAAGATGCCCAAGGATGGTCGACCAAAGGATTTGGATCCCAATGATGGATGGCTTGTCATCCGCAATTCTGAGATCATGTGCGGTGTCATGGACAAAAGTACAATTGGATCTGGAAAGAAAGAAAACGTCTTCTACATCATGTTGAGAGATTTTGGACCACCTGCTGCAGCCGAAGGAATGAATAGGTTGTCCAAGCTTTGTGCTCGTTGGTTTTCCAACGTGGGATTCTCAATTGGTATCACAGATGTGTATCCGAGCGAAAAGTTGATCCAATCGAAGAACGCCTTGGTTGAAAAGGCCTACGCTGACTGTGATGATATCATTGCCAAGTACAAAGCAGGGAAACTAGAGAAACTCCCAGGCTCTGACGAGCTCGAGACCATGGAGAGCTCGGTTTCTGGCATTCTTTCCAAGGTCCGTCAAGCTGCTGGAGAAGAGTGTATTGCGCAGCTTAGTAAATACAACGCTCCTCTTATCATGGCCACGTCTGGATCTAAAGGTTCCAGCATCAACGTTTCACAGATGGTTGCTGTCGTGGGTCAGCAAATTATCAGCAGTCAGCGTGTGCAAGATGGGTTCCAAGATCGAACATTACCGCATTTCCCTAAGAATGCCAGACACCCGCCTTCCAAGGGTTTCGTGCGGAATAGTTTCTTTTCCAGTTTGACTCCAACTGAGTTTTTCTTCCACGCAATGTCTGGACGTGAAGGTTTGATTGATACTGCTGTTAAGACTGCAGAGACAGGTTACATGTCCCGTCGTCTGATGAAATCTCTTGAAGATCTGTCTGCCAAGTACGATGGGACTGTCCGGACATCATCAGCTAGCATCGTTCAGTTCACTTACGGTGGTGACAACTTGGACCCGGTAGATATGGAAGGAAAGGCCAAGCCTGTCCATTTCGACCGTACATATAACCACGCCGTGGCAATTACGCATAACAACAACGAGAGGGGTCTGTCGCCCTCGGAAATGAGAACTGTCACGGAAGAAATATTGTCCAAGGAACGAGCCAGATTTGTTCGCAAGGGTCTTTTTGGCGAGGATCTCCCATATGAGGACGATAGCGAGTACGGCATTGACCAGCATGGAAGCGCACGTGGTTTTATTGAGTCTATCAAGGAATATGTAGACAACAAAGCAGATGAGTTGGCCAGAGCAGGAGGCAGCTCTGGATCAAATGAGAAAGGGCGGAAAGCTCTAGATCATGTGAACAAACTCTCGGAGCGATCTTTGAGATGCTTTATACTGTCTTGTCTTTCCAAATATGAAAAAGCCAAGGTTGAGCCGGGTCATGCTGTAGGTGCAGTTGGAGCGCAGTCAATTGGAGAGCCTGGAACGCAGATGACTTTGAAGACGTGAGTTTTTTATATTTTATTTTATTTTTATTTTTTTTTTTTTTGCTTTTTTTCCAATTTGCTTGATGCTAACTTGTTGAATCAGTTTCCATTTTGCTGGTGTCGGAAACTTGGCGCTCACCCAGGGTGTGCCGCGTATCAAGGAAATTATCAACGCTTCGAAAGAGATCAGTACGCCACTTATTGCCTGTCGACTCGTGGACAATAGAAACGTGGTCACTGCTCGAATCGTTAAGGGCAGAATAGAGAAAACATTTTTGCGCGATATCATTCATGATATAGAGGAGAATTGGTCGAGCAATGACGCGTACATTTCGGTCAAGATCAATTGGCAAACAATTAAAAACCTTGAACTCGAGCTCAACATTCAGCAAATACTCAACGCTATTCAATCTCATCGACGCTTCAAAGCCGATGATCTCAAGTTTACTACGTACAGATCGCATATTCACATACACATGGACACCAGTCCGAGCAGCAAAGCCAACTTGAGCAAAACCGATATCGCCTTGACTAGTGCCGACCCTTACCTTCGCCTGAGACACCTTAAGCAAATGCTTCCTGATATTCAAGTACTAGGCCACCCGCAGGCTAGACGAGCTATTATCCACTCGGAGAACGGTGTCAATAAGCTTCTCGTGGAAGGTTACGGATTGAAACAGTGCATGACGACTGACGGAGTTGACGGATTTCACACGAAAACAAACAATATCATGGAGGCGCGGGCGGTGTTGGGTATTGAAGCGGCGCGCCAAACTATTATCGACGAAATGTGTGAAGTCATGAAGGACATGGACATTGATCCGCGACATGTAAGTTACAAATAAGAAAGAAAAAGAGAGAGACAGGGAAAGCAATAGCTAACGAGGTTCTATATAGATGCATCTTTTGTCCGATATCATGACTACTACCGGCGAAATTCTTGGCATCACTCGTTTCGGAATGTCCAAAATGCGTGACTCCGTGCTCCAACTCGCCTCATTCGAGAAGACAGCTGACCATCTGTTCGATGCGGGCGGCACGGGGCGCACAGATCGCGTGGAGGGAGTATCGGAATGCATCATTATGGGCAAGACGGTATCTCTAGGAACGGGGGCTATGGAAGTTGTGCGCAAGCTCAACTTTTACGAGGGGCATACGGGAGCGAAGAAGACGGTGTTTGAGGATGCTTGGTCTGAGGTTAATGGCGGGGATTCTGCATTGACTACTAGGAGGCAGAGGAGGAGATGATCTTGAAAAGAAAAAAAAAATAAAATTAAATAAAATTGTACCAAAAATTGGGGTGCATCGACTGGGAGTTTTGTTTGATAGTATCGATCGCATGGAATCAGGGTGTATTTGGTGTTTAGCATGTGATATCATATTTTTCTATCTTGCTTGTCTAAATTATTTACAGCAATAAGCTTATGGGAGGTACAATTTGACTGAAATCAAATGAGATTCATCACATAATGGATGCCTACGCCCTGGAAGTATATAGATGACTCACGAGCGTGACATGGAAAGTCACGGGACTACATCTTAGTCACGTCTTAAAAGATTCAAGTCATAGGAGACACTATGTCTAGAGCCATTAATAAATATAGTCAGTATAAGGAATACAAAATATATTCCATGTATGTATATTCCAACAATAACAAAATAGTATACTACACCGCCACGTTATACCTCGCCAAAGCGGTCAGCGGTCAGGTGCTAAATCTGCCGGAAGCGTGACTTGCGGGGCTTTGCCTCTTAGGAACCCGACCAGCCCAGCCAGGCTTCCCCCATCGTCATTCCTCATTCCTACTGCCTCAACTCCACCATCCATCGCACTTCGCACTTCCTGTAACCGTCATACTTTCATCTGCCTACTATCCTGTATCAGTACTTCACCATCGAACAATAATAAAGGTATGTGTTTTCCGCTTACTCACCAGCGATATCCGTTATATAGTACTTGGCTTATCTTCGGGGCTGTCACGGCACAGATAAACAACCATGAGGTCCAAGTTCAAGGACGAGCACCCCTTCGAGAAGCGCAAGGCCGAGGCCGAGCGTATTCGCCAGAAATATGCCGACCGTATTCCAGTACGTTTGATACCAGCTGCACCATGTTATTCAAACTGCCCACACTGTCTTCGTTAACGGATATGATGGTGATTTGAAGATGAACAGAACACTGACAACAAACAGGTTATCTGCGAAAAGGTCGAGAAATCAGACATCGCCACCATCGACAAGAAGAAGTACCTTGTCCCCGCAGACCTCACCGTCGGCCAGTTCGTCTACGTTATTCGCAAGCGCATCAAGCTGTCGCCCGAGAAGGCAATTTTTATCTTCGTCGACGAGGTGCTTCCACCCACAGCGGCGCTGATGAGCAGTATTTATGAAGAGCACAAGGATGAAGATGGGTTTCTATACATTACGTATGTGTCTTACCTCTCTTGGGACTTGGATCTGTATGGAAAGAAGCGCGCTAACCTCTAAATACAGATATTCCGGCGAGAATACCTTTGGCGACTGCTGAGTGAAACCCTGCTATTTGATTATTTGCTGCTAGAAGAGTTTCGTTGCCATATGCTTTCTTTTTTTTTTTAATGGATGGATGAATCGATTGCGGTCGCAATGCTATATCTCGGAGGAAATGATGGAAGGATCCTCCATTTGATCCTTGACTTGACTGCATGAGAATGAAATGATGAAAGCCCAAAGTCGTTGGTCTCATAGTGTCGGCGTTTTACGGACAACATGTTTTGCTACTACTCTACTTTGTGATATTTCTGCTTGAATACTAGCACCGTCAACCGACTCGATCCGAGGTGCTTCCACCATCCAGTAGTTAGTAGTTAGAGTAAGAGCCAGAGACCACGATATGGATCTTACATTTGATTTATCAGTGTCTTCTCAGTAAGAACTTGTTGTATCAATCATATGACTGGTCGGACGGAGCCTCGGAGTTAGACTTATCTCGCCGGCGCATTATCGGAAGCCCTCTAACCACCTTCGGACTAGCGCATCTTGCTCAAAAGTTCAGTCAAAATAATTCACCGCAAAAGCCTCGAGTCAACAAACCTGTCAGGGTCGTTCCTCTCTTTCTTTTCTTCTTCTTTCTTTTTTTCTTTCTCGCTTTCCGGGTCTGCCTTTAATTCGTCTCGTCTCATTGATTGAATTATTAGCCGTATCATTCTTGCTCAAATTAAAACGAGAAAAATATGTCTCCAGCCGTCGCTCAAATCGGCGCCGGATCGGCCTCGAAGGATGTCAAGCGCGAATCCGGAACGGCGCGCTTGCTTGGTTCTGGTATGTGACTGGATCTGTGGATATGAATGTGCAAGAATAGTTATTGACCATGTCTTCTTATTTTCTCCAACAGGATCCGCTGGAATCGCGGAGTTGCTTGTTTTTCATCCGGTGAGCACCTCGCTGATAGGAACCATTGGAATGGGGGAAAAAAAAGTAACATCGGGCTGACTCGTATCTCGCAGGTTGATACAATCGCCAAACGCTTGATGAGCAATCAAGGACGAGTATGTTGACAAGCCGAGTTGACAAAATGAAAGGATAACAACTTACATGACCTATTGCCATTGAATAGGTCAATACTACCGCTGCTCTGAACCAGGTCATTTTCAGGGAATACGCCTCGGCGTCTGTAGGCACAAAGTTTACTTCTTTGTTCCCTGGTCTTGGATATGCTGCTGGATACAAGGTATGTATCGAATAGAGCAAGAAAAGAAGGGGATAAAAAAAAAGAGGGTGTGTATTGATGTATATGATAGGTTCTCCAACGAATCTATAAATACGGCGGTCAACCTTTCGTCCGCGATTATTTGGCGCAACACCACGGATCGACTTTTGATCAGACTTTTGGCAAGGGAACTGGAAAGGCTATTATGCACGCTACTGCTGGAAGGTATCTTATCTATCTGCATTCCTTTGAACTACCCGATGGCGGCGAAAAGAGAGGCAACAGGCTAACGTCAACAGTATCGTCGGTATCGGTGAAATCGTCCTCCTGCCTCTCGACGTATTGAAAATCAAGCGCCAGACCAACCCCGAGGCCTTCCGTGGCCGCGGTCTGTTCAAGATCATTTCCGATGAGGGCTTTGGTCTGTACCGGGGCGCTGGCTGGACGGCAGCCCGTAACGCGCCTGGCTCGTTTGCTGTATGTCCGATACTACAATCATTACTATTTCAAGAAAGAAAAAAAAAAAAAGAAGAGAGAAAGAGAGAAACGTACTGACTGAAATTGTACCAGCTCTTCGGCGGCTCCGCATTCGCCAAAGAATATATCTTCGCCCTGCAAGACTACAACCAGGCATCCTGGAGCCAGAACTTCGTAGCCTCCATCTTCGGCGCCAGCGCCTCGCTCATCGTCTCCGCTCCGCTCGACGTGATCAAGACGCGCATCCAGAACCGCAACTTTGAGAACCCCGAATCTGGCGCGCGTATTGTGGCCAGCATGTTTAAGAATGAAGGAGCGTCTGCTTTCTTCAAGGGATTGGTGCCCAAGTTGTTGATGACGGGTCCCAAGCTTGTGTTTAGCTTTTGGTTGGCACAGACTTTGATTCCGGCTTTTGGCACGGTTGTTTAGATTTACTTGTTCTCCGTTCTTTTAGTATTTGTGTTCTGAATGGATGACCCGGGAGGTTCAGGGTTTTGGGTTCGTACTGGCGATTTTTCTCTACTTATAGAATTCTTTCTTCTTTCTCGTGTGAGAATAGTTATTATCATGTAATTTTATTTATGTCAGTTAGCCAAAAGTTGAGTTGTCGATCAATATATATATAATGAACTCCTCTCTGTGTCTGGCTGTGCGAGTGGACGTTACGATATATTTAAGGAAACGTAAAATATCCTCGAACCTATGGTCTTGTCTGACGTTGAAAACGAATTTCAATATAAAGAAATCTGTAGTTGTCATGATTGGTTGGCTGGTGACGATTTGGTCCGTGCGTTATCAAACTTGAACTTCAACCTCATCAACACCAAATCCATACATAGATACACATACGCATACATACATAACACACAAGCGAGCCAGCAATCTCCGAAGGTTACAACACACATACACACATCCTCTATCTTTAATAATAATAAACATAACAATGTCCCACCCATACCTCATATCCAAGTACGTCTATGTCTATGTCTACGTCTTCGTCTCTCCCACGACTCTCCCACGCTCCCCCCAACCAACAAACCATTGCAGAATGTAGAGTACTAACAGCACTAGAATCGCCGACCCGCTCTTCGCACTCCTCATCGGCTCCTCATCCGCATATCTACGGATTCAGCGGGATCTGAGCGAGGAGAAACAACAATCTACCAACACTACAGATGCGTCTGTGCAGAGTCAGACTCAACAAGGCCGACCACCACAAGTCAAGGCGCAGGAGATTTGGAGCTTGGGTGCTAGGAGGGTTGGGATGTGGTGGAGGGGGGAGTTTAGCGGGCTGAAATGAAATAAATAATCATATCTGTCATAAGAGATTTTCAGTGCTATGTGTGTACTATAATATTTTTATTGGCTAGAATTTACGGAGTCTTATGGTAAAGCACAAAAGGTAAATCTTGAATCAAGTGATTAACGCAGTGATCATAAACTGCACTATCTATGCATCGTAAGGAAAAACATGACCCGTCATAAACATTAGCGCCAGCATCACTCGCATTAGCAAGGTAAAAATTTTTGGCCAACAAAGGAAATAAAAAAAAAACAAAGAATTATTTTTGAGAAACGAAAAGTAGCAGAGTGCTACATGATTTAGTCAAGTTCCTCAGGGCGCTCCTCGACCTCGTCAGCAGTGTGAGTGGCAGAAGCACCAGTGGCGCCAGGAGCAGCACCAGCTCCACCGTAAGCGGCAGAGATGATGGGGTTGGCAACGCTCTCGAGTTCCTTCTGCTGAGACTCGTACTCGTCCTTGGTGGCGGTCTGGTTGGAGTCGAGCCAAGAGATGGTCTTCTCAATCTCAGACTCGAGCTTCTCCTTGTCGGAAGCCTCAATGTTGAGCTTGCCCTCGTTGAGAGTGTTCTTGAGGGAGTAGGCGTATGACTCGAGACCGTTCTTGGCCTGGATACGAGCAGCCTCCTCCTCGTCCTCGGCCTTGTACTTCTCAGCCTCAGCCAACATGCGCTCGATTTCCTCCTTGGAGAGACGGCCCTTGTCGTTGGTGATGACAATCTTGTTGCTCTTACCGGTACCCTTCTCAATGGCAGAGACGTTCATGATACCGTTGGCATCCATGTCGAAGGTGACCTCGATTTGAGGAACACCACGAGGAGCAGGCGGGATACCAGTAAGCTCGAACTTACCGAGCAGGTTGTTGTCCTTGGTGCGGGCACGTTCACCCTCGTAGACCTGAATCAAGACACCGGGCTGGTTGTCGCTGTAGGTAGAGAAAGTCTCGGACTTCTTGGTGGGGATGGTGGTGTTGCGCTTGATGAGGGCAGTCATGACACCACCGGCAGTCTCAATACCGACGGAGAGAGGAGCAACGTCGAGAAGCAAGATCTCGTTGGTGGACTTGGAAGAAGTGTCACCAGAAAGGATAGCAGCTTGGACAGCAGCACCGTAGGCGACAGCCTCGTCAGGGTTGATGGACTTGTTGGCCTCCTTGTTGAAGAAGTCGCTGACAAGCTTCTGGATCTTGGGGATACGGGTGGAACCACCGACCAAGACGATCTCGTGGACGGAGGACTTGTCGACCTTGGCATCACGGAGGACACGCTCGACGGGCTCCATGGTGGAGCGGAAGAGGTCCTGGCAGAGCTCCTCGAAACGAGCACGGGTGATGGAGGTGTAGAAGTCGATACCCTCGAACAGAGAGTCGATTTCAATGGAAGTTTGGGCAGAGGAAGAAAGAGTGCGCTTAGCACGCTCGCAAGCAGTACGGAGACGACGGAGAGCACGAGCGTTGGTGGTCAAGTCTATATCATACGTTAGCAATTTGTTTTCTCGATGTAACTTTTGGGCGGGCCTCAGAATCACATGGCTCTGGGAGGACCCTGGAATTATATTAAAATGAAAAAAAGTGATCACTTGCCTTTCTTGAACTTCCGTTTGAACTCGGTTGCGAAGTGATTGACAAGGCGAGAGTCAAAGTCCTCACCACCCAAGTGGGTGTCACCAGCAGTAGCCTTGACCTCGAAGATACCCTCCTCAATGGTCAAGAGGGAGACATCAAAGGTACCACCACCGAGATCGAAGATGAGCACGTTGCGCTCACCCTCGGCCTTCTTGTCCAAACCGTAGGCAATAGCGGCGGCAGTAGGCTCGTTGATGATACGCAGGACGTTGAGGCCGGCAATGAGACCAGCATCCTTGGTGGCCTGACGCTGAGAGTCGTTGAAGTAGGCGGGGACAGTGATGACAGCGCTGTTGACGGTGCCACCAAGGTAGGACTCGGCGGTCTCGCGCATCTTGATGAGGACCATGGAGGAGATTTCCTCTGGTGTGAACTGCTTGGTCTCGCCCTTGAACTCGACCTCGATGACGGGCTTGGTGGCCTTCTCGACGACCTTGAAGGGGAAGTGCTTGGCATCGGACTGGACCTCAGCGTCGCTGAACTTGCGGCCAATGAGACGCTTGGCGTCGAAGACGGTGTTGTAAGGGTTCATGGCGACCTGGTTCTTGGCGGCATCACCGATGAGACGCTCGGTGTCGGTGAAAGCAACGAACGAGGGGGTGGTTCGGTTACCCTGGTCGTTGGCAATGATTTCGATGCGGTCATCACGGAAGATACCCACGCAAGAGTAGGTAGTTCCCAAGTCAATACCGATAGCGGGGGCCATGATGGATGGATGTGTGTGAAAAAAGAAGAAGAGCGGGGGGGTATCACAGGAAGAAGTAGAGAAGTAGTGTACAGAGAGGAGCACTCGCGTATGGCTTTATGAAGGAATTCAAACAAGACAATTTGAATTGTGCAAGGAGAGAAGATGAGTGAGAAAAAAAGTGGAAGTGAAGAGGCAGCTGGAGGCCTGATACATATACGTGCGGGCGGTGAGTCGAGGCTTTGGTTCTAGTGACTTCCTTACGATTCCACCGCCGGCTGGGACTTTCCAGAGCTGTCGCGAGCCCGGTGATTGGCCGAGCCGGGGGGGGGGGGCTTCTTTATGGGATCGAATTTTCTATTTTCTTTGGAGTAATTGATTATTTCTCTTAATTCCCGAGGAAGTGATGGGCATGTCAGGATAAGAACTAATAGAAACAGAGAGCATCCCAATAGTAATAATACTCGTCATCATCGCTGTGGACGATTGTTTCTCGCATGGCGGGGCTGCCGTTATGACGTCTTCCACAGAATTTTCTCTTTTGTGGATTCCTGACTTTTCAGGCCGTGTTTTGCCTCCGTCACCATGACGCCCGACTAGCGCCCCTGCCTGAGGCCGCCATTCTGCCTGACAACCCTAGGGCTGAGCCCTAGCCCGACTCTAGACCTCCCTAGGTCCATCGATGAGAGATCTGTAAGTTGCAGACTCGCGCGTAGTCAACCCTATTGAGTTCATCGTACACTGGATCGCTAGGCTCGCGCCTTGCATTATGTCTGTCGGCGATTACGCTTCTCAGTGGTTACTTGTTACTAGGGATAGATTCGACTTTGCCTAGGTAGAAAGGGACAGGGCCAGGATTGCCAAACTGAGACTAGACTAGGCGGTCAGCATTAGCGCGTCTACCTCATTAGCCAATCAGCAGCCGCTGCTCGTCCCTTGCTCGCTGCCATCTCTTCTTGCGCGCGCAAGCTTTCAGCATCGCGTTCGACCTTGTTTCACTTCTCCCTCATAAACCTCCTCCTCTCACCGTCTCCGAGGCACCTCCTCCTAGTATCAGCTCTACTTACACAACCGCATACCGCGCACCGCGCCCCAGGAACATCAGTTGCATTCGACAAATAAACAAACACAATGGGTGTCACCGATTTCAGTGACCCGGCTGCCAATGCCCCCGACGCAGCTGCCTATGAAAAGGGCAAGGGCAAGGCTGCTGACGCGCACGAAGACGTGAACATGGGCGAGGAGGATGAAGATGAGGACAGCTCTGAAGAGGATGAGGACGAGATGGTGTGTACTTGACTTTGCAGTCGTTTGTTTGGCGACATTATCAATTGAGAGAGCGTTTGTACTAAATGACAGTTTGTTTACGCAGGGTCACGATGGTAAAACATCCTATAAATCAGCTCCGTTCCCCCCAACCCCGTGCAAGCTTACTTAGCTAGCTGCCCTCACTTCACGTGTCCAAGATACCTAGGCTGATCGATTACATTTACCACTACAGACGAAGACGAAGACGAAGGAGACAACCTCGAACCCATCTCTGCCGACAACATCATCAACGGCGGCCGTCGCACACGCGGCAAGCGTATCGATTTTGCCGAAGCCGCCGAAAAGGCCAAGGCTGCCGGCGAGGATCCCATGGACGACGAGGACGATGACGACGAGGACTTCCACGGCGAGGAGAACGATGCCGATCACATGCAGGAGTAACGCACTTCTATGCTATGTTGAATGGGAGGGTACTGCAGATCTTTTTACGCGCAGATTTAAGGCTGAAAACAATACCAAACAAAGCAATGGAAAATCTACGAGCGATGGTTTCATGATATGCGCTGGACATGAGCAAGGACAGATGTTTAGACGATACGAACACGAATGAATCCAGCTTATTCTTCGAAGAATCTTATCTAGAGAATGTAATTCGCAGTAAACCGATGAGTGTAAAGCACAGCGATCGTAAAATAAATGAAGGTCTAGCTCTGCCGTGTGTACCTGGCTAGCAACGCCAAGCTAGAGAGACAACCGCAAATGATCTCCGGACAAGTTCACAACACCAAACCCCAACAACAAACAGCAACACCAAATGTCGTCCCAACTGCAGCCATACTAGCTAGCGAGGAGCTGGTCCTAGTATATTCAGTCACTATAATAATACCCCAATTGTCATCACGAGGATATTTCCCTTCCCATGGCGTCGCGGTACCTACCTATCCACCTACCTACCAGCCTACCTCCGTAAAAACAATCCTAACAACCTCAGATTCCACTCCAGCCTTCACCAGCGCGACCCCCGCTCTTCATCTTCCCTCTTCGACTCCTACAGCGGCGACAACAGAGCCTCCTCATCTCGACCGAGCAGTCGATCGCCAAACCCGAGTCTAAATCCTTACGGGTATTCCAGCACCAACGGACAACAATATCAGCAGGGATATCGGACGGCGACGCCGAACTCGAGGTTTGTCTACAGAATATACTCGTGTCTGACGGAGCAAAAAAAAAAAAAAAGAAAAAAAAAAAAGACATGCTTACCGGTTGGATAGGGGCCATTATTCCGATGCGGTCTTGGACGAGCTGTGAGTTTTATCTTCTAGCTGACCATCTCTATATATTTATATAGATATATATACTGACGGACGGAAACAAGCGAATCCCAAAACGACCACGAAGTCGAGGGAATAACCGCCAAAGTCCGCGCTCTCAAAGACGTACGTCTCTCCTCTTGTACCTGAGCAAGTACATCACAGCTAACACTGCCAATGTTCAATGGTGTATATATAGCTCACAGTAGCAATCGGCGATGAAATCCGTTCGTCGTCTACTCTTGTACATCCCCTCTCCCCTCCCCCTCCATCCATTCCACATGAAAAAAAAAAAAAAAGGTAATGAACTAACCAAATAACAGGCAGAATCAATGAATGACGCCTTCGACACCACCCGCCTCCGTCTCCGCGGCACAATGAATCGTATGCTGCGCATGGCTGAGCGGACGGGCGTAGGTTGGAAGGTTTGGCTGGGATTCTTTGTTGCGGTGTTTTTGCTTTTTGCTTGGGTTTGGTTGTTTTAGCTTGTGGTGCTGTGCGACGGGGATGGGATTGTATAGATACCTAGCTGGCAGGTTATTCACTAATTACATGCGTGCATGGTTCCAGGAGTTTTTATTTTCCTTATTCATCATATAAAAATGGAATATATTGTTTATAATACTTCGAATCCGTTATTCATGTCATATCATAAAAAAAAAAAGTTTAAGCAAGCTCGTCATCCTCTCCTTCAACACCCAACATCCTCCTCTCCGCCAACTCCCGAATTTTATCCTCTAGTATCGAGCGTCCATACCTCTGCGCAATCTTCACTGCTGCCTCGACCATTTTCCCGCTCCGATCGGCCATCATACCTACCAACTCGAGCGCCTTCATTCCACGCTCTTCACCCTCCCGACACTCCACGGCCAGCATCTGCAGCAGGATCTTGTCGATTTCGACTTCTCGGCGGCCCAGCTCGGCGCGTTGGTTGCGCGTTGCGTTGGTTGTCGAGAGAAGGTCCTGGAATAGGCTGTAGAAGAGGTTGGAGCGGACGAAGGATTCTTGGAAGCGAGTTGCGTCGTTGTTTGAGGAGGTGTCGTTGTCCATTTCGTCGTCTTCATTTTGGTTTTTCTTCTGATTATTGCTGCTACTGGAGATGGGGATCTTGAAGTCGAATTCGCTGAGGAGAGGGCGCGGGAAGTATGGATGGTTGTCCCTGTCGCTGCCCTTGAGGATGATGCAGTGGAATTTGTCCTGTGCCACAGCCACCGGCCAGTAGGTCTCTTCCTTCCGGCCTTGGGAGAGTCGATCGAGCTGTCTGGTGTCGAGGAGAGGGACCCAGCGTGCTTGGCCGGGGGTGCGCCAGTGCTGTAGGATGAGGAGAACGCCTTCAGTATCGTAAATGCAGGGATCCTGGGGACGGTTAGCCATAGCCTCAATTTCTGAACGGAAAGAAAAAAAAAAAAAAAAAACAAACCCCATTATCGGAGAAAAACACATTCTTCAATCCCTCGCCCTCTGTTACAGCCACTACATCCTCATTTTGGCAAATCTCATCCCGCTTCACATTCTCAATCGAATATGTCAGTGACGAGAACCCGCCATGGCCAACCGGGCCGTTGCCAATGGTCATGATATAGTCCCGCCATGCAACACATGTTACAGCCGGGCTTTTTTGTCTGTATACTCGGAACGGCGTGCCGTATAGAGTGTATATGCGGACATAATTCGCCGACGTCAGAACGACAATGTACGACTCGCTCAGGGCAATGGCTGTGATGGTTTCGCCATCTGGTAATTGCGTGCGCCAGTCACCGCGCGTCGTCCATGTTTCGTGTGGGCGGTAGTATATGGTTGCTGGACCGCCGTCCGGCGGCGATGAGGATGTGAATAGTGTGCCGTTGTCGTCTGAAACAATCAGTTTACATAACGTGTACAAAAAGTATAATTGACACTTACTCAGACAAGCCTTGTCGTATCGATAAGGATCCGTAAAGTGAAAGTTTCGGTGCATTTCACTGTCGTAGAATTCAACCGTGACGGTATTGTGCGACTCTTGGTCGACTGTCCAGACGACCCCGGTCAGATTCAAGCCTACACCAAGACCGTCAGTTCCGAAACAAACAAACAAAAGTGACCAAAGCAAAGGATCATACATAGATATCGTCGATTCCCCCTCCACGGCGTGCTCCCCGGCTGAAACGATTCATGAAAAGTAGGCTGCCAATACGACGCCAGGCGTTTCGCATCTGGACCTTCCGGTCCATCCAAATGACCATTCCCGCGTTTGCCATTCGCATTGAGGCCTTCCTCCGCATAGCCAGCGCCGTCGTCGTCTTCCACGAAATTATCTTCGTCGCCGTCACCAACCGATTCCAACAGATCATCCAGGGAGTCAGGCGTGCCGCCTCTTCTAAGCCCGTTTTCGACTCCTCGAGCCTTCGGTCTATTCGGTATAGGTTGTCCTTTTCTCGCATTCCCAGACGTTTCTCCCAATGGACCGGAGGCAGAGCGAGAACCGGAAAATGACTCAAGCCTCTTCTCGAGAATGGACTGGTACTCCTTCGGCACAAAGTTGTCGTGGATATACACCTCGCCGTCCGACGTGGCGAAGCAGAGCAAATTTAGCGACGGGTGCCACGCGAGGTTTATCACATTGGCGAAATTATACCGTTTCAAGATATTCTGCGTGCTAGTCTCCCACAGCAAAATCTGCCCATCTGCGCCTGACGTAGCGAGGAGTGCCCCGTTCGGTGCCCAATCTAACGCTGTTATGTCTCCATCATGGGCACTACCGCTCGTAAACGATGCCGATTGCTGCCGTGTCCAGTCCGAGGTAGAAAACACAGCAATCTCGCGCGTCGCCTGCGCAGTGGCAAAAGCCGTGCCATCTGGATGCCACACGACCCGCGAAGTAGCCTCATCTTCCGGCTCGAGTCGTCTAATAGCGCCATCGATTTTGCGTAGTAATTCCGGCTCATCAGCCGAGACAAGCGAGTAGATATACAAAACCCCGTCTGTGCAGGAGACCGCGACGAATTGACCGCTGGGGTCGAAGGAGACGTGTTTAGAGCCTTTGGTTTGTTCCCGGAGGTACTTCACGTTGGTCATATCGTTCACGTTGACGATTTTGACTGTCAGTTCACTATAAAAAGAAAACCTCGTTAGTTAAACGTCTAGTTTACGGGTTCATGTGGTGCACAGTGCAGCGAAGACTCACTCGCTAGCAACAGCAAGCCACTGTCCATCCCCCGAAATCGCCAAATCGCGCACGGGCAGCGCACACCGCAGGAGCAATTTGTCCATCTTCCCGGACTCGATGTCGTAGCGCCAGACGGTTCCATCTTCGGCGCCAAGCATAAAACAGTCATTCTGAGCAGTTAGTCTCATCTATGTTATTGCTGAAAGTTTCAAAGTGTAAAGACCAACCGTCGCAGCAATGCCAAAATTCGCCTCGACTCCGTCATCGATGGTCTTGGGTTCGCCGTCATCGCCAACCGTATATATGCGGATTGCGTTGTTGGAGCCGGCACTGATCACATGGCGTCCATTGGGGGTGTATGTGAGGACGGTCGTTCCGGGGGTATCTGTTATGAAATGTGAGTAATTGTGTCTGTTATTCGGAAGCGTTTGGGGTTGGTCAAACGTACGTGCTGGCCGGGCCCGCGGCCGGATTGTGTCGAAGCTCATGTGCGGAATAATTAATGTCGAGCTAGCAATATGCTCACTAAGTAAATATTTGGATTATACTCACTCGAATGGCCTGTATCGCCACCGATGTGTTTGTGTGCACTGTTTGATGTATGAAGTGAGGTTGAATGATGGACTGGCCGAAGACGCGTTAATTGCCCGAGAGCAGACGCGTCGCGCAGATTAGTCCGAAAACGGAAGTTAGGGTTAGGGCTCGGGGATTATCTAGATCGACGACGTTTGACCTGACCAGGCTACTTGCTTATTTCCTTATTTTTTGGGCTCCCTTTTACTTTTTGGTCAAGTCATAACTCATTAAATCCTAATCAGACCAGATCTTGAGTACTCTCTGCACTCTCCCTTTTCGACGTCAACTCTATACTAATCGTCTGGTGAATCCCATCAACACCATCATGCGTCCTCGCAATGCCTATCCCCCTCGCTATGCTTGCTGTTATGCCCTCATCCGTCCCGCCGGACGACCACCCATGTATATTCGTCGTACAATCCGACTTGGTCGCATCTCCATGCAGGACGCAATGCGCCCCGCTGCGACATGAATAGCACTGATCCTTCCGCCAGTACGATGACATGCTGCCTGCTGGCGGGAGGCTATGTTGTTGTTGCTGTTGTTGCAGCTGATGTGCCCCGGTCGTTTGCCGACGGTATCGCCGCGGCTTGCTGCCGTAGCTGCCATTGCGAAGCAGCATTTTGCGCCGGAAGACGACTTTGTAGAAAAGTGGCATGGCGGGGAAACAGATGCAGAGGAGGATGGAGGCTATTTCGGCGAGTCTGCAGAGCATTAGACAGGGGAGAAAAAAAAAAAAAAAAAAAAAACGGAAAGGGGAGAGCGAGAAGGAGAAAAAAAGCTTACGTCCACAGAGACACCTGCGCATAGACATAGGTAGTGTCACTCGTCTTGGTTGAGCGAAAGGAGTAAATGACCCGGCCCAGCGAGGAGGACACAGCACTATATATATACTCTTAGCCCGATATCTTAATGAAGGATAAAAAAGAGAGAGAGAGAGGAAAACTCACACCAACCCCGTCAAAAACACCCCCGACACGCCCAACTTATGCTTCAAGCTCAAATGCAAATGCCAAATCGCCCACAGCGGCAAAACAAAAATAAACACATCCGACACGCAGTTGAAAATGCCCGCTGCCAAAATCTCCGCATTGCGATTCAGACAGTGGCCCGACGTGATGGACGAGTCCCAGATCTTCTCTTGCGGCGAGCACATGAAGATCACCGCAATGAAGATGGCGGTGTAGAAGGCGAGATTGGCCCAGATCAGGACCTGGATGGCGATGAAGACAGCACCGCTTTTGAGCGGCGCGAAGATGCCTTGCAGGTGGAAGAGAAGGGAGGCTTTGGCGAGCCACATGAGGGGGCAATAAATGAGTTCCAGGGCCCAGCTTTGCTGTTTTCCCATAACCCTTGCGCATTAGCAAGGTGAAACAAGGGCCATGGAAAACAACAACAACAAAAAAAAGGGAATGGGAATATATACCTGTGATATCAACACGGCATCGCTGGCTCGCACGTCCCACAGATGCCGCCCAAAGCCCGTCTTGCTCTGCCATATAAGCACAGCATTATACCCGACGTTGATGGACCAGGCCACAACCAATAAATCTGCAAATAATCAGCAACCTACTCATTAAAACAGAGGGAGAGAGTTACAATCATCCAACGAAATCCTCGCCGTCATCCCGCGCGCCACCAGCCGACAGACGGCAAACACCGATGTGATGGAAATAATCAACGAGGTGGTGGTGATAATGGCGCAGTAGAGGGTGTCGGGAGGATCAATGAAATTCGGCGTTACGCCTGGAGGCGGCGGCCCGGCTGCTGCGAATGTGCTGGCCATTTATGCATCTATACAGGGATGGAAATGAAATGAAAATAAAAAAAAAAAAAAAAAAAAAAAAAAAAAAAAAAAAAGAAAGAAAGAAAGAAAGTAAGAAAGGAGAAATAATCGGATGGTCAAGGAGAGTTGGTGGTGGTGCTGGTTGAGGCTCAGCAGAGTATCGGCACGTTGATTGAACCTCTCCTCGTAGAGACAGGTGGTTAATTAGAGATTACCTCTTCGACTCTCGTTCGCGCATGGCATATGCGCACATGGAGCTCGCTCCAACTCCAACTGAGCGGAAGACGGGTCGGTAGACAGACAGACAGACAGACAGACAGACGAGATGGATGAGCGAAGAAGTCTCGAGAGCCAGTCAGTCAGTCACTCAGCCAACTTGCGCGCGGCAAGGGATCGTACAGTTACACTAAGTCACGCCTAACCTAGCGAGCGACACTAACTAAAGCTTTCATGCATGACGCCAACCCCGAGACTGCACTGAAGATGACCATACACACAGGACAGACAGACAGACAGAAGGGAAGAGAGGGGCTGGGGCCGGCCTTGCATGAGTCTCCATCGTATATACGAAGGCATGCATAAGCGATTGCACAATCTCCATACTCCGGGGGTCTGTCTATGTTAGAATTAAGGTAGTATGTGCTAGAGCGAATGCAACCTTAGTGTGCAGGGGCCAAGGTAGCGCCAGGGACTGAAGAAGTTGACAGGTCTGCAGCAACTCTTCAGCAGACACGGATTTGCCATTTGGGGCCATTTGATAGGTTTACTATTCGCGTGCGGGGAAGACTCGCAGGAAGTAAATGGCCAACTCGCCCAAGATTTGCGTTAGGAGCAAAAGACACAGACGGCGATTGGCCCAGCCATTTGGGGGCCTAAAAAAGAAGTACATGCCCATTCGGGCAATTTTCTGGTCATTCCTCGCAGCTGGGCATTTTGAGGATCAATCTTCCTTCTTGTGTTTCGGGGGCCTCCCGATCTTATTGAAACTATAGAATTATTAACTATATACGCGGTACCGACAAAATGCACGCAATAAAGACGTAGAAATAGCCTACGAATGCATGCATAGATAGACAAGCCACACTAACTAATGCACCCCTCACTCACTTACCTACTCACTCACAGCGCCACAAGCCATAGCGCCAGTTGCGTCGCGTCAACCGGCGTGATATCACCCTCAAAAACCTCCCTTATATGCTCCTGCGAATACCCATGCGCACTCCCTCGATCGATCTGCATCTCGAAAAAGTCCATCAGCGGCAGGATGCCTGCGTCATTGTACTTGTGCCGCTCCGATTCGTGCTGCCTGTGGCTTTTTAGACTTCCGATCCACTGCTTGAACGATGTAAGAGTAGTACTGCTAGTGGAAGCCCAGCTTTGAATTGCCGGTACCAACTCTGCCCACGCGGTGGAGACCGGGTTCACCAGATTGTAGACCCGGGGAGTAGAACTTTCTCCTGCGAGTATATACCGATCATGCTGCAGGATCCGCTGCGTAAGATCAACTACAACGTTGACGGGCAACCAATCAGCGCCAATCAGATCTGTAGGCACCATCTGGAAGATCCGGGATGTCTTCAGAATCACTGTAAACATATCACTTGCTGGCCATGTAATTCTGTGTGTCGACGAGGGCGTCACTGGCACCGAGGTGGGCGCAATCTGGCCGACGCGGAGGATGCTCGCTGTCACCCCGGACTTGGTCCAGGCGGCCTGGACGAGATGTTCAGCCACATACTTGGACTCGCCGTAGCCGTTGCGCATGGCTCCGTCGGCGTTGTTGACTAGGGCTTCCGGTATTACGGTCTGCTCAGACCCGGGCTTCCCCCAAACGCCAGTCGCTGCTATGGAAGAGACGTACACTAAACGAGCGCGTCGCTTTGAGGATGCTGCCAGCTTGATCGAATTTACGAGACCGCTAAAACTGTCCCCAAAGGCATCGAGCGATGCAGCAAAGTTGACTTGCCAGGCAGAGTGCAAAATAATATCGGAGTCCTCCCTCACTTCATTGTAGACATTCTTCTCAAGCCCGAACTCGGGTTTGGAGAAATCTACCTGGAAGAAGCTGACCTTCTCCAGCCATTTGTCGTCTATACCTGTAATGCCTTCGTTTGTGGACAGGTGGGCTGCCCATCTCTCACGCGCTGTAGCCGAGCGGTTCAAGCAGATGATTCGCTCAATATTGGCGTCCTGCACAAGTGATGAAAGTAGATATTGTCCCAAGAAACCCGTGGAGCCTACAATAACCACACTCAATGGTTTGTCTCGACTCTGCGGCGGCAGCTGTGAAGTAGCAGACACGGCCGGCAGGGAGTTTTCATACCGAGTCAGAAGCTCTTTCATCTTGGTGACTCTGTCCACTTGCTTCGGGTGCGTGCCTTCGTTCAGCCACTGCAAAAGAACGGCACTCAGCTTTTGGACAGAGGAGTAGGTGTAAATAATCTCTGGTTTCAACCAAGTCAGACCCTGTCCCTCGCCCTCCAGACTCGCTTTCAGCTGCGAAATGGTCTCCAGTGTCTTCACCGAGTCCAGACCCTGGCTATATAGATCCTCGGAATCGTCGACTTCCTCACCGTCCAAAGCGTCTTGGATGATCGCATGAACGACATTTTGCACGTCCGCCAGACGGAACGCTGTTGGTCTCAACACGAGCCTTTTCTTCTGCTGTTGTGGCTGCGCTCGCTGCTCGTGAAGAGAGCCCCTGAACAGCGCGTCCAACTCCGCTTCGTAAGCATTGATAGTCAACTTCCGCACCACTGTGCCCTTGCCCGCGCGGATAAAAGGCTTGTCGCTGCTCGCAACGAGTATCATGGATCTGGAAATGCGTCCCGGACCCGTGGTGTTGGCATTCAGTTTAGCAATTGACGGCCAAAGACTCTCTGCGGGATCACTGCCCAGACCATGCTCAGGTCGAAGCTCAAGCAGCAAGGCGACGCGTGGCTGGCCCTGACCAGCAACCACCGCGCCAGCGACGCCAGGGAGAGTCTCAATCCCCAACTCTAGCGGAACCGGGTTAAACTTCTCCCCATTCGACAGGACCAGAATGTCGTCTCGTCGCGCATGGAACTTCCACAGATTGGGCTGCGTGGGGTGTCTCCTGAACAAGTCCTTTGTGCGAAACTCGCGGACTCCCGGAAAGTTGTGATTCAGACCCAAATGATTTTCTGTTTCTTCATCGGCGAAAACCACTAGCTCAAAGGCATCGTCGTCGGCCGGCTGCAACTCGAGACGCGAGTAAGGGTGGAATTCCATGTATTGCCAGTGTTCCTTTGGCGGCATCAGCTGGTGAACAAGACCGAGTTCCGTGGATCCGTAGAACTGGCAGAGCGTGACGTGCTGCACCAGCTCGTTGCCAATGAATTCTGCCAATGGGCCGCCGGCATAACAGAGCACGTCGAGGCTCTTGAGTAGTTCGACGCCGTTGGGCTCGGTGTACAGATCAGCGACCAGCGACGGCGGCAGGAGACACCCTTTCACATTCAAAGACTGTAAGATATGCGCTGTTAAGGCGCCGCTTGGCAGTCTCGTCGGGGGTCCAAAGACCGGTACGCTCTCGGTGTAGACCGGCGCCATGACGTTATTGTAGAAGCCGGCTAGATGGAACAGCGGGAAGGGCACATACAGACAACTGCCTGGCGAAAAATCCCACGTCGTCAAGTCATGGTTGCGACGGCCGGGCACGCTGGGGAAGTTGCGGTCGTTGTCGAGAACGGCAAAACTGCCATGTGTCATGGTAACCGGCTTGGGCAGGCCCGTAGACCCGGAAGAGTGCAGTATGATGATGGGCTCCCGTTTCACTTCCTGGAAATCGAGAGTATACGGCACGGGAGCCGGGGGCTGCGCGTTGAGGAGCTCATCGAGTGCAGGAAACTGGCGGCATTGCACCGAGCTGGCTGGGCCCTGGAGCGCCTTGATGAGCGGCGCGACCTCTGGCGAGTGCACTAGCTTGGTACACTCGGTCTGGCTCAGGAGAGAGGCAGTGGTAGAAGGGGGATTACGAGGCGAGGGCAGCAAGACCTGGATATGTAGGGTGAGAAAGCGGGGATATCATACAAGCAAGCAGGCAGTAGGGGGCGCTGACCTTGAGACGAAGCTTGAGGGCCGCGTAGACGAGGATGTTGTATCTCAGGTCGGACACTCCCACGTAGCACACCGTCTCGTGCAGGGCGAAGGCGCCGAAGCCATCCTGCAGCCAGTGGACGGCGTAGTCGACGGCGTCTCTGACCTGGGGAAAAGTCACTGGGCGAAAGCCATCCTGCACCTCGGCGGTGCGCGGGATCCACGCAAAGACACGCTCTGGGTTCTGCTGCGCTTCGTCGTCGACGATGCTCACCATCAGGCGGCTTCCATACGGGGGCGCCATGGCTGACTGTTGCAACAAGCGCGATGGAGAGGGTTGGATGAGGTTGAGCCGTTGAGGAGCGCGGGGAGGCAGCTGGAGGAGGAGGCCACCTTCCTTCCTTCCCCTCCTAGCCCTAACCCTGACCACCCTAGGTTAATGATCGACGTCTGCCCACACAGCGAACTACGCAGTCGAGCCTTTGACTCTCGGACATAACGATCGATTTCTGCTTACTCCGTGAACTAAATCGCTCCGGCTGTCATACGATGTCCTGCCAGCGCAGCAGGCCTAGAACTTTATTAATCGACTAGCAGCGTCGATATTAACTACTCATGCAGATGCTACCTATACTGCGCCATGCTATAAGGCACGACCGCCGCGCACTTCCCCCTGCTAGCGGCGTCCGTCTCGGGCTACAAGGGTTCTGACAGGGCCAGAGCCACATAATGCGACATCAGCGCGGCCCGAGCGGTGCAGTGCAGCGAGCTTGTCTTGACCAGCAGCGGCCCCCCCCAGGGCGAATCGGTGTATGCCACGCAGCGAGACAGTGATCCGCGGCCCGTACCTTACGTACTACTACTGAGTACACTGGTGCTTTGCCTCGGTAGAACGAACAAGTGCTTCGCAAACAGAGACAGATATCAAATTGCATCTAGACATGCTAACAATCAATCAAGGCTAACAACAACAGCAAGCAGGCAGACATCACATCGTAAATTCATCATCGTAAAATTGATATCAGATTCCGAGCATTCCGCCCGGGCTCCAGAAACAAGACTCAACGGCGCAATTCTTCAGGCTTCTTCCTCCTCCCCC